GTATTCCGCAGTTTTTAATGGTTCTCTAACTGATATCAATCCGTGATCAACTCGTAAAAACATATTCTATTTACCCAATAAATGGTAGAATTTCAAATTGCTGAATATTTACCCTAAATGACATCAGACTTTAGTTCTAAGTAGTCTATATAATGAAGTACAAGTATTTATTTTCCACTGTGGAATTAAATTATCATTAGGCGAATATTGTGAATCAGAAATCTCACATTGAAGTTTACACATCTCGCACCAGTGGATGTCGTTTCACACTAGCTTTTCCATAAAACCAGTCTCACTTGTATAGACATATACATTGCACAACATAGGCACTAGTCTTCTTTCTATTCAGATCATAAACCAATCCATACAACTAGGTCTCTATCGACGTACAAATAAGGACGAGAACAGCTGCAAAACTATTATTCTTTTTTTTTTGAACTGTGTACTGCTGATTCCTCTAAAAAACGAAAAAACATTTCTTATATCCTGTGCTTCTTATTGTTCCCGTGTATTATTTATCCCATATTTAGCTAGGAAGCGTGAGATAATTAACAGGTGTATCTTCTTGTTAAATGCATGTATGTACTTAAATGTATGAGTGTAGAGTTTTAAAAGCATATGTTTCCAAGCCACAGAGTTTTTAGTTCTTTGGTTCTATGCATACATATTTTTCTCTTTCATTTTCATCATTATCATCATCATTAGTAGTAGAACTTTTTTGTCTTATATTGGATTGGATACTATTATCTGAAGCAAGAGATTTTCGTGTTCTACTTAGTATTGTAGACTGTTATTATTATTCTTGTTATGTGTGAAATAGGTGAAAGGATAGAAGCTGGTCAACCGGTGGTCACCTGTCTATAGAAATTTATAATTACACTAAGCGGTTAGATATTAAAAATTGTATTTTGCGCCAGCTGTTTACTGTTCATTAACTTTGAAATTAAGGATTACTTTTGTGTAGCTCAAGAATGCTTATATGTACATTTGGATGGTTGGACAAATGTAGACGGAGAGAGACAGAAACCTGAATATGACAGACCTCATAGTTATTATGTGATTCATTTTCATTCCAAAACCATTGGCTTGGCAACTTCGGTTTTTTCTAAAGAAAAACTTCTTGTCATATTAGGTTACTACTACAAGTTTACTAATCTATGCATGTCTGAATGAAACCAGTTGTTTTATGAATGAATACTATGCAAAACGTAACCGGTTGAATAGAATTATATCTTTATCAACCTCATTCAGCAGTTATATGACAGTGCTACGTGCCAGCTGATCCACAGGGGGAAAATCAGTGAGGCGTTCGAACTGAATACAGTAGTAAGACGGGTCTGTCTATTATCACCATTGATATTCCTAATTGTGGTAGACTGGATCATGTGGAACACCATGCATGGGAAGCGAGAAGACAGGAATATGTTGGGCCAATAAGACGACTCTAGAAGATCTGGACTTTGTGGATGATTTATGTCTGATTTCTAACAAACTCGAAGATTTACAGGCAAAATCCAACAAGCTGACAGAAGAAGCAGCCAGTGAAGACTCAAATTCAAGTGAACAAAAACGATAACAAGAACCAATCACCAACAACGAGAGAAATTCGAAGGAGCTCGCTTCCTCCACTTATCTAAGCCACATCGTTTCAACTAAAGGAGATAACATGGATGCGGATATCAAAAGCAGAATCGGAAAGTCAAGAGAGATATTCACCACTGTGAAATCAGTTTAGAAATCATCAGCAAAAACACTAGGTTTTTCAACACCAATGTTCACTCAGTGTTTCCATGTGGTTCAGAAACTTGCACTGAGCGTCGCGGAAAGTATTTTCAACAGGTTGCAAACTTTTATCAACAGCTAGCTACCTTCTCTCCAGGTGTCTAGCCAGAAAGAATTAGCAAAAAGAGACTCTACGAACCTGGAGGCGATCATGTGAGGAGAAGGAAGTGAGAGCCTATCGGCAATCGTGGGACTAGATGAAGAGGAATACAGAGAACAGGACAAGGTGGAGATGTGCTGTTTAAGTCCTACGTTCCACTCGGAACCCAAGAGAATAGTGATAATATAGAAAAAATCCTCATTTAGACATTTAGAAAACAGAAAGACTGAGCGAAGAAATAATTACTTTTCAATTAGATCCTCATCTCTGGCTCTACTCTAATATACACGTATGGCATTTTTATTACAATACACAACAGTTTACCAAACAAGCGGCACTGATATGTTTGTTAACAATAATTAGTCAGTGTCAAAATGTCAATGGGCTGATAATTAACGAAGAAAATCAAAACACATTTAAAAGGTAGAAATGGATAGAATAACTTAATTTTACAAGGATAACACGTAATTAAAGATGAAGTGATCAAAATAAATAAAAATAAAATAAAATAATTTGGACAATTATAATTTTAAGAACACAATATTCAACGAAGAGACTCTTTTCAATGAATTTATTATCAAACTGTACAATCGTATATATATATATATATATATATATATATATATGGTTTTTATAGAAATTATATCAGAGAACATATTCCAGCATGGTTTTACAAGGGAGAAAGGAAGTGTGTGCGAAGCTATATTTTGGAACACCTGATCGACTTCTGTCACTCTGTCAACCCTGACCATGATTTTAAGATCGTATATAGAATCCATGTTAACTTCCCGCGTTTTCTTCGTTACAGACTTCTAAAGACAGCTGAGGCCTTGGCAATTTATGACTTTAAGCCAGACCTTTGTGTACAAAAGAAGTATGTACAATCCCTCCTTCTGCCTTGGCCGTAGAGGGATAGACATTTATTTATTTTGTTTATTTAGTTATTCTATGTACTTTTCCCTTATTACTACGATTATTGTTATTATTATCATTATTATTATTATTACTATTCTCACTCTGAATCTTTTCCACTTGACCCACTTGACATTCTAAACCCAAAATTATTAATTGAATATTGAATTCTATCTTATCAAATTTCACACCATGTTATGTAACATTTTATATTCGTCTACTAATCTTATAATTATGTACTCCTTTCCAAAATCTATACACCTAATGTATTATTCTATATACGACATTAATTATTGTGCCACTTGACATTACACTATGATTATAATCACAAATATTTTAATTGCATTTCATACTATTATTATTTCATGTATTCACACCTTTGACCTAACTCCCTCACCGGATATAATTTTTATAAAAAGCATGTATATCCGATTGTACAGCTTGATAATAAATTCGTTGAAAAGAGTCTCTTCGCTGAATATTGTGTTCTTAATGCTACAATGGGAATTATTAAATTATAATTTTTATAGTTTTTAAAAGTTTAGGGGGAGGGGGGCGAAGTAGTCCTGTTTATCAACCCATTGACATTTTGACACTGACTAATTATTGTTAACAAACATATCAGTGCCGCTTGTTTGGTAAACTGTTGTGTATTGTAATAAAAATGCCATACGTGTATATTAGAGTAGAGCCAGAGATGAGGATCTAATTGAAAAGTAAGTATTTCTGTTTTCTAAATAGTGATAATAACAATAATAAATATCACAAAACCAGTGAAGATCGACAATGCAGATAAAAATTGACAAAATCACATTGAATTAAAAATCTGCTAATATTTAATACAATCACTGAACTCATTAATGCCATATCTCAGCCACGTTGACAACAGATGCGTTTCATTAGTTTTGGCAATTTTATTCCAAGCGCTGAGTCTTGAGTTCAAGTTCAAGTCTTTCTGCATCTTCTTGCAGCTTGAAAGAAATATTGTGCCATTAGATAGCGTGTCATACTGCCTCGCAAACAAGTTATTAGCTTGCTAAGGTGTATTATGTTATTAGGAGATGGGTTGTTGGGAAAGCTGGTTAATGTCCTAATGCGTCCATAGACATCAAAGTGGCAACTGGTATATATAAGGATAACTAGAAATAACAAAGTAAGTAGTTCAGCAACGAGTCTGTTTTCGGCGAATTGATTTTCCACTTTAGCTGTACAATCGCATTCATATACATCTTTTTTTTACATGAAAGAGGGTGATAACGTTCATCCAGATAACGAAGCTAGAGCTCTGCTTGCAAAGAAAATTATTCGACCACTTCTATTATCATGGTAGAAATCTTGTTGATTCCTACTGACTTGGTTTTGTTTGTTTGTTTCTCTAATTCCTTATAACTCTTGTTTTTCCCCAGTACTCTTACATAATTCCATATTTCCCATCGTTTCTTTGTGCATCCTGACTACTACTCATTCATCAAATTATTAATATAAATATTATTAATATAAATATTAATTAATATAAGTGCGACTGTACAGCTAAAGTGGAAAATGAGTCCACCGAAAACGACCTCTTCACTGAACTATTTTTTTAGCTGTTTCCATTAATGCCTGGATGAGGGTTATTCATGAATTAGAAAATTACTAGAAATAAACTTTTTGATACTAAATAACATCTACTGAAAATGAAAATCAATAGTTAGCCTGTAAAATCTTCTAGTTCAGCTTTGATAGTAATGTTATGATCATTATTTTGTCAATTTACTAGCAACCGCCTACTCATGAGGAATTTTGTTTTATTTCTTTACGTTCCCAGTGGAACATAGGGCTTTAAGCTAGAGCTCTGGAGTTTCGGCAGCAGTAGTGTTTATTTTTACGAGATGGTGGGTTACTAGCCTCATGCCCACCCTTCCCTCCTTACCAGTCCTATTACTGGCTTACAGTGGTAAAGGAGTACACCGGCTGGGAGTCGAACTTCGGACCACCTGTGTGGTTGGCGAGCATTCTACCGCTGTGTCACCGACGCACGCTCATGGGGAATGAGAGACTCAAACTAAAAGGGGAGCATTCAGACGGTTTTAAGGGTAATAAAGTCATAGAAAAATGAGCAGTCAGGAAATGGTTTAAGGATTGCAAATTTTGGGGGTAAAAGATTTTAAATATGATGTGATGATGAAATTACTATCGACTTTTACTTTTTATTTTTGCCGCCTAGCATCCATATCCAACAGAAGATGAAAAGCGACAAATAGCGAGTCAAACAAATTTGACTTTATTACAAGTTAATAATTGGTTCATCAATGCTAGACGACGTATTCTACAACCAATGCTTGATTCTTCAAATTTTGTACCACTTGGAAATAATTGTAACAGTGTTGATGGATCATCTGATAGAATGTCAGGCTCGATTGGTTCAAGTGAAACACACGTGATTAGTAAAAAGAAAAAAGCTGCAACAAGCAGGTAAGCAATTCAGTAGTACTTTATTCGTGTAATTAAAAAGAATTGTTCATTCTTACTTCTATAATGAACTCGGTTATATTGTAAACAATACTGAACAATTTGTTGAAATAGTCAAAAGTGATTTTTACGAAATAACGACAGATATTAGTCTACGTGTGACTACGCTTAGGTTGGTTATTCCCCTTAGCGACATCCCGTATATTACCAAGGAGTTGAAAGTAATTCTTCGTATACAGAAATAAGTTTTGAAAACCTGGAAGAGTGGAATTTTGTGTGATAAGAAATCTGAGCTATCGGTGAAGTCAGTGGTGTTATACCATCAAGAAACACCATCGGTGTTTTACTTTGCATCTTTCTGATTATACTCAACATCGACAACTACAAGGTGTTTTACTACCATGATGAACTGTATTCAAGGATCCTTTTTTCTGATTATATTGATTGAAATCAACGATTTATGAGGTTTTATTTCAATGAGAATAATATGGACAGTAAATCCTATTGTTGTAGTGGCGGGACACAAGAGTTACTTCACAAGCATCGTTCATTTCTTCTCTTCGCCATTAAATCCATTTCCCTGTTATTTTAGTGTTTTTGCAGATGACATACATATTTATATTTGTATTTATATACTACTTATAAATCTTGTCAGTAGCATATGGCACACTTTATTCTGCTATGAATTTCTTAACTATTCTTAAATAATAATAAATTAGGATTTTAAGGTCACTCAAGAAGAACTGAAGTTACTGGACTGGTAACATTCGGTTTTCTTCAAATCTATGATTTGTACACTCGATCTTAGGATGAAGTGACTAGGAAAATAAAGTGACTTTATCTAGTCTTCAACAGATTTTAAACACTTTACCTAAATGTTGATGAGAAGATGCTGTCCTTGACGTACGTCTCTTGATTGTTGTTTTATTTCACAAAGGCATTTTCACATTGATTTTAGAATCATTTGAGTTCGTAAGTCATAAAAGTTCAACACAAAGCTATTCAGACAGTTATTGGTTCCCTGTACAACTGAATTATGTAGTCGAATCAATCCTCGAATTTTAAGCGGCATAGCTTTCTGGCACAAAAGTTTTGTCAGGGCGTAACAATCAGGGGTCTATATACTTTACTTAAAAATGTAGAAAGTACAGCTCAGTTAGGAGAACTGATCTAGGCATCTGACCTGTGTTTTCTATTAGTTAGTTAACATTCATCAGCAAGGTATCTGCACAATTATCACAGGAGGTTTGTGTTCCTTCTGAATCATTTACTTGTGCCGAGAAATTCATTGTAGGATTGGATTGGGCGCATGAGCTGAATGACAGTCAACTGGCACAATAGCTATTTAATTTTATATATATATATATATATATATATATATATAACCATTGTAATTTCAGGTAGTCTGCAGCTGATGAGAACCTGTGAAATAGAATGATATCATTTTATACTGCAAATTTCGTCTTCCTTTCTTTATCGAAATTTTAAATATTGATTGAAGTTATTCAGTCGACAATGCACTGTTACCACTGGGCTACTCAATCCAGAAACAGTGGGGACTTCAGTGTACTTCGAGTGCTAGAAGATAGGAGTTAATCTCTCTAGACAGTATATTCTAATACTGGTATTAATTCTTTTCAAATAAACATAGTAAAATATTAGCTTTTAAAACAACCAAGAATGAACACATTACTTCTTAGATAACCATTATTATTATTGTAGTAATACTACATTGCCTTAAGTTATATTTTACTTTTGTTTAGTCCACAGCAGTTGATTTAACTCACCTAAACCATGATACTTCAAAATCCAGGAATTTGGTCTCTGAATTTTTGACCCAGCGTATCACTAACATTCTTATACCAATAGATTTCAGCTGTCTAAGAGCGAAACAACCAGGAACCGATTGTGAAACAAATAGGCAGGAAGAAATGGAGATGGATTGGTCATACTCTGAGGAAACCAACCATCAAGTGACATCACTAGACAAGCCATCGCTTGAGTGGAACCCGAAAGGAAAGCGGCGAGTTGGTCGTCAGTGCAAAGGTGGGGTGACTTGGAGGAGGTCATGTGAAGAGGAGATGAAAACGTGTGGGCAGACTTGGAGCCAGGTGAAGACTCTAGCAGAGAACCGAACGTAATGGAGACGCACGGCTGAAGCCCTATGTTCCTCTAGGAATTAAAGGAAACACTAATAATAATAATAAATCTGAAACACATCCTTCCTTGTTTTGCATTACTACACCTTACAGTTTGCATTTCATTAAAACGAACTTCTAGATAACATAAGCCTTATAATCTATCGAATGATACAGGCTTAACTAAAGTTACTAAGCATTTAAAACATCCTTATATTCTGAAAAATCCAGAGTCACACATATATTGCTCCTCATAATTTTCATTAAGATATGAAGTGTAGGCTTCGTGAATGTTATTTGTGACGTTTTATTATCAACAATATTAGAGGTGTATTCTTATTATTTTTCATCATATATATCATTCTGACAAACACTGTTATGTCAAAATCAAGTCCTAAACATTCAATCATTATACCATTTCTCACTATACAACAGTCTATAAATTAATGAATATTTCATCAGTGTAAGTGCACTATTATTATTATTATTATTTTGACACTAGTAGTCATCAAAATAAACATAATAACTGTGATAATAAATTGTTGTGACTGGATTGTATATATATATATATATATATATATATATATATTATATGAAAGTAGGAATAAAATCAGATAGTTAAATAACTATACAGACAAATAGATAATCCACCTTTTCTAAATTCCATTTGACCTTGTAATCTCATTGATTTACGCTTACTTAATCAATGAAAGCAAGGACAAATGTGTATATCCTTACAGTAACTCATATAATAATAGCAATAATAATAATAGTAATTATTATTATTATTAATATTTCTAAGTTTAAATGTACGTACACCCAGATATATACGTGTTGATTTCTCCCAATCGATTACCTTTATATATATAACTTATATAAAACTAGAAAAAATTATTTGTCTGAATTTCTTACTTCCGGAATTGAAATATGCCTAACAATTATAATGTATAATATATAATGTTATATAGCATTCCGGATGTTGAAAAATTTGGAAAACAGTTGAATGAAATGAAAGTATATGGTATTCTTTTTGTGAGTATGACTCACATTTTGATTCATTTTGTTAACTTACTGTTATCTTCCTTTTTATGTAAAGATGCCTTATTAAAACAGGGTTTAACATTAGAGTTTAAAACAGCACGTATAGAGTAGTAGGATAAGCATTGTCTCTTCATTATTTTCTGTAGAGAGGTAAACTACTTATGAGTAGTTTAATTCAACTTTTAGATTTTTCCGACGATTGATTGAACCGAAGTGCTCGGTCTCATGTTGACGCGTCAGCTCCTTGTGCAGATGTTTCGATGATATCTGGGCAAGTAATTAAGATTTAATCGTTGGAGACATCATAAATCACTGCGGAATGCAGGTACATCCAGATAATGAATCCCAAATAGGACGAAATGCGCATCATGGATTCCACTGCGCTAGTCACCGTTCACCAATTAACTTGCTTATGAGGAGGTTAATTTCATTCCAAAATATTAGGCGATTAGTGGTGAATAAGGATATAAGGAAGTTTACAAAAACATAAGATGACTAGTTTGACTACCGAAACTTACGTATGTTAGTGTTTAATTTTAGCTGTTTACTTTCGGTGTCCAGATGGCGATCTTTTCAATATTCTTGAGTTAGATAAGTACTCGTGCGTCGGTGGCATAGCTGTTAGGACGCTCGCCGACCATGCACATGGTCCGGGGTTCGATTCCCGGCCGACGCATTCCTTTACCTTGCTAAGCCAGAAATAATGCTGGTGAAGAGTAAAGGTTGGGTATGAGGCTAGCAACCCCATCCTGTAAAATAAACACTGCTACAGAAACTTCAAGCAAGTAGCTTGAAGCCCTATGTTCCACTGGGGAACGTGAAAGAAAAAACAACTGAGTTAGATAACAAGCAATGCCTTAAGTACTCCAAGCTGCCTGATGAATTACTCAATGCGTGCGTATAACTGGCAGAAGTTCTTAAGATTCAGGCGACATAACAGTTCTATGGTTCTGCCTATTGGTGAGAACTCTGTAATCGCCATCCATAATTATGTCTGTTTGTTCCTCTGTTATTGTTTAACTTGTCAGCCAAATATATGAGAACTAACACAATTTATAACAGAAAATTACATGTTGAAACGTTTCCACCACAGCTTGTATGATGCATCTAGATTTGTTAAAGTATCCAGCACACTGTACTCTTCAGGCAACTTTAATTTTCAATATATTTCAAGTGTACTGGTGAGAAAAAGTGTAGATTATAGTTTGGTAACTCTCTTAAATTCGCTTACTATTGTTTTCCTTGTGGTAAACGAAATAAATCATTTTGAGGAACTGACATAAGCTCGTGATCGAAGTTGAGACATGTCAAATCCCTACAAAATAACTCTTGGAGATTGATCTGGGGCTTGCTAGTGACTAGCCATGGGACGAAGTTGCTTGGAGTTCTGTTGAGAAGTCTTGACCAGTGGGGTCCATCAGGTTGGGAATGAGGACAAATACTCGCCGATGACATTGCTGGTTGATGGTCACGCTGAAATCACGAATTAGTAGAAGTTGAAATTCATGAGTTGGCCATTGAGTTGGGTTCCAGGGCCGAACAGTCTATGAGTTCGCCTTGTAAGCGGAAGCTTCTGTGTCCAAACCCTGGTAGGTTAGTACTTCTGGAGAGTCCCGGACTAGGGCGAAACAGTTGTCCAGCACTCCCTGGTTTTTCAGTGGTTCTCCAACTGATTTCACCTCACCCTGCGAACTAATTCTTGAAAATTTTCAGACACATTAGGCTCATAAATTTCTAGTATTTTACTTTTAGCATCATTTTTGATGATAACAACAGCAGATAAAGTTACACCATAAATTTCATAGATTTTATCAGGCCACTTGTGATTCAGTATTATTCGCTTAGTCAAAGTGAAGTTGTGGGAGTTAATTTCTCGCTAACAATAACAATGTAATTAATCTGCATAACATAACTTCACTACAATCAACCTTACATGAGTTAATCTTCACATTTTATATTTCAGACCTTCAAATAACCGTTTCTGGCCAGCAAGTTTAGTCGCTGCAGCTGCTATACACCCTGCAGCCGCTGGTTTAGTATCATCTGGCAGCAGTAGTTTCAGTGCAGCAATCAATTCCGCCCTCAACAGTACCAGTAACAGTAATGCTGTTAACACTACAACAAGTTCCGCACGATCTGATTGTCACACATCAGAAACACGACCTAGTTCTTTAGATGAAGTGAACAGTGATACCTCAGTGCATTCAATATCGAAACATCCATCCAAGTGTGGTTATATTCCTCAAAACTATGAATCATCATTGTCGTTACCTAACAGTTCTGAAGAAAATCATCCCTATGATAATAACAATAAGTTATCATCATCTGACCTTTGGAATCTTGATACACGTACAGATTTATTTAATTCACAGAAATTCTATTCCACCCTACAGTCCAGTTTACCTTCAACAAAAATAAGAGCCAGTATGCATGATAATAATCTTGGCGTATGCAACAATGATGCTACTGGAAGTATATCGAATTCCTCCACTCTATCAAGTCAAAATCATTCATTCCCAACAGATACAAATCAGTGTTTAAGTCAGTTCAGTTCAACAACTACCATGGGAACAGGTAAATAATAGAGTCTTTTGAAGAGATATTTATTAAAACATTTATCAGTAAACTATTGAACAAATTAAAAAAAACATCTAAATGTGTGCGAATTGTTTGTTTTAATTTTGTTTCCTCATTTCATTGGGTTAGAAAGAACTTCATTTTTACAAAACAGCAAATCAACTAACGGTCACAAATTCAGCTTTCTGGCTTTACTTCCCAGTTGACTGGTAATAGAGACCATCTTTTGACATCAATGTTCATCAGTTATCTGGTATTCCTGCTGAATTTAGGTCGATTTACGATGACGCGGAAATACCTTGACTTAGCAACCAGTTTCATGAATGTGGTTATTTGTTTATTTACATTTTTTTTAAAATTATAGCTGGATTCTACACGTTCGTCGGTGGCACAGCGGTTAGGACTCTCGCCGACCATGTACATGGTCTGGGGTTCGATCCCCGGCCGACGCGCTCCTTTACCTCGTTAGGCCAGTAATAGAATTGGCAAAGAGGGAAGGTTAGGTATGAGGCAGGCTAGCAACCCCATCCTGTAAAAATAATCATCACTGCTACGGAAACTTCAAGCCACTAGCTTGAAGCCCTATGTTCCATCGGGAACGTGAAGGAATAAAAAAAAGTTGATTCTACACAGTGTTTTTGGTACAACTGTGAAATTTTCAGCATGTGATGTCGTTAGTCCAAATTTAGAAGGCCAACCATTGATATCAGGTGTGCGTCGGTTGGGGATCGAACCCCGGTCCACGTGTATGGTTGGCGAGCATCCCAACCGCTGTACCACTGACGTATTCAATCTGTGTCTCTTCTGACAGACTGGTGAAAAAAATTAAACCCTGCTTAATAATCGGAATAACAGACAGTAATTGATGCATTAATCAGTCGTTACTTACGCAAGGCATATAAATGAACCAAACTGAAAATCATGTCTCAGAATAATTTGCTCATAAAAACGGAATCCTTTATGAGTATTAGGTGCATGATTAAATTAAGTATGAAGTCCAACACAAAAAGTCGGGAAAGGTATGAAATATTCTTCATAGTTCTCAAGTGAACGTCGAATGCACAAGAAATTTATAGGGAATCCTGACGATTTCATAAGCATTTTGTTTAATATTGAAGTGAACAAACTTCAAAGTGAAAAAGCTTTCTACTCGTTTTAAATTTCACTTTTCAATCAAAGTGTAGTGAATTTAAACAAAAGCCACCTGTATGAAATGAAATCGACTGTCAAGAACAGAATAAGTTATCGCTTATGAAGAACATCAGTCATTACCTTGATTCCTGAGGAGTATAGTACAGGACTATTTCAGAGAAACAGAGGAATGTCATGAATAATTAGTAGTTACTACAAGACACGATCGTGCGTTGGTGGTTCACTGGTAGAGAGCTCGCCAACCACGCCTCACGTGGTCCGGAGTTCGGCCCCTTGTTGACGAACTCCTAAACTTCGTCAAGTCGGTAGTAAGGTCGGTAAGGAGAGAAGGTTGAGCATGAGGTTAGTAACTCCACTCAGCGAAAATGAAACCACTGTTACTGAAACTTTGAAGCTGTAGCTTGAAACCCAATGTTCCACCCAGAAGGCAAAGGAATAAAAACAAAAGATAACATTTCAAGGTCAAGCACCTGAAGTTATCCATTATGAAATATAACGTTTATTGAATAACAAGTGACTCTTCTTACTGGGATAGGTTTTTGAATGAAATGTTCAAGAGAATGCCCAATTCACCGATTTGGTTGTTATAAGTATTTCTACCATATAGTCATAATTATTCTGCACAAGTTTATTCCGTGTTTTCATCTTATCAAACAGAAATGTTTCCGAATTTAAAAAGCTACAGCTAACACAGTGCGTCGGTGGCATAGTGGTTAGGACGCTCGCCGACCATGCACATGGTCCGGGGTTCGATCCCCGGCAGACGCACTCCTTTACTTCGCTAACCCAGAAATAACGCTGGTGAAGAGGAAAGGTTGGGCATTAGGCTAGCAACCCCTTCCCGTAAAAATAAATACCACTGCTACAGAAACTTCAGGTCACTAGCTTGAAGCCCTATGTTCCACTGGGGAACGTGAAGGAAATAAAAAAACAGCTAACACAGTATGACAAAAATAGTGTATCGGAAACAGTCAAGTTATTATCTCATCTGTAACAGATTTTTACTTCTCCTTATTACTGTCATTCAGTAGAACTACAAAAGACTGCTGATGAATTCACTGGATGTATTTTTGCATCGGAATAATTGAAAAATATTCACAATTCAATAAATGACTCAACTGATTTCATTTTAAATACTATAATAAAAGAATATTATTTTTTCCATGTCATTCGGATGATAGATAGCCTTCTACACTTAGGTTTTCTAGCCAATAAGTTAGAGGAAAAGTGAGGCAGTAAAGACAGGACTTCAATTGAACACAGAGAAGACGGAGGTGTCGAAGATACCTAACCAATGAAAGAAGTCACTTCCTTCATTTATCTAATGACCATCGTTTCAGATACAAGCGTTGGCACGGATGAAAGTATCAAAGACAGGATAGGAAAGCCAAAATGGACTTTCACTACTCAGAAATCAGTGTGAAAATCTGCTGCATTTAGCATTAGGAACTAAATTCAGATTTTCAACACCAAAGTTAATTCGTTCAGTTCTTCTACATGGTTCAGAGGCTTGGCACACGCATCAGCAAAAGCTTCTTCGGACAGGCTCTAGACATTTATCAACACGTGCCCTCGCTGCATACTAAAGATCAGATAGTCAGAAAAGATTTACAAAAAGAGACTCAGGCGAACAACCAACTTTAGAACTTATTGTTCGACGAATATACCGAAGGAAATAGACGTGGACCAGACACACACACTGAGGAGACAATTGAGTGACATCTTGTGTCAGACCTTCGAGTGAAACCTGGATTAGAAACGACGAGCTGGTTGTCTGAGGGTGACATGAAGAAAAGCATTTGAAGAGGAGACCAGAACTAATGGACAAACGTGGAGCCAACTAGAGAGGACTGCAGAGAACAGGATGAAATGGAGATGGGCTGTTGAAGCTCTATATTCCTTTTGGAACCTTAGGGAATAATTATAATAACAGCAATAATAATTCCAACGGTAGTTTTATTAGGCTGTCGTCAGATTCTTTTATACAACTTTTTCTTATATTGTCAACCTTCTATCTGGGTTAAAACTTTAGGAAATGCGTTGAACTGAAGTTAGTTATAGACGGAGGTTACGAAAGACTATGTAGGACACTTGTGGGTGTGTGTGTATCCTAATTCTGAAAATATATTGAAGTTCTAACCACAAGTTTTAGAGTGACTAGAAATTGAAACCCGTAGAAGAATGCAGAAAGGCTAACATTTCAGTTAAAACCTTATACTTCAAGAGACAATCGAGTAAATTTTTTGTTTTTTTGTTTTCAAACTCTAGATCCATCACAGATGATATCTGGAAAGTATGATCCCATGCATCATGAGAATTTAAATGTAAAACAATCAGATGAAATCGTCAATAAACACATGACTCCATTGATGATGTCATCTTTATCATCGTCATCTTCGTGTTCTAATTCAAAAGAAACAGATCAGCAGGGTACAGATACATTACAACAACAACAACAAAGACACACTGACGGGGTATCGGAGAAGAGTTTTTCATTAAGTAAACCAGCGGACTGTAAATCATTATTTATTAGTGGTAATACCAGTAATAACAATAATACTAATAACATGCCTTCTAGGAGTGAAGTGAGTACCGATAATATTAGCGTAAAAGCAGAAAGGAATTTCCGTGAATTCAATCCAGTCTTGTCGAATATATCAGTGGATTCAAATGAAAGTAAAGGGAACAACAACAGCACTATAGAAAATGGATTATTGGATACAAACTTAATGAACACCGGTAATCCCAGTGGTAGAGACTTTGCAAACATTTCAAATGGTGATAACGCCGCCACCGCCGCCTATGGATTAAGACCACAGAATGATTTAGCCATGACAATGATGATGATGAATTCATCAGCATCATCATCGAACTATCCACAGAATTATTCCTCTATGCTGTTATCTCATGCACAGACTTATTCAAATTACTTGTCTAATAGCATGAGTATGTCAAGCAATTTGTTACCATTCGATATTCATAACAATAATAATACTAATTCTAATTATAATCATGGTAATAATGCAAGTAGTCATTTCAACCAGTTGAACTATCCATCTCATACATATCCTAATATTGCTAATCTTACAACAACAAGACAAAGTTCAGGGTTTAATCAGACCGCCAATTTCCCCATATCAAATTTAAACAATTCATCTACTACTCCTGATCCTAGTGCATCCCAACATCAACATTCTAATCAATCTCCATCTATACATAATAATAATACAGAAGTATCAGATGTTGTTTCTGAGCATTGGTCACATCTTACAGATACATCATCGTGTAGCCAATTTAAGCATAATTTGAATTCAATTAATCATACATTTCCTACAAGCTGGACAAATAAGCTAAAACAGTTTAGCTCGTCTACACTACAGAATCATATTAATACCGACTGTTTATCCGCTTCATCAGAAGATGATCCACAACGACATCAACATCATAAGCAATCGCATCCTCCTCACCACCATCATCATCATCATGGTCAACGTCATCATCTACACGATAATCAACATCCTGGTGAGTCAGATGGTCAACAATTTATGGAGTGTTTAAGAAATTCCAGTCTTTTAAGCCGTAATGATGAATCAAGTGATGAACAGTTATCAAGTAGTATACACACTTCTGGTCAAATGTTTTATAATCATCCCAGTGATATAATTAATAATTCGAATTATACACACGCTGAATCAAGTTTACAGGATTCCTTGAATTCCAAGTCAATTTATCCTATACCATACGATCATAATCATCATCAGCATCACCATCAGCATCACCATCAGCATCAGCAACATCAAGAGCATCAACAACTTCACCATCATCTTCAGTATAACAATACAATCCCATTCGGTCATATCACTAATATGAATAATAGCAATACTAGTAATTTCAGTGCAATTGAATGCACTGACACTAGTGACAGTACAAGCCATAATGACAATAATAAAACAAGTGTATCATTCTTTAAATCACCGCCAATGAATAAACCAAACTCGAACTATATATATCCTAATTCATAAGTTATCAGAATTCCCCCAATACCTTCCCTTCCCCTCCCCGTTGCCCGCCAGCTAATGATCACAATGTTTTACTTTCAAACTTTCTAAGCTTTCTTCATTTCATATTTGTACATAATTGAATATATACATATATATGCACATATAATATTTCTAAGAGGAAACTTATTATATGAATTTATCTGTTTTGATAATATTTTCATCTTGAAATAACGCGAAAAAGTTGTTATTTCTATTACTTCTACTACTACTGATGCTCTTTCCTGTCTATAATCTTCGTGTTCCCAACACAAATGAATTAAATTGAAGTCTTCTAAATGTGGATTGTACACACAGACTTTAAATGTACACAACAAAAGGTAATACTGGCACAAACTTTCCAGTTATACACTTCTCTACTGGATGGCAATAATCTAAGGTGTTTGGTGATATACAAAAATAATTAATGATAGAAAATAAAAAAAAATATAATGAAGGATGACAAGATTATCTGACTGAAATATTTCACTTCTATTGTACAAAAACAATATTGATAGAATAATAAACCCATATTTACATCTTTAGTAAAAATGGGGGGAGGGGCGGGAGGTAGTTAGAAGTTGCCTGTTCAACAGAAACACTTTCTTTCGTCGCCCGATCTTTCTTCTTCTCCTTCTCCTACTTCGTCTTCTGTATTTGTTTTTCTCTCTTTTCAGCTTTTCTTTATTTCATGGAAAACAGGGTAATATTGTTACAGTAATGATAACTTTTTATTATGAATTTTATTGAAAATGGAGAAGAAGAGGAAGAGGATGAAGAAAAAGAAGAAGCAAGAAGCAAGAAATGGCTAGTGAATCTTATTATTAATTCGTTATTTTCATTATTACCAGTTTGAAATATATTCATTCATTAATTTTTCTTACATTGTTACATTACTACTATTTACGTGTATAAGTAGTTCACATTATCTTCATAAAAATATGCTTAACTAGTTTGGTGTAGATGTGCTAATCACTACTGCTTATGGTAGAGTCAAATCCAATATTAATGAAGATGTTAATGTTGGGATGAAATGAATCTTAAGAACATGTAGGAACTAAAATGAAAGCGTATTGCCACCACTTACTGAGAGTTATCTTGTTGGGGGACTATTGCAAACTGGGAAACAAGGGACGGTCATTTCCTCCTTGTTCAGGACTGTTTAGCTGTACTCACCCTTGGATTATGAGGCGAGATAGTTGAACACTTAGTCACTGAGAAAGAGTCCAATGGTCCATCATTTTTAACCTCTGCCAGTTCTTGATATATAAGGCACCCTCCAGCAAACGTTATTGGCGAGTAGTGGTGGACTAGGCTGATCACGAATTAGGAGGTGAAAGGTTTTGTTGATTACGTAGGATACGCTGTATATATACTCAAGTTTCTATAATGTAGTTTACAAAGTATCTGTTCTACTGAGAACACAGACAATAAATTGATCGCCCAAAATACAAGATATATTTAGGGATTAGAATCGTATTGCGATGATGACTGTTTAGCTATCGAGGAATCTTATGTACGAATGACCAAACATAACACGACAGCATGCCAAACGACATGGATGCTTGATTGCGAACCTTCAGTTTAACAACTCGACTTAAACAGCAACTGCCAGCATCCAGTGTTCAGTGAATAATTTTTGGAAATTATTTACAACGTTACAACGACTTCTCATTAGAACTCCGGGTAACTTAACCATGTAACCAGTCACTAATCAGCACTAGATTCATTTTTAGGCGTCGGTTCATAAGATTCGGTCCTTGATGAGGTCATCCGTTCATACTGATGAAGAGTCCCGAACAAGGACAAAACATATTTCCAGTGATCCCTAGTATTCAGAGATTTTCTAACTGAAGTCATTTAGTAGTCAGTCTTGAAATCCGTCAGCCCCCTGCAAACCAACATTTAGCAATGTTGTTTAAACAATTTTAAGTAGCCTAATGAAGTTTTAATTATCGAAATGGTTAAGGAAACCCGACTAAATCATTTTCATTCCGTAAACCAGTACTTCGTCTAGTCAGCATCATTACTTAGAGATTCATATTAAGTTTCTGTTTCCTGCTGTAAAGTCAAATGCAACAAAATAATTAGTTATTTTTATGAGTTTAAACAAAATGTGAATGAGTAGCTTTGCAAAATCAGACTGACTACCCTTAATTTCTTGTATTGTCGCTGAGTGAGAATTAATGCATAGTGGTGATAATGCTATATACTACTACTGGCTGATTCACTTGAACGGTTAGATACGTCTCACGTCAATCAGTGATGCTTACTAACCCGCTTGAAGTGATCTAAACACCAGACGGCTGTTTCACTCAATCAAGGTTGGGCTCATCAACAGTCCAACTCAGAAGGTATAATCTATTCACACCACTCAAATTCTAAATAACCATTTGAGAGAAGTTGCAGTACATCGTATCAAATTTTCATTTCGGTTTCTAAAGGAAACTGTCGCGGAATTTCAACTCGGTTTGTATAGTTTGCACATTGTGGATTTGACAACCTTCGTTGAGGTGAATATTAGCTTAACCGAAAAATGGTATTATTGAAGTGACGATAAACTACACTGGATAGTTTTATTGCAGAGTAGTACACATTTTAGCAGGTTTTTATGAAAAATTTCATAAATATAAGATAGTTGGGGGCAATTGGCAGGAAGCCTTGGACCTAGGTTTTGTGCTAGTTGGCACTCACAAGTCAGCAAGGCGTATCTGCAACCTTGAAGGAGCTCATGTCCCTTCTGAGATTCGAACCTGCGTCACACAGGTGTGGCAGTCAGAGACGCTACCTTTGAGCTATTTGGGCTCGCGACTGACATCCTGTAGGACTGTAGTGGATAATTTGATTGGACACTAGTAACTAGTGTGATGTGTCTAGTCCTTTCTTTGGTGCACACTGAATTCTATCAGTCAGGTTTTGCAATGTGACCACCATTCTAGGTAGCTCGCCATCACGATGCACATTGATTTGATGATATTAGATAGTTGGGGGCAATCGGCAGGAAGCCTTGGACCTAGGTTTCGTGCTAGTTGGCACTCATCGGCAAGGCGTATCTGCAAGCCTTGAAGGTTCAAGGCTTCCTGTGGCTGATTGCCTCCAACCATCTAATATCATCAAATCAATGTGCATCATGATGGCGAGCTACCTAGAATGGTGACCACATTGCAAAACCTGACTGATAGAATTCAGTCTGCACCAAAGAAAGGACTAGATACGTCACACTAGTTACTAGTGTCCAATGCAAATTTCATAGATAATTGATGAAGTCGGTATAATGAAAAGAAAAGGGGAAACTGAGGTTAACTAGGTGAAAAATCAATCATCAAATCACCTTGTAATGTAAAATGCATGAATTTAACTTAACAGATGCATAGAGTTACACTAACGTTAGGATAGCCTCTTTCGAAAATCATAAGAGATTCAGAAAACAAAGTATGATATCTGATTAAATTCAAGGAGAATTTGGTGTGTATTCACAGTAGAAATAGACTTGTTGACGTATACGATAAACACTTCGCTAGATGAATTGTTGAGTAGTAATTAGGATGTTTTAATTGAGTATTACACGTATTATGATCATAATGTTGTCAGAAATAATATAGTTTAAGTTTAAAAATTCAGGTATGATGCAAATAGTATCCTAGTTAGTATTCGAAGATATTCTGGTTGCTATTTTCAGGTGTCTTGAAAAATTTCAAATATTTACTTCAAAGAAGTAGTTTTATAGAATAAGGGTTGAGAATATGCGAAAACTTTTATTGTTCCCTAAGGGAATTTCCGACTCGGGTGATGTTTAAACTTACTAACTTTACTTGAAATGAAATATCAAATCAAAGATTTCATCGAGGCTATTTAGTTCACCAACTCCCTTGTAGTGATTCTGAGATCAAATATTTTTTTTTTTTGGTTACAGCTTGATGCCACACCGTATTTTCAGTACAAGTATGGCATTTTCAGCATCGATATCGGTAGCCCAACTTTGCAGGCCGACCATAGATATCGGGTGTGCGCCGGCAGGGGCTCGAACCTCGGACCATGTGCATGGTCGGCGAGAGTCCTAACCACTGTGCCACCGACGCAAGTTAATGAGTGAAGCTTGGGTACTGGGGTATAGTATAATTCCAATATGGATAGAATTTTATTTTGATAAAGTCACACAGTATTATACAGTAATATTTACGGATGACTACGTTTCGAGCACAATTTATTGCTCATAATCATATCAAGTCATTCACAAAACTTTTTTCATCAGTTATATATAGATGATTAGACATTTGAATGAAATCAATATAAGATAAAGTACATTTGGAAATAATATTAGTGTTAACAATCAAATACAATTAGATGGGAAATAAGATGTTTTTATAGTAAAATAAATAACTTGTTGGAATGTTATAATGTGAATTGAATACATTTTAACATTACTTATCATCCTCAGATTTGACTGGTAATATCTTCCATATCTCTAGTATTTGCGTTGAGTCACTTCTATTGCATGTGTTGGGTGTAGACTCGATGAACCAGGATTCAGTAATCAATCTCTCTCTCTCTCTCCAACTACCTATCTGACTTATTAGAATTTTGACTCTGCCCACCCTATTGTGTGATTGTGTTAATGCATGTAGTGCAATCGCTGAGCTTTTTTCTAAATTACTAATCTTCTTACGGTCAACCATTCTCACCTTAGCTAAATTCTTATGTTCCGACAATCTGATTACCCCCGATCTACTAGTTTGATAGGTATTGTATGATAGGTATGTCTTTGACTTACAGTCATTGCAACGTATTTTGTAAACTATATTATCTTGTTTAATTGGGTCAGTCGACAGGGTCCTTTAGCCTACAGAGCTAATCCTACGTGAGTGAGTTTATAGGTTTGAATGCCACTCTAATTCTTGCTTTATTAAGAATCCTACGCAGGGTCTCAGATGGTAAAACTGTAGATACCTTATGTTCTTTCTTATTTATGTTATCAATATTAGTTTCACCATTATTTTTATTTTGCTTTAAACCTTTTTTGATCTTCCGAATGAATTTTATAGGATAGTTATTTAACACTAACGCTTGTTCTTCTATCTGTTTCATTTCATCATTTAGGTTTTTGTTGTACTACTTAGTGCTATTGATCGGTTTGTTAGACACTTAACTAGGCCAGCCTTTACAGATAACGGATAAGATGAATTGAAGTCTAAATGTCTATTAGAATGCGTTGGCTTTTTTTAAACCCTAGTGTGCCGTGAATATTACTGAATAACACTGTGTGACTTTATCAGGATAAAATTTTATCCATAATGGAATTTACGAGTGAAGTCAGTTAGTCTGACGAAGAATCAAAGCATAGTTTAAATGAGCTGCGTTAACTCCTAGTAAAATGCAGAGCATAGAAAATAGCTCAGTTAGAGCTGTGCTTATAATAAAACACATTCACAATTCACGATGTGGGAAAAATTAAAAATAGTATTGTGAGCTAAATGTAAGTAATGCGTGAGTGATAAGTGAATTTCATTTAAGGAACCTGTAAGATCAACTGTTCTTAAAACTTTTATTATTAAACTTTCCCTTAGTATTTCTCTACCCAGGTCGGATGATTTATAAGGAGTTCTGGTTTCGCTGTAGTAGGGAAAACTAAGGAAAAAAGTCTTTAAACCATGTAGTCTATCTCTATACCAAACTACCTTACTTTGAATTAGTAAGCCATCTGACCGAGAAATCAAGTCCTGATTTGGAGGTACATATAGAGAAGACAGAAAGAGACCTATGTACTTCATTAAATGTAACTTTTTACACCATCATTATTTTTGAGTGGAAGGAAAGCAGAGTCCAAGTAGAAAAAGTAAGATTTTATTGCCTTTAAGCTTCACATCAGTTTCTTATTCTTCCAAATGACTATTAGCAGAAAATGGTGACAATAAAGTCAGCATTTCAAATATTGAAATATGGAGGCAGGTGTTTTCGAGAAAAAATATCTTGTGATGAACAGAGTAAAATTTAGCATACTAAGTAAAGGGACTTCTAGATTTTTATTCATACGACGACATAGCGCGACCATTTCGCAGTGTCTTCTTCCATGAATTACTGCCTCATCTTCAACCTGCTGTACTCTACTGGTCACGACTTCTTACTAGAACCCCAGGTCACTGCCTGAATAGGGCCAGTAGCTAGTGAGCATCAGATTAATTTTCAAGTGTTGTCTTTGTAGGGATTTTGTTTGATTGGATGGAGGATTTCATCATGAGCTGACATCAGTTAGAGAACCACTGGAAAACCTGGGAGTACTGGACAGCTGTTTCGTCAGCCCAGTTTGGGACTTTTTACAGTACGCACCCATATTCGTATGATCAAAATGAAAGTTGAAGATTAACAAACTCGAGTAGAGTAAAGAAGATTTCAGACTGGTTGTGAGTATATGAACCACATATTTTCTGTGTGTTAGATTTTCGGACTGTGGTTATGCGCTTTCGCTGTTGATACCAAACTCATTCTTTAACCGTCGACCGGGAGTTCTTATGTTAGTATCCATCATCTGGAAAAGTGTTTCACTATCATGTCACTCTGATAAATTCTCTCTGCCTTAATATTAAGAGACTTCAGAATATTATATCAGAAAACCAGGTTTCTGTTCAGGAAGAGATCAACACAAGTGAAACCTATAAAAGATGGTCAAGGGAACCTGATAAACAAGGAGGAGAAACAAATAAAACGGTGGGCTGATTACTTTAAAGGACTCTCGAATCGACCATCGCCTAAAACTCGCCCAGAAATACCACCACCACTACCAGCACGCACATAACTGCTAGTGGACACCAATCCTTCAATGAAAGCAGACATCTTGAATACTATCATGCTATTGAAGGTCAGCCGGAATCCCTGTAGAAGCACTATAAACGGACCAATAGACTGTGGCAGATGTACTCATACCATTATTGTAAAAGGTTTGGAAGGAAGGAAAAGTGCCTACCGATTGAAAGAAAGGCTGGTCACCTTGTCAAGCTATCAGAGAAGGGTTACTTACTCATCTGCAAGAACTGACTGGAGTGGAATAATGCTCTTGTCCACGCCAAGTACAATACTAAGTCGTGTCATCCTGAAGAGACTAAATTATGTACTGAATGTAGAAATCTACCCCAAACCCCAGGATTCAGGAAAGGTAAATCATATGCTGTTCAAATGCGACTCTACGCATTGTCATCTAACAAAACATAGAATGACTGTCTTACATGTACCTCAACTTCATCGACTTCGAGAAGGCCTTCGACAGACAGCGTTGACCGAGACGTAATTTGGAAACTGCTTCAACACTATAGAGTGCCCCAAATGTATATTAACCTCCTTCAACAGCTGGCTATATGACAATGCCATGTGTCAGGTGATTCACAGTGAAAAACTCAGTGAAGCGTTTGAAGTGAATACAGGAGTAAGACAAGGCTGCCTGCCTATTATCAAAGATGATCTTCTTAATTGTGGTGGACTGGATTATGCGTCAAACTGTGCATGAGAGTGAGAAGAACGGAATACGTTAGACGACCGATAAGAAGAATTTAGAAGATGTGGATTTAGCGGATGATTTGTGTTTATTGTTACAAAAAATCGAAGACTTGCTGGCAAAAACTGACAACAAACTGGCAGAAAAGGCAGGCTGACAGCGAAGACAGCACTCCTAGTAGACGTAGAGAAGAGAGAGGTGATGGAGGGAACCAAGAACAACAACAACCAGCACCAGTCACCAACAACGGAAGTGATTTGACAGAGGTTGCCTCCTTCACTTATGTGGCCAGGAAGGATCGTTTCAACTACAGGCGGATGGCACGGATGAAGATATCAAAGCCAGCCAGAATCAAAAAGGCAAGATACGCCTTCATCAACCTGAAACCAGTTTGGAAATCGTCTACACTTCACTCAGTGGCATAATGAACAAGATTCAGGTTTTCAACACAAATGTGAAGTCAGTCACTTCTTATACACGGATCAGAAACTTGTACCGCGTGTGAGTCACGAAAAGAATTTGCACCAAGTTACAGACCTTTATCGACAACTGCCTTCGCTGCCTCCATATTGAAGATCAAATGGCCAGTCAGAAAGAATTAGCAAAAAGAAACTCTGAGTGGAAACAAACCAACCAAGAGCCATTTGCTCAGCAAACACGCAGGAGAAAATGGAGATGGATTTGACACTCGCTGAGGAGGCCACTGGGTGACATCGCGCGTCAGGCCATAGCTCGAGTGGAACCCGAAAGGGAAGCGGCGAGTGGGACGTCGAAGGGTGACATGGAGGAGATCGTGTGAGGAGGAGATGAAACAGTATGGACTAACATGGATGCAGGTGAAAAGTACAGCAGAAGACAGAAACAAGTGGAGACGTGTAGTTGAAGCCCTATGTTCCACTAGGAACCCAAGGGAACAATAATAATAATAGTAATAAGTTCCCTTTATGAATTTCGACAACACAATGAGAAGTAGTTTATGTGAAACGTGTAATGTATTTGCGCACCACATTTCGGGCATTCTGATCACACACATACTTGTGTTTTTTATCTGTATAAGTATGTGAAACGGCCACTGGATTATAAAAAACCTCTAAAGACTTTGGGTATTAGGTCACAGTTGTTTTCACGTTGTATGAACACCAAGTATGCTCCAAAACAAGGGTCAAAAAGGCTTGAATGAAAAGGGCGACTCATTAGATTCCTACAATGCATAAAGTCTAGTTTTTCGTAGGTGTGACATGTTTTAGTCATGTTTGGCGCCACCTACTAGAAAATGGAATCCTGGCTGAAATAAGACTCATCTGGAACAAAACTCGGACAGAATAATTCAAGATATGGGACAGAAGGTAGAAGAGAGGTGAACCAGCAAAAAAAATATACATATGGTACAACCACTTACTTAAATTGGAGCCATTGAATCTCAGTAGCTGACAGAAAATAAACCAAAGGTTGATTAAAATGAAGGCAATAGATACATAATTGAAGTTCACACTTATTCAAGTGATAATGTGTGTAGGAGTAATGACGAGTAATACAGTCCCACGAAGATTATTAGCACTGTCCTATCGAGTTTAGCCGTGAAATTTTTACAGAGTTTAGGGAAGTTATCTTTCAAATTCACAGTCCGAAGCGAAATGTCTTTAGTAGGGAAAAGTTATTCGAAACTGTATATTGTCAAATCGATATCACAAATAGTGTGAAGGCTATAAGGCACATAATACTGATTACTATGAATAGTTCAAAACCACTGAACAGCTGGCTCCAAATAAGAGGAATGACTGTTCGTGGATTAGGTCAGTTCACTTATCAACCTGTAGTGCACGTTGTGTAAATTATAAACGGGTTTTTGAATTCTCTTTGCATGATATCAGATGGTTGGAGGCAATCTACAGGAAGCCTTGCTCAACTTAGGTTTCGTGCCAGTTGGCACTCATCAACAAGGCGTAGACAAATCACACTAGTTACTAGTGTCCAACCAAAGTATCCTGTACAGTCCTACAGGAGGTCAATCGCGAACCCAAATAGCTCAGTGGTAGCGTCTCTGACTGCAGCACTGGGTGACACCGTTTCGGATCTCAGAAGGGATATGAGAGGTTGCAGATACGCCTTGCTGATGAGTGCCAACTAGCACGAAACCTAGGTCAAGCAAGGCTTCCTGACGATTGCCCCCAAATATCTGATATCATCAAATCGATGTACACCTTGATGGCGAGCTACCTAGAATAGTGGCCACATTGCAAAACCTGACTAACAGAATTCAGTGTGCACCAAAGAAAGGACTAGACACATCACACTAGTTACTGACTAGTGTCCAATCAAAGTCCTCTCTTTGTATGTTAAAATTTTTTCCGCTTTTATTGTGAAGTCAAAATCTAATGTAATAATCATAATAAATGATGATAATTGATTTTTCTGTTTTTAAATGATCCAGTTATTTATAAGCATATGTATTTCCTCCAAAAGAAGACAGTCTAATAATGCCTTAATGCATCTATATTTTAATGCTGATATGCTTTACCCGCCATCAAATGTTTCAATCCCGCAGAATGAAGAATAAACAGCGTAATAAGAAGGTTGGATTCGATAATTGTAATTATGAATCACAAGAAAATGAAATGAGCATGAATCCATCTTATTTCAGTGATGCATATGATTCATTCTTAAATGATATACAACAAGTGAAACAAAGAAACAATTTCTCCAACATACACATATTACTGAATCAAAATGTAAGTAACACAAATGCTGAGGGGAAAAATGATAGACGCAAATTTTTCAATGCATATCAAAATGAAACAGAATACAGTGGTGAGGAAAAAGACAGGATGTCAGTGGAAGAGAAGCAAATAGAACTTGATGAAAAAGAAGAAGATGAGGTGTCATGGCTACTTAATACTGAAGAAATCCTAGAAGATGATGAAATAACTGAAAGAGAGTCAGTTTCAGACGAAGACAGAGCCAGTGAAGTGGAAAAAGATGTGGGAGAAGGAAAGGAAAGGGAAAATTTACTACAAAATCGACAGTCCGAGTTTAGCGCAGAAGATAGACGACAAATAAACTTAGTTTTACGTCAACTTGAGCGACCACCATGCATATTAATGCCGTTATACTATTTATGCCGGTCATGTTGTAGTACTCTGAGAAAATACCGCATTGAAATTCGACTTCGTAAAAAGCAATGGGATCCACTGTTAAAATCAGAACGGATTTATGTAAAAAATGCTATCGGTTTAATATGTGGCATTACTTTGGGCTTTATGATGTATTTCCTGTTCCTAGTAACTTTTTCACGACATCCATACTTGTCAACTATATTAAGTGCTTACATTATGCTGGTGAGTGTATTTGGTCTAGCATTTTCAAGAGATTTTCAATGCATAGCTCTACTAGTACTTCCGTATTTAACTGCCTCACGAGTTCGTTGGTTAATTGTCTTCTATACAACAGGTGTGTCAGTCACTGGACCCGGTTTAAATTTTCTACACAATTCCGGAAATTTTCGTAATTCCATCGCTTGTGTTATTGCTCAAGTGAATACAAATATGATGATATTGAAGAAGTTAACTCAAGCACCATTTGCTCTGTTAAAAAATCAACTGGAAAATTTAATTGATAGTATTAATACAATTGTTGAACGATTTAGACAAACACTATCTAAAGTTAATTTCTCTTTAATTCGTCTAACTAATGTTATGGAAAGTCAAGCTAGTTGGGTACACTCATTAATTGTTGCCTGTGATGATAGTGTTGCCTTAATTAACCAGTGTTTAGCCTTTTTCAATAATATTTACTTTAGTTGCAGGAATGCTTTTGGTTTTTTAAGTGGTCTGTGTAAGTTTGTGAGATTTTTCGCCAAAGATACCTGTGTTTCATCGGATATTTTCACAGAATTGTGTAAAAAACAAGGTGCAGTGCTTGAAGACACCTTAAATATTACATCAAAAGCTGAGTTGACAAATCAAATCCATGGTATACTCAATGTTATCGGTAGAAAGAATTTAACACTGTCAGGGAATTTAAGCCAGATACAAGAAATCACATTTTCTAGTGATCATACAATATCTAATAAATTACAACAAAGAATGGATAGTTTTATTCAGACTGTTGATGCAGTCAAATATATTGTCTCATGGGTTATGGTTGCATGGACATTAATCACTATGATGGCGTTATTTATTCAAGCAATATTATTTCGAAGATCTTGGTTAAATAATGAAGCTTATAATAATGTATACATAACTAGTGCATTTATTGAACAAGTGAGTTGAAAACTGCATGTTTTCTTTTCTATGATTTGTTTGTATGGATTAGATTTGTTTTTACGAGTTGATCACGGAATGATATCAGTTAGAAAACCATTGAAAACTAGCACTGGAGTACTGAACAGCTGTTTCATCCTAGTGCCTGGGAATCATCGGCAGTACGCACCCACTACCACGGTTCAAGCTGGCTCGTATACTATTCAGCCACTGGGAAATGATTCAATGGCCAGCCCATTAATTCTAACTTCTAACAGTTCGTGATTTAGCGCGACCCCAAACAGTGTCGTCGGTGGGACATCCAAATGTCAAGTGTGAGGATGGATGTCCCAGTGACGACATTGGTTAGGGTCGCGCTAAATCACGAACTGTTTGTTTTCTTTCGAATAAGGGAATATACTTTTTATTAGACTGATATAAGTATGATTTCTAAGGCTGATTGAAAGTATATTCCCTTGGATTGATATCTACAATTTGCATTCCCTACAGTTTGAGGTGAAATTTCACGAAATTATACAGATCACAATATTTGATCTGTCTGAAACCATGAATGGCGATCAAGATAGCAGATATAATTGTATGATGGTGAATACTACTGATTGAATAATACCAGTAGTCGGATAGCGTCGGTGGCACACCGGTAGAATGCTGGCCAAGCACGCATGTGTTCCGAGGTTCGATTCCTCGCCAAAGCACTCCTTCACCTCGCCAGGCCAATGATAAGACTGGTAAGAAGGGAAAGTGAGGCATGAAGCTAGCAACCTCATCCAGTAAAAATACATACCACTGCTACCGAAACTTCAGAGCTCAGGCTTGAAGCTCACTGTTCCACTGGGAACATGAAGGAATAAGAAAAAGTAGTTGGATGTTACTCACATCAGCCAGTAGTTCTTACTAGCCACATCTAAGTAATCTAAACAGCTGACGGCCGTTTCACTCGTTTGAGGCTGAACTCATCAGCGGATAAGTCAAGAGAACCAAATCTACTCAGTTCACCGAACCCTAAGGACAGAAATCACCGCCTAGTGTTTAGATCACTTTGGTCTGATTAGCAAGCACCACAGGCTGGTATGCGTTGCATCCAACTACTCATATCAATCAATCAGTAGTATATAGGAAGATACATTTAGGTTGCCTTGGGTTTAAAAGAAGATGCTGTCAAGTGTCTGTGTTATTATTCATTTCATAACAACGTGTTTTCTTGTAAAGTAAATGAAACACTTCATTTCATATTGAATGTTTCAGTGTGATTAAATGGCAGCTTTGCACCCACCTATATGATAATAAATGCGGTACACCCATGGCTTTGGTTAACTAACGTCACCGCCAAACTTAAAAAGTGCTGGACATCATTTGTTTTCTATTTGAACTTACTTAAAGTCCAATGAGTTACCTACTGGCTAAAATGGTTACCTATTGACTGCTTCACTTATTTGGGAAGTACCATCAGTCCCAACGGGTTGATCTCTGACGAAATCTCAGCACGGATAGAGAAAGCTAGTTTCGCATATGCCAGTGTACGTCGTCTCTGGCGTAGACGTGATATCCGGCTATCAACCAAAGGGCAGGTGTACTGCTCAGCAGTCCGCTCTGTCCTCCTTTATGGCTGTGAGACCTGGCCATTGAGAGCGGAAGACATGAAAAGATTAGCCGTCTTTGATCATAGGTGCTTGCGCGCTATCTCCCGTGTGAAGTGGTATAATAAGGTGAGCAATATTGAGGTTATGTTTCAGTCGAGTGCTAGGTAAGGAGGGGAAATCAGTCGACGAGACTGTGAAATTACATCCACTGAGATGGTTACGGCATGTGCCACGTATGCCTAGTCATCACCTTCCTCGACGGGCAATGTTAGCTGACATAGGGTCAGGCTAGAAAAGAGCTAGAGGCGGTCAAACGAAAACATGGCTTCATCAGTCAATGAAATCCACAACAGTTAGTCTAAGCAACGTAGGAAGGTGTAGACTTCCTGACTGGTTGGGGTCCTCGGGACGGTAAAAACCAATGGCTGGAAACAATGGTGATATGGCTCAAAATCGTTCTCAATGGTGTAGATGCATCCACTCCTTGTGACTTATGATTTCCAATGAAACTTTTTCGTTCTTCGTTCTTACTATTGCTTTGTCTCACACCTCTGTTTACTATCTATATTATGCATTTCTCCTACTCTCTTCTCTTGCTTTGTGTGCTACATGGAGTGTTGCGACTTGAACTGCAGCACATATGTGCAAAGTTCTATGTCGAAAACAGACAGACAGATTGGCTAAATCCGTAGCCTTATGATGCAATCGAAGTTGCTTTTTGTTTCTTTTCATACTGGCTAAAGATGATGAAATAAAGCTGCTGTAAATACCTGAACATTGTGTATACACTAACGAATTTACTTTGATTTCTAAAAAAAGCCAGAATTTGTGGATTCATGAAAGAGTGTAGCTTAGAGAATTGAATCAGTTCAAACTACCTGATTTCTGGCTAGTTGCTTGGGCGAACCGGTTATACTATAAATCTGAAATGGCAATTTGCGCAGTTCGAGATGAGTAAAACCGAGTACGGCGCTAACTAGCTTGGCCCGAAACGGCAGTCCAGTGTTCAGGTCACTTCGATTTGGACATCAGGTACTACTGGTTGATATGAGTGGTCTACAACTACTCACCTCGATCAATCAGTAGTATATGATTTCGTGCACTAATTTTTTCTTTGTCGACTGCCATTTATAGTATCAAACACAATACATATTGTGATCTGAATAATTTCGGCTTTTGGAGAAAAAACTGTGGTGATATTTCATATTGGAGCGTGAATACTGCAAATTAATTTGCTAATTTCAAGTTTATTATGTCGCTGGTTGAGGGTACTCATTTGCATGATGTCAAAGCCTAAACAAAAAACGTGGTTCAGTAAAGTTTCTCTTTTCAGCGAATTCATTTTCTTAGCTGCACAATCGCAAATGCACATAGTTTCTTTTGTATGGATGTGTACATTAAGTGTGTCAAACAAAAACACAATTGGTTATGGTTATTTTAACTAAACAGGCGAGAATTAATAAGTTTTGGGTGGAGTTACGTAATTAAAAAACAGTCAAGAAAATTGGGTGTTAATGAAACTAGGGTGGTAGCAAAGGTGGTGAGTTGTCACAAACAGTTTGATGATTGAGCTGTACTCAGGATACGCATAGGAACAAAGTGGAGAATACGAAATTATGTAAGAGTCCTAAATGAATAAAAGAATTATAAGCAATTAAAGAAACAGGCAAACAAACAAAATTAAGTCATCAAAAATCAACAAATTTGTTACCATGATAGTAGAATTGGTTGAGTAATTCTCTTTTGTGTGCACAGCACCAGTTTTTATGTGAATGGCTAGAGCTTCAGCAATACAAAGAAGATGAAACTGTGTTGCCTTTGGTAGGTTATTCTTGACTCTGTAGATTTATTTGAAGAAGGCGTTTGTTGAGATGGAATGATCAGATGGAATGATCCTCTTGGACAGGGTCCACGTCGAATGACCGATGTACCTGGCTCCACAGCTGCAGGTAAAATGATATATGCACATAGAAGTGGCCAGATGCGGGATCTTGTCCTTAAGGCTTCTGGAGATCAGCGGGCGACTGGAGAACACTATTCTTAGCGTTGCAGCGATGAATGTCCCTTTCAAAAATGATGTGATCTTTCTCTTGTGAATGTCGCTTGTTAAATCTCCCTTAAAATCCAAGTTCATGTAGAGTCTCTTTTTCATCGCAAGTGAAGTTTCATTTCTCCAAATTCTTGGTTTGATATTTTTATCAATGAATCTTGGGGGGGGGGGGTATCCGTTTTGGATGAAGATTTCTTTCGAAAGATCTAATTCTGTTTCTAGAACATCAGAACTACAGATGCGTTGGATGTGGGTGACAAGTGATTTAATTAAATTCCGCTTTTGTTGAATGGGTACCCACCTATAGAAGCTTGTTATTTGACCATTTCAAGTAGCTTTTCTATGAATCGATATTCCTAAGGTCCCATCAGTTCTTCTTGTTAATTCCACATAAAGTGAAATAAGTCATTCCCAGTAGTATCCATTGATAAACGTGAAGTGAGTTTCAGCTGGGCGAGGAGTCAGTTTGTTTGGTATTTGCTGCATACACTATCGACTGTACCTTATTTTGATACTCCCTGTCTCCAAGTAGAAGCACGCAATACATGGAGATCCAATATTTTGTGATGAAATAAAGGAGGAAAAATAAGGTAAACATAAAATCGTATTCATCGTTATTTCATTGAGCATGTCTAGAAAATATCGCTTGCTTATAAGACAGTCAATAATTCAATGCAGACTTGTGACCATATCACTTAAAGCCCTGCACAGTTGGTTGGTTCTTACCGTCTAACTGACACTAATTAGGTAACTGGTACTCTTTATACGATTAAACGAACTGTCAAAGGATTTCTAGATAGGTTCTGTCGTTATCTGACTAGCTTTGTCTCGTTTCCATCTTCACCCTAGGTCAGTTAAAATTACTGTGCGCAAGTATATCAAATTTTCGTTTCATTTTTGCTAAATTAAAGTGACCAGTTTCATCTGACATCAAAAATAAAGTATATAAAAGCCCTGTCATGTCTTTTCCGTCTTTTTAAAGGAAAAAGAAGCTATCCGAAAAGGTTTGGTTCCAACTGTTCCATTGGTTCGTAAAGAGAAAAAGATCTACAAAAAGTTATCCAGCATAAGTTGGACTTTATCAGAGAAGCATACAGCAATGCTGGCTAGTATAATGCTGATTATTTGGAGTTCTTCAATAATCCTGGTGATGGTAACTGATTATACAATGTATACAGTTACTGATATTGTCATACCATTGTTTTCACATGATTTTTCAAAATATGGATCAGGAAGTGATACAGAAGAAGGTTCACGAATAGAAGATGATGAAAATTATAAACTGCATATTGATGGTGATTCATCATTTGCAAATATTATCCAATCATTAACTGGTATGCTGAATCCATTAAAGGATGTTGCGCTGAATATAGATGCAACAATTTGCCGACCAACACCGAATCCACCAGATTTTAATACATACGTTGAGATTATTTTATTGTTATTATTAGCATTTATAAGTGTTATCCTTCAGGTGAGTGATGCAGTTTAGAACAAAATTCATGCTGATGATTTATTTAAGTGAACTGGTTAGTCATATTTGATATCTGGGTTATATAAGAAGAAGACATGTACAGACGGAAAACAATGAACATGGATAGACACTCCCTGAATAGCCTGAGTATTTTATTACACTTTTGTGTGGCTACTTTCACAGACTTTGTCTCAGTTTGGTTAGTTATTACCTTGTTCCTTACTGTTCTGTGCATTGCTGGTTCGGTCGTAGAACGCCCGCCAATCACGCACGTAATCCGGATTCGATCCCCCGGTCGACGCATTGCTAAACTTCTCTAAGCTGGCAGTAAGGCTGGTAAAGAGAGAAGGTTGCGTGTGAGGTTAGCAACCTCACCCCGTAAAAATAAAACTACACTGCTACTGAAACTTGGAACCTCAAGCTTGAAGCCCTGTGTTCCACTCGGAGTGTAAAGGAATAAATGAAATAATCGCTAGTCTAAGAGAATCTACCCATTCATTAGCTGATATGACCTTGTTATTTGTAGTTTACTTTGAGTCAAATATGAACCAATATATTATAGATTAATGAAGGGGAATTGAAAATTGTTGTGATCACCTCTTCTTGTATATTTATTCAACTGGTGATTCAGTGGTATGGGCAACTAGTAGACAGTATGGGGTTGTGTAGCGTATAGATGTTTTTTTTTTAAGGAAGCAGATATACAGAGCTACGTAAAGCCTTACACAGAACTAAGCTGTTCCAAGTTGATACGCTTAAAAAGGAAAACAAAAGTAATCTTAAGTAAACTATATTAAAATTATATATGTCCAAACCAAGTTCACTTTTAACAGATTGAAAAAATTTGGGAATTGGGTATATGATATTCATTATAATAGAGGTTTTTGAATTTCCCTATGAATGAATTAAAAATAAAACGATATTGTTTTTACTGACGTTTCTCTATTTAATGCCTCTAATAGCTTTATCGAAGTATTATTAAACCGGAATTTACAAAATCTCAGTATATATAAAACAAAGAGTAAAGGGGTGAGAAAATAGACTTAGGTCAAGTTAAAAGGACATATTGAAAGTTAAAATACCAATGAAGATCACTAAAACAAATAACAAAGGTAATAGTACATCTGTTATGGTATCAAAACAAAGTTTACTAACTTGATCATCGTTCGTCAGTCTGGGGTCATCTTTCGTTGTCAAGTTGGTCAACTGGTAAAGATAATAAAATCAAAATCAAGTGTAGATTGTTGGATTTGACCAGTGTTTAAAATTATGAAGGCAGTGTGTGTTTACATAGTGAACTTGCTTATCACATTCGTGCTGGTTTTGTCACTTCATGTGGGAGGGAGGTGTTGTAACCAGGTCAGATTCTGTTTTAGTCCATCATTCCCATTCAGGCAATCTGGATTCCACTTGATATGAAGTGCTTCTGATGAAATTAGACGTTCTTTATGATTTCTGAAATGCTTTTTCTGGATTATTTCAATATTGTCAAAATCAATTTTGTGACCTGGTTCTATAGCGTGTAGACAACCTATGGCTGATGATTTTTCAAGTTTTTCCAGTTCAATTGGATTTCTTGGTGGTCGAACAGATGCTCTACGGTGTTCATTTCTTCTGATTTTGATTTCTCGAGATGTTTGTCAGATGTATATCGCATCACATTCCAAGCACTTTATTTTATAGACGCAATTAGATAGACAATCTTTAGGCATCTGGTCTTTTATATGGACAAGGTTGTTTCGTAGTGTGTCTGATGTTTTAAAGAAAACTCTAATGCCGAGCTGATTGAGTAATCTTCTGATATCATCTGACGTCTCTGCTCTATATGGAATGACGACTGTCGAGGTCCATGTTTTCGGAATGCGTTTTCGGCCAAATTTAATGTCTGTGTTGATTTTGTTGATGAAGTCCTTGGGTAGTTGTTTTGCTTGGGAGTTTCAGCAACGTTTGACATTTCTTCTTCCTTTTCTTTCTCATCCGTTATCAGAGAGTGTGCTCGTCTAAGAAAACTTGAAACAAGTGATACCTTTGCGTTGATGATTTGAAGTCTAAATATTTATTGAAGTGGGTTTTCTTCCTGAATATGGATATACTAAAATGTCCGTTTTCCCTTATCTTAACTAGGCAGTCTAGAAATGGTAGTTCACCGACGTCTGATTCTGCTTCCGAAGTAAACTGGATTCTGGGAGATATACAGTTTATTTTCTCCAGGATTGAATTGTGTAGATCTCGTTTTAGTACTACAAAAGTATCATCACTGTATCTTAATCCTATTTTATTTTCGAATCTATTCATGAAAAGGTCGGCGACTATTGGGGAGACTGGTGAACCCATAGCAACACCATTTGTCTGTCTATATAAACCCCCTTTAAATGTAAAATAATTACTTTCTAGACAGAATTTCAAGCTCTTAATTATTTCACTGGTGTCCAGTGGACATCTTTTTGATAGCGTTGTATCTGATTCTAGTAGACCGGAAATGGTATCAAGACTTTCGGTAATAGGGATACTAGTAAATAATGAGTTAATATCATAGCTTACCATAATGTCTTCTTTATCAATTTCTCGGTGTTCTACTTGGGATTATTAAAACTAGAAAAGATGTTTATGAAAATAAAACAAGTGAATGTTATGAAAATGTTTAAGCGTTTATCTGCCGCATTATAATCGAATCTCATCGGCGGTACTAAGAGACTCTAACCACTAGTTTGTAACACTTTCTGGGCGCCAGATAGTCAGTCTGTATTTTCCGATACGGTCAGTAGTGACAATCATTGACTTCCTAAACTGGTATTCACATTTAATCTTATTGGCCCTTGCTTCTTTCCAATCTGATCCTATTTCAGACAATGTCTCTCATCAAGAAAGAAAGATGGTGAGTCCTAATGTCGAACATATATTCAAACATTAATAAAAGACACAAACATCATTTCTCTAGAAGAGTATCATTCTAAGACAGTTTTTGTGTATTTGAAGTAGCGCACAATGATACAGTATTACTCATTGATTATGAATAACATAAGCATATCGAATCAATTACACAACATTCGGAATCAATTTAATAGTTCAGTTTACAAATAACCACTGGGACTGTGATCCAACCGTTATAGTAGTTGACTAATTACCAAAATGATGTCAAACAAACTGTCATAGTGTGTCGGTGGTTCAGTCACGCGCATGATTTGAGTTCGATTCCTAGAGGACTCATTTCAAGACCATACCCGGTTTATTAGCCTGACAAAGAGATAAGATTGGGCATCAGACTAACAAACCCATCCAGTAAGAAAACAATATCACCGCTAATGAAACTTCAGAGCTTGAAGCGGTATACAACCTTGAACTCACGTGCATGAACCTCACTGGACCATTCGAGGTCGTTCGCTTTTTGGTAGTTAGTGGTGCTTAAAGTTTAACTTGGCCCCCTATTGTCCCACCCGGAAAGAAAATGAAGAAAAAATTGTCATTATCTAGCAGTTTACTTTTAAATTTCACTACATATGAGTAGTGCAAACTATAAATATGATTAATCAGTTCGTCTTGTCACTTTTAGAAGGGAAATAACATGACAAACTCAAAAAATAAGATTGAAATAATGAGGAGAAACAAAAGTTAAAATAACAAACTTGAGAAAGTAAGAAACTGACATGCCCATGAATACTACATTAACAATACTGATTTCTGATTGTAACTAGTCCCATCTTTGGTGCAGACTGAATTCTATCAGTCAAGCTTGCGATGTGGCTCACCATCACGATGCACTGTGAATTGTTGGTATTAGATGGTTGGAGGCAATTGGCAGGAAGCCTTGCTCGACCTAGGTTTCGTGCTAGTTGGCGATTACCAGTTAGCAAGTCGTATCTGCAACATTGAAGGAACTCATGTCCCTGCTGAGATTCGAACCCGCGTCACTAGTTACTGACTAGTGTCCAATCAGAAATATCCAATACAGCCCTACAGGAGGTCAGTCGCGAGCCTGAATAGCTCAGTGGTAACGTCTCTGACTGCACCACTGGGTGACGCAGGTTCGAATCTCAGGAGGGACATGAGTTCCTTCGAGGTTGCAGATACGCCTTGCTGACTTGTGAGTGCCAACTAGCATGAAACCTAGGTCGAAGGCTTCCTGCTGATTGCCTCCAACCATCTAATACAAACAATGCTGATTTTTGTTATATTATACATTTGAAAATCGTATAAAAGTTAAAATCTGTTATTTCTGAAACTCTTAGCCAATAATTCTTGGAGTTTACAGCATTTCATCAAACTTTACCTTCATAAAGTAGAGTTATACAATCACCATTTAGCACTTAAGCAAGAATTATGCATCAATGAATCCGCATCTGATCCGGTGTGACATCTAATCATAATTAGCACACTTTGTTCTGAGGTTATACACTTACTTAAGTAGCAACACTAGTGACAGAACTAAATGCATATTATATGAAATATAACAATAATGTTTTCTTTTGCATTATTAACCCATTCATAGGTATACATTATGCGATTGCGTCATACTATAATGATATGGTATTATCCAAAGAAAGCTGTACATCGTGCAGCATGGCTTCGTACACACATAAAAAATAATCGTGGTCTTTATCATCGTATTATACACAAATTTAAAACATTGGATATCAAACGAAATCGTAGAGCACAGAATATATCATATCTTGGAAGATATTTAAGTCGTCATCGGCGTATAGCAAATTTACTTCGACTGTTTGGTATACAACGGATAATGTGTGTATTTTGTGGTAGTGATGGCAATCCATCGAAAAAGAGTGAATTCGAAGAGAAATTTATACGTTGTGATGATTGTGGTGCTTATTATTGTCGTGCATGTCAGGTAATCTTAAATCATATGTGTTTACTGTGCCGTTCACCGTTATTTTCAATGGCTGTTGAAGTTGATTTCGAGGAGTATTCAACAGATGAAGAATTTGAAGCTATCAATACACGATATTTACGATTATCTGAGCAGGCGACAACAATATCATCAAATAAATCAGATCATAGGAGGAGTAGAATTTCTGTGACTCGTCCGGACATGTGAAATGTTTGTTTAATATATCTTTGTTCATATTTTATAAACTGATGCGCTGTTTGTTTACATTTAAATACAGTTAATATTATAACCGAATGATTTGTTAAATGTAACTGAAGGATATAAGGCATCCAAACGATTCTATTTTAACGCTTTTAAGAGTTATTTTCTTCTATCACAAGATTTTGTATACACAGGTATCACAGGTATTTGCTCGATAGTGACTAGCAATGAAATCCAGGATGTGCATTTCGTCCTGATTGGGACTCGTCATCTGGATGTGTCTATAATTTTCAGTGAGTGATGGTGTCTCCATTGGGGCTCGAGCCCAGTACCATTCGTTTCAAACGTCAAAGTATTATCCACTGTACCACTAGGGTCACGAGAGCTGCTTTGTTTGGAGTGGGGATAAATTATTATTTTGTTTAAGTCAGGTTTGTTTTTCCCCTTGATTGATTGATGAGGCGGCCTGTTTAAAATCTGAGCCAGCAAAATACTTCGTCATTATATTGCATACATTTTCTCTCGTTCAGTTTGTTTTAATCTATTAAAATATGACCTGTAATGGTGTTTTCTACTGTCGCGAGTATTTAAAGTGCGTGTAGTCTGCTGATTCGGAAGTTTCTGTTAAACTTGAGAAAAAGCAAGATCATGGGTGGCAGGGTATTCCAGTACATGAGATAACCGTTCATGATATTTTTATTATAAACTGCTGCTCAAAAAATGTACTCCTACAACTTTTTTAACTGAATTTTAACTAAATGTTATGAATTTTTCGATGGGGGGAGGCGGGGAAGAGATATCGTAAGGGATTGGTTATTGGCCTCAGGTTAGACATCAGTGTATCACGTGACTTATTGTCAGTGACTATTCTACCTGAAGATCCTGGACACAGAGGAAATATTACACAATAATTTTCCGCTGGGGATTCTTTACATTATTTAAACACTGTTCAGAATAAAGCCATAATAATAATAATTATTATTAAAAAAGAAACTTCCTGCTGATATGTTAGCTTCTATTAGGGACGCTTCAGCGATGTCTGGGGATTTACATTGTTGCTGATGAAGTATTACAGCTCCGGCTGATTTTGCGGGCTGAAAAAGTTTACCTAAAATATTATCTTCAGTACTGCAAATGAAAACAACAAGTATGAAATGTCAGATATGAATGGTAATCAAAAGTTACTAACTTGTTGCCATCGAATTGATCCCACTACAATAAGAATTTGCATTATCATGAGATTACGTGGAAGAAATTACGTTATATTTCTTGACACAATTGTGGAAATAAAATAAGACTAGGACCAAAGCTTCGTTTTAGTTTATGGCTTCATTTACATCTGGCTGTTTTAGGAATGTTACATAGTAAGACGTGATTTGCCAGATGTCATTTCGAATAAAAGTTTTCGTTCATAGCCAAGTCAAAATGTTAGGCATCCAAGACTGATTACTGCCGTCTTTATATGCTAACTGGCCCTGTACATCTCAGTGGTTTAACGATCTATTCTGGTTAGAGTGAATTTCCGCACAGGTCTTACTGTGCCAGAAAAATCGTCTGAATAACGATGAGTCTAAAAGCAGACACCATAATAGGGTATGTAGCTTATCTTATGGAATGGGTATAAGGAAGCAGTTGTAAGGCTGGACGAAAAGGGTATAGTATCAATAAGGTGTTCCTCTCAGATGATCAGAAAGTAAGGTATGTCATCTTCCTACTGAGAACATGGAAGGACTGCAAAAGATCCCAAAGACTCAACTTAATATACGATGTCATTTAGCAAACTGTTCTGTTTTTTTACAAACGAAGCTCCATACATTCCATTGCGTCCACTAAGGCAAATGGGACCGGTTTCAAACAGTCAGTTAGTCATGTTTAGTGTCAGCATATTTTATCATTATTTAACTGAATAATTAAGTGATTTTCCATTTTCTCAGTTGGTTTTCGTTCCAAAAATCTCTCTAGTAATTATTATTTCTTTCTTGTCTGTATAACTTTTAAAAGACTGACTGCTTTCTATTAGTTGATGTTTGTTTACTGCATTTGTAGATGTCGACTGCAGGTTCTAATTTAACTATTCATTTTCAGTGTAGATTCTATCACGAAACAATATCTTTTACAGGGTCAGAAAAATTTAAAGAGCACTTGGAAGCTGCCTAGTCCTCATTTGTGGTTCTTCAGTAGAGCAACCTCAACGTGGGACCTGGGACTTTCAGATTATGAGATCAGCTCATTGGCCATTCAACCAATTGGCCTGGAAATCGATGACAATTTGCAATGTGACGCTCTTTGGTTTTCAGTGTATCTTCAAGTTATTTCGGTTCATAACGAAATCTTCATTGAAATTAATCTGAATCCCTACAAAACACAAAATCTGCTTATTGGCGGATACTGGATGGGGAACCTGAAGTTGTATTGAGAAGTTGCTGCCAGTGGGATTCATCATGTCAGAGTGAAATAGATGCTCATTTATGGCACTAGTTGGCGGCATCGCTATATCATGAACTGACAAAGTTAGGACTTACAGGTCAGTGAATTTCAACCAAATCAGCTGAGTGGTAAACGCGCTGGCCTCATAGCTTGAAGGTCCTGGGTTCGACTTCTGGTGGTCACAAACTGGGACTAGACAGCTACCCAGTACTCCTTGGTTTTCAATGACCCTCTAGATGGTGTTGGTCCATGACACAGTCTACATTTAAATTAGTCCAGACCCTTCCAAAACACATAATCTTAACCGTTTTTCGTATATTATCTATGTTCATCTTTGTTTTTGCATTCAATTAACTCAGAATATTTCATACAGAACCGCATGAATCAACTTATTGCACAAGAGCTGATATTTCCTAGATTTTAGTTTACTTTTCTTTTGATAAAGTTATTATCACTGGATAGCTAAGTGTCAATAAGCCAAGTTTTGACTTCACTCTCTAGATTTGATACGTAATTTCACCTGACTGGTACCCTCCTCTATCAAAGAAGTCTCACAGAGGTTGACTAGAAAGCTGTCCACTACTTATTGTATGCAAATGTAGTTTTTTTATAGTATATAGAGATAACATCATCTTACTGTTAAGGAAGGAGAAAAATCAAGGCAGTGTGGACGAAAGGGCTGCTGACCGTCAAGATTTGTCCTGGAATTGCTACATTGTATAGTGATATTATTCAGGGAAACTCTAAAGACTAGAGAGAGTACTAAACGACTGTTTCAGCTTTAATTGAAAAAAATTACAATGCACATTTGGGGCTATGCTTTCTGTCGAGTCTGAAGACATCACTGTCCATGTCCCAGTTCTACTGTAACAACAGAAGACAAGGTCCAGGCAACAGATCGTTTATTAAGGAAAATCAACACATATTTATAGATTTTGATGTACATTATTGTAGATTATTGTTAGTAGAAAATACAGTCTTTTGATTGGTTGTTTCTCACAGAAAGTTAACCCTGCATCTCTTTGTGGCTGTGTCAGATCATCTATACGCTAACTGTATCCGCCTACGCAAAGCCTTTGTTGTCATTTTCTCACTACCAATATTGGGGACATAAACATTGACGTCAATTACTGTCTACCAACTTTGGCTAGCAGCCAGCTCTTACCACACTACCACTGTCCTAGACTTCAGTTTCCAGTCGTCACTAAAGGGTTCTCTCAACACACACTAGTTACCAGTCTACCGCAATTTGAATATTGGTCATCTGAGAGATAAGTGATTTTTGTTAAGACTTGAATATTCATTTGATACGCAGCTTATAAACAACGACTCTGTAGATTCCTACATGTATTTGAAATATGGTCGTTAAGGTGATTGGGGAATAACTGATTCTCAGTTTCACTGACTCATTGTAAATTAAGGTAACCTTTCTATAAGATTATTGTCTACAATAATTAAAAGCACTGCAGCTATTTTCTTCCTCACACAGCCAAGTTTCGCACTCTTATTTTGCATTTATTAGAGAACTAACTTCTCCGCAAAGAATCGTCCAGTTTGACCTAAAAAACTAAGATGGTGATACAACTTTCATTCGATTTATTTTCTGTGGTCTAAGAATCACGTTTCTTCATGCAGTTAATTCTATTGGTAAATTTAAACAACTCAGTGTGAGTAGTTTTCGCAGAATAAAATGAATTCCCTAAACTTCATAGTTTCCGCCAGTTACACACAACCCAAATAATGAGCATATGCATTTTTTGGTATACTTTAAGTGGAAAAACAGTTCACTTTGGAACATGGGGTTAAAACATAAAAAATGCGGTGGTTATGTTATACGCAAAGTTAGAAAAAAAATTACCATCAAACTGGGGACATTCTCACATTCTAAGGAGAAGAGCATTCTCAAATTTAAAGGTGAAACGAAACATAAGTGGTGGTGGTTATACAGTTATGAGATGGCTTGTTTAATTAATGTGAGCAAGGTAAGTTATAACAAAGCTGTTTTGTCCTGGTTTTTAACTCTTCAACGGTACACACTCATGACTCTACCAGGGATCAACCAAGGAACCTCCAAGTTACGAGGCTAAGCTTTTTGACTATCCAGCCACTTGGGCCAGAATCCAGTAACCTATGGATTCTAACTTCTGAAGGTCTCGGGTTCAGTCTCTGGTAAGGTTGTGGCTATAAACAGCTAAAGATCCTCCAGATAAGACGAAACTACTCTTTAGTGGTTATCTAACTGGTATCAGTCTGTTAGCAGCCCTGTGATAATTCCAATCCCAAGCAGACTAACTCTTCGAAATAAAGGTACTCATAAAATACTTTTAAAGAAGAAAGTCTATGGAGGTAAATGCAGTAACTATAGCTAACAAAGTTGAAATGAATTAAAATGACCAGTAAGAGTCAGAAGTAAATAACAGTAGAACTAGTCGCACTGCGTCGGTGGCACAGTGGTTAGGACTCTCGCCGACCATGCACATGGTCCGGGGTTCGATCCCCTGCCGACGCACACCCGATATCTATGGTCGGCCTGCGAAATTTGGGCTACCGATATCCATGCTGAAAATGCCATACTTGTACTGAAGATACGGTGTGGCATCAAGCTGTAATCAAAAATGAAAAAATAAAATAAAAATTATACATGAGTAATCAGTTATCTTTCTCTAAATAGCATAATTTATTGAATTTTAAAAATACCGGATGGAAAAGGTTGACACGTGAATTCAAAAGAACTGTTTCTTTCCCAAAGACAATACATATTACTGATGTGTTTCGCAGAAACTGGGAATTTGACTAAATGAAACAGAGTTCAGATCACTGCAGATTCAGTCTATACACGAAAAAAAGTAATCATTGTCTAATGCTTTGAAGATCTGCAAAGCGTCAAGTACTTAAAGAAGAGATGAGCTGTCTTATAAACTAAACTCTTGTGATACAATATTCAGAAGACAGTAAAGTTTATGATTAAAAAAACCGATCTATGGTGAGAGCTGTCTGCAAGCCGAAATTATAACCAACAATCTATATCAATGTTTACGTCCCGAATCAGGGCCATGAGAAAAGACAAGAACCTTGAGGGGCTCAACAACCAATCACGGCAGACTTGGCGTAGGCGGACACGATTCGCAGACCGGACTGTCTAAGAAACGGCCACAAAGAGATGACAGAATAATCTTCAGAAAGAAAACAACCAATCAGAAGACGTTGCTTCTCTGTTAACAATAACGAATAATAATGTGCATACAAATTTATAAATATCTGTTGATTTTCTCAATAAACGATCTGTTGCCTGGCCCTTGTCTTCTGTCGTTACATATATAATATGAAGCGATGTAGTTCTACATAGTTGCTCAGTGTTATGAAATATATGAATTGGGAAACAATTCATAAAAGTAATGTCTCCACTGAAAATTGGTGTGATGAAAATAATCCACTAATAATAATAGTAATACATGACACCACGTTTATCAGGTATTTGTATATGTTACTGGCACCAGAGATGATTAAAATTGGCGAGCACTAGGCAGGCCTTCTATATTCTTTCTGAGGTTTAATCAGTGACCATTCCATTTGTTCTGATAAAACAATTAAAATATTCATCACACATCTACTTCACTTTCTTTCCCAAAACAGAAGTTTGTAACACAACCATCTTGTATAAATATAGTACTTTTGGCTGTTGAAAAAAACATACCAAAAAGATGTAAACGTCTACTCAAGGAGTTTGGAAGATTCTGACTTTTGTCAGTCACCTCATTCTTTGTGTAATTTTCCTGATATTGAGTCCGTTCGCGGAAAGAAGTATTCAAACAATATCACATCCAAGAGTGTGTCTTTACGAAAATTCAGTTTTGTTGGTGACGTTATGCATCCCAAATGACCATTTGCTGGTGTTGTCACTTGTGGGGATAACTGTCCATAAGCCTTCACATGGATACATGGTTTATATTAGATTGCAAAAAACCTAAAAACTGACAGAATCAGCAGCAAAGACAGGATTTCAAGTTGACATAGAGAATAAGGAAGTGATGAAGATAACTAACAAACAACCACAAGCTCTATTAGCGGGCGAAATTTGAAAAAGGGTCAGCTCCTTCAATTAGACGATATTGTTTCAAATACAGGTGGTAAGGGTGAGGGTGTCAAAACTAGAATAGGAAAGGCAGGACTAACCTACATCACTTTGAAATCACTGTGGAAATCTCTTGCACTCAGTACAAACAACAAAATTCGGATTTTCAGCACGTCGGTTAGCTCCTTTGTATGGTTCAGAACCTTGGTGCGTCATGAACAGCGTTTCCAACAACTTGCTGCAGACTTTCGACAACATCTGCCTCCTATGGCTCCATACTGAAGATCAGATGGCCGAGGAGAAAGAATTAACAACATGAAACCTTAGAAACGGACCAATCGAGAACATTTTGCTCAACAATTATGTCGAAGAAAATGCAGATGGATATTTCACACTTTGAGAAGACCATTTGGTGACATCCAACCGCTGGCCATCTGTAGAATAGGAGTGGAAAACAGTGGGTTGGGCGTGAATGTGACATGGACGCGGTGGTGTGAGGAGGAGATGAGAGCTTATAGGCAGTCGTCAGGCTAGCTGAAAAGGAGTGCAGATAAGAGGCCGAAATGGAGGTGTGCTGTCAAAGCTCTATATTCCACTAGGAGCTAAAGGTGTAATAATAATAATAATAACTTTGATCACGCTTGGGGTATTTGCGTTCAAATGGGGTTCAGTGGTAGACAGTCTTAGGCCACTTGAACTGCTCTTATAAAAGCTATCTTGAACCCTACTGCTATACTTCCTGTACAGTTATTAGAGTTTCACCTCTTTCAGAAGTCATTATGCTCAATAAATTTTCTAATGTTTGGAGTAGAAAGACATGAAATACTAACGACACAGAAATAATTAGAAAAAAATGTAACCTGTTCTTTTAAGATTTCCTCTGGTGACGGTATTTGCGTCCGTCCGTTTTGGCAGACAGATACCCGTTGAAAGTATGGGAAATAAAGGACAGTATTTTTTTTATTCCACTAATACTCCTCGCTGAATACTTCTGTCACCAATAAATGGATGAAGCCCAAGGTGTCCCGGCGCCTCTAGTAGGTATCCTAGCTTTTGAAATCTTGTAAGAGTTTCTAATAACTCCTAATCTCAATATCTACGATTTAGTAATGTAGCTTGTTATGCTGTTATATGTTTGACTATAGAATTTTGGAAGCAATCTTGTCAGTATACAACGGAACCTCCTTTGCTATTTATTCTATTGACAAGACCTAAGTTTACATTTTAAATGAATATTTGAAGAAATTAGTGTAAGTGTGCTGTTTGACTAACATATAAGAGGGATAAAACGTATAGTATTATTATTGTTTCCTTTAATTCCTAGAGGAACATAGGGCTTCAGCCATGCGTCTCCACTGCGTTCGGTTCTCTGCTAGAGTTTTCACTTGGCTCCGAGTCTGCCCACATGCTTTCATCTTCTCTTCACATGACCTCCTCCAAGTCACCCTTGGACGAACAACTCGCCGCTTCCCTTTCGGGTTCCACTCGAGCAATGGCTTGTCTAGTGATATCACTTGATGGTTTCCTCAGAATGTGGCCAATCCATCTCCATTTCTTCCTGCATATTTGTTTCACAATCATTTCCTGGTTGGTTCGCTCCCAGAGATCTCTGTTGCTGATCTTTTCTGGCCGGCCATCTGATCTTGAGTATTGAGCAAAGACGACTGCTAATGAAGGTCTGTAGTTTGTTTGAGATGCTCTTTATGACGCGCTGGCCAAGTCTCTGATCCGTATAGTAGCCCTGACTGACTTCACATTGGAGTTGAAAATCCGGACCTTATTTTTGATGTTGAGTGCTGTTGACCTCCACACAGACTTGAGAGTAATGAAAGCTTGTCTTGCTTTCTCGATCCTCTATGCTTTGATATCCTCGTCAGTTCCGCCTGTAGTTGAAACGATGCTTCCCAAGTAGGTAAAGGAGGTTGTTTCTTTCAGGTTTCTCCCATTTATGGTGATCGTTGTCCGTTGTTGTTGTTGCTGTGGGTGGTGTTGCCCAGGTATCTTCATCACCTCTGTTTTCTCTATGTTCACCTTATAGTATAAGAAATTAAATTGAATTGAGGAATTCTGAAGCTCACTGATGGTAGTCGCCAACATACCGTCAATAATAATGTCTTATGAGAAAAAGTGGGTGCGTCGGTGGCACAACAGTAGAATGCTCGCCAACCATGCCTCACATGGTTCGGGGTTCGATGCCCGGCCACTAACGCACTGCTTTACCTCGTTAAGCCTATAATAAGACTGGTAAAGAGGGGGGGGGTCGGCTGGGCATGAGGTTAGCGACCCCATCCTATAAAAATAAACACCACTGCTACCAAAACTTCAAGCCTCTAGCTTGAAGCCCTATGTTCCACTGGGAACGCGTAAAAGAATAAAATAAATAATAATGAATAATGAGTAAACCGAAAACAAATGACTTGCTACTGATTTATGTATTCACGTGACTTCTCGTACTTAATCAGACAAGATAATTTGATCGAATCTACGTTTTTTTTAAAATGCGCACATGATGCTATCGTATTCCCTTTTTTCCATATCCTATTAAGTAATTCTGAAATTGACAAATGAAGAATAATGGATATCGTTAAGCCTTAATGGTTTTAAGAAAAGGTGAACAACCGGAGTGTAATATGGTAATCATGCAGGCTGACTTAACACTATCTGAAAATGACTTAGAATATAACTATGAAGTGGAGTGTAAGGAATTGTTAAATATGTTAAATAGACACTATGAAGACGAGAATACGTCTGTCATGACGAGTTATTCACAAACAGGATTGCTTTATAATCAGAATGTTAGCAATGTCAGTGTTAAACTGAATACTGACCGTGTTAATCATCCAGATGTTGCTGATGATGACGATGATGATGATGATGGTGATGAAAGAGAAGAGATTGATGAAGTAGATAAAGAAAGATTTGAAGAATTATTAAATAATTTAGAAAAACCTTCATTTTTATGCCTACCATTTCTTGCTTTAAGTAAATTATGCCCAAATTTATGGGGGACAAGTTCCACCGGAGAAGGTGAACAAAAATCCGATCAGCGTAAATTACCATACAAAAGTCATGGAATGATACAAATAGTCTATGATAATATAATTGGATTATTATTCGGTATACTGATAGGATTTATTGTTTACGCCGTATTTGTCACTTTGCTGGCTCACAGTCCACATGCATGTACACTGCTCAGCGCCTATATTATGATGTTCTCGATATTTGCTTTAGCTTTCTCATCTGATTTTCGATGTATCGCTTTATTAGTTTTTCCGTACTTAACAACAAGTCGTATACGCTGGTTACTACTCATGTATGCGACAAGTTTATGCATTGCTGGACCCGGGTTAAATTTTCTATACAATTTTGAAACATTTCGTAATTCACTTGCATGTATCATTTCACAGATAAGCACAAATTTAATGATTTTAAAAACATTCACTAATTCACCATTCAGTGTATTGAAGGTATCAATTGAAAGTTTAGTCAGTGAATTGAACTCAATACTGCATAATTTGCGAACAATGCTGTCCACTATTCATTCATCTGTTCTACGGTTAATTGTAACCATGGAGAAGAATGCCGGTTGGATTGAGTCGATACGTCAATCCTGTGGTAATACTGATGTTCTACGGAATCTCTGTATACGATTTTTGAATAAAGCCTATTTACTGTGTGTTGATGAATTGACTACATTCAGTGGGTTCTGTCATCATATAAAGTTTGTTTCCATAGATCTATGCACTAAAACACCGTCAATGATTGGTTCATGTGATAGTTATGTTGATACTATTGAAAACAGGATAAAATTTGCATCGAAAAGCAATCTTACTGAGAAAATGGATAAAATTATAAATACAATTGGAAAAGAGAATTTAACCCTGATAGCTAATTTTGATGATTTCATTGAAGTGACCAATGAAATGGACGATATAATAGCTGAATTATTAAGAGCTCAGTCAATTGGTTTTATGCGAAAAATTGAATATGCTAAAGAAATCACAACATGGATACTACTTGCATGGTCCTTGTTCACTATGATACAGTTAATTGTTAAAGCTGCGATATTTAGAAATTCTTGGCTAAATAAAGAGACATTTGACAATCACTATATTACTAAGTCGTTTATCAAACAGGTAAGTGGTAATTATTATGATGTTATGATTTAGTTAATTAACCAAGAAAGAGAGTCTCTGTACAAATGACACGCTTAGTTAATTGGTCTGTTACAAGTGGCTTAATGGTCTACGAGCTCATCTTGTAACCAAAAGGTCCTGGCTTCACACCGTAGTGGTGGATGCGCACTGCCGAAGAGTCCCGAACCAGGACGAAACAGCTGTCCAGTACTCCCTGACAAGTTTTCCAATCGTTCTCTAACCAATATGTCAGCTCATGATGAAATCATGTAACCAATCCGTCAAAATCCCTACAAACCAATACTTGAATTTTATATAATGATTCGAAAGGTTATTAGCAAGTGTCAGTTTAACGCACTGTAAAAAGGTGTCAGTAGTTGAATGGCAGAGTACAAATCAACCATGCACAGGTCTGAGTTCGGCTGTTGGTTGACTCACTCCTAAACCTCACCTGGTTTATTAGCCAGTGTTAAGCCCGGAAAAGAGGAGAGTTTGAATGTGGGGTTAGCAATCCCATCCTGTGAAAAAAACAACTTGGCTGCTGGAACTTCAAAGATTAAAGTTCTATGTTCAACTCGGGATGCATAGGAATGAAAAGAATGGTGTTTCTTCTTTGGTTATTTTGATTTTAAAGGTTCTTTATGACATTTGCACTAAACAAGCTTGAAAAATTTCCAAACGAAGATTTCAGTTTGATTTACTCAAGTAATTTGAGGAAAAATTACATTACTGTTGAATAATTATGTTCTTTTGGTACAGACGTTGTAGCAGTGTGATTTATACTAATACTATGTGAAGTTTGAGCTTATCAACGATCATGGTCAGTTTTGAATAACAGCTCGAGACTCCAGATTATTGCGTAAGACACAAATATATTGATGGGATGAAAACGGATCAAGAGACTGCGACAGACGTGCTCATGCCATTATCGCAAAAGGTTTGAGAAGAAGGAAAGGTACCTACTGATTGGAAGAAAGGCTGGTCAACCTGTAAAGCTACTAAAGAAGGGTGACCTTGTAAGGCGTCTGCAAGAACTGACTGGCGTGGAATAATGCTCTTGTCTAAGTCAAGTAAAATACTAAGTCACGTCATCCTAGGGAGAATAGAAGATGCACTGGATACAGAACTCCGCCCTAAACCCCAGAACAAGCTGGATTCAGGAAAGGAAAATCATATATATGCTGATCAAATTACAACTCTACTCACTGTCATCGAACAAAGAATAGAATGGCAGTTAAGCCTCTACCTCAACTTCATTGACTTCGAAAAGGCCTTCAACAGACGGCACTGACCGAGAAGTAATCTGGAAACTACTTCAATACTACGGTGTGCAGTGCCAAAGACTCTACCAACCTCATTCAGCAGTGGCACGTATTAAGTGAACCACAACGGAAAACTCAGTGAAGCCTTTGAAGCGAATACAGGAGTAAGACAAGGCAGCTTGCACATTATCACCGATGATATTCTTGGTTTTGGTGGACTGGATTATGCGTCATACTGTGCGTTGGCAGCGGGGAGACAGGAATACTCTGGATAACCGATAAGGAGACTCTAGAAGATCTGGATTTCGCAGATAGTATATGTCTAATATCACACAAAATCGAAAACTTACAGGCAAAAACCAACAAACTGGCAGAAGAGACAGGCTGGCAGCGAAAACAGGAATGCAGGTGAACGCATAGAAGACGAAGGTGATGAAGGTAACCAACCAACATCGGCAGCAACAGCAACAACAACAACAGCAAACAGCACCAATCGTCATCAACGGAAGAAATTTAACAGAGGTTGCCTCCTTCACTTATTTAGGAAGGATAGTTTCAACTACAGGCGGAACGGATGAAGATGTCACGGCTTGTCAGAAATGGAGAGCCAAAATGCGCCTTCATCAACCTGAAACCACTTTGGAAATCTTCCGCACTCAGTTAGCATAAAGAACAAGATTCAGATTTTCAACAACATTGTGCATTCAGTCAGTCAGTTCTATACGGGTCAGAAACTTGCACTGCGTGTCACGGAAAGGATTTCCAACAATTTACAGACTTTTATCAAATGCTGCCTTCACTGGCTGGCTTATACTAAAGATCAAATGGCCAGTCAGCTGGCCAGAAAGAATTAGGAACAAGAAACTCTGGCTGGCTGGGAACAAACCAACAAGCGAGAGCAGATTGCTCAACAAGTATGTAGGAGAAATCGTAGAGGGATTGGGTGTACGTTGAGAAGGCCATCGAATGACATCGCGTGCCAGGCTGTCGAATGGAACCCGAATGTGAAGTGACGAATGGATTGTCTGTGCGAGGGTGATATAGAGGAGGTCGTGTGCCAAGGAGGAGATGGAAGATTATGGATAATCGTGTGGCTATCCAGTTGAAGAGGAGAACAGAAAATAGAACAAAGTGGAGATATGTTGTTTAAGCCCTATGTTCCACTCGGAAACCAAGGGTCTAACAATAACAGCACTAACGTAAAAAAAATATATATATACTAGGTACCGACGATATATATCAGATTCAGGTTCATCATAAAACTACATAGGTATATACTTCTATGCAGTACAGTTCCTTTTACTTTATAGTGTAAAAGTTTAACACAGAATAACTTTTATCGGCAGTGCTTAATATTTATTGGCACATTACTCATGGAAACAGCTTTTGAGAAAGTTTAGAATTTATATAGATCTTCGCAACAAACACTTCAGAAGAGATCGATGTGATTTTTATAGTTGAACCATATGATAACGAATATAATTGTCTTTAGCTAAGTATCTTTCGATAGTACACATATCACAGTACCATCTTCTCACATAGTCAATGTTATCCGTATTCAGAAATGCTTGCCAATGAGTTTTGGATATCCTTTTGTAACCTTTTTAAGTGTTGAGCAGTATTTAATATCTGAAATACTCTTAAATATTTGTACCCCAAGAAATGGACAGTGTCTGAATTTGTGCTAAAGAATGATAAGTTGTGTTTCATTCAGAAACTGGCTATCCACATACTTAGTGGAACCTTCAAACTGATTTCGAATACTTTAGGTCAAACGACCGATGAGTCATCACATTTATTACCTTAGTAAAGAATATTTAAAGCCAAGACAAGCAATATATATGGCATTATTCCCATCCCAAAGTTAATAAAAACAAGACAAGTAGTTCAATGAATAGGCTCTTTTTGACGAATTCATTTCTCCTCTTTACCTGTGCAATAGCATTTATATACAATTTTTCATAAAAGAAAGGAAAAATAAAAGTGATGAGTTGTCACAGTCACAACTGTTATTATTAGTCAGTTCATAAGACGACTGGAATAAGTAAGTGTATTAGAGTTAAGTAATGAGATGTATAATTCGATAAATGAGCTGTAATCAAGATGACAGGGATATCCTGGACCGACGTGAAGAACCTAGGAGACCTGGATTTCGCGCGTGGATGAGTTATGTTTGATGTCACACAAAATCGAAGACTTACAAACGAAAACCGACAAACTGGTCGAAAAAGCAGCAAAGACAGGACTCCAGGTGAACATAGACAAGACGGAGGTTATGAAAATAACCAACCAACAACAACAACAGCAGCAGCAACATCCAGCGCCAATCACCATCAACGGGAGGGATTTGAAAGAGGTTACTTCATTCACTTACTTATCTAGGGAGCATTGTCTCAACTACAGGAGGAACGGACGAGGATGTCAGATCAAGCGAGAATCAGGAAGGCCAGAAACACATTCATCAACCTGAAACCAATCTGGAAATCTTCGTCACTCACCATCAACAGCAAAATTCGGATTTTCAATACAAACGTCAAGTCACTTCTTCTATACGGATCAGAAACTTGGCGGGTCACAAAGAATATTTCCAACAGCCTGTTGCAGACCTTTATCAACAACCAACTGTCTCCGCTGTATACTGAAGATCAGATGGCCGGAAAGAACAAGAACCAACAAGAAACTATGGGAACAAACAAAACAAGAACCAATCGCTCAACAAATATGCAGGAGAAAGTGGAGATGGATTGGACACTCGCTTAGCTGAGGAGGCCGCTGGGTGACATCGCGCGTCAGGCCATAGCTCGAGTGGAACCCGAAAGGGAAGTGGCGAGTGGTTCGTCGGTACAAGGGTGACATGGAGGAGATCGTGTGAAGAAGAGTTGAAACAGTATGGATTAACATGGATGCAGGTGAAAAGTACAGCAGAAGACAGAAGCAAGTGGAGACGTGCAGTTGAAGCCCTATGTTCCACTAGGAACTCAAGGGAACAATAATATAATAATAATAATAATCAAGATGCACAAAGAAACGAAGGAAAATATGAAACAGTATAATATTTCTAAAGAAATACAAGAGTTATAGGGAGTTGAAAAACAAGCAAACAAAAATCAAGTCAGTAGAAATTAACAAGACTGTTACTATGATAATTGAATAATTTTCGTTTGTGTGTGAAGCTTTGGTTTTTCTAACTGAATGGCTTCAGTATTTCAGCTTCAACAATCCAGAAGGTGTGAAAGCGGATTACTTTTGGTAGACTCTTCTTCACTTCGTAGACTGCTTCGAAGGAGGAGTTTGTTGAGGTGGAATGACCAGTGGTGATAAGGTGTTAGATTATTGCACTTCTTATACAGCCACTACTGCGTTACTGCAACCGTGTCACTTCGAGTTCATGAACCCTTTTAGTTATGATACGTATCGAACGACTAATATACTTGGCTCTACAGTAAGTGATGAAGTGATATACACATATGGAGGTGATCAGATGCGAGATCTTGTTTTTTGGCTTCTGCAGACTAGGGGGTGACTAGAGAACACTACTCTTGGCTTTGCTACGAAGGAAGTTCTTCCTAAAGAAGCCGGATTCCCCCTCTTAAGGATATCACTGAGAAGGTCACTTTTGACGTCAAGGTTCATGTAAGGTTTCTTTCTGGGTAAGGACGACGTCTCTTTGAATTTTCGGCTTGATACTCTTGTCAAGTCATCGAAAGTCAAGGATAAAAACATATTTATTGAATAAAAGAACTTTTATATGTCTGTCTGTTGCATAATATAGACTGTAAACAGAGGTGTGAGACAAAGGAATAGTAATAACGAAGAACGAAACAGTTCCATTGGAGATAGTAAGTCACAAGGAGTGGATGCATCTGCGCCACTGAGAACGATTTTGAGCCATATCACCAATTGTTTCCAACCACTGGTTTTGCCGTCCCAAGGACCCCAACCAGGAAGTCTACACCTTCCTACGTGGCTTAAACTAACTGTTGTGGATTTCATTGACTGATGAAGCCATGTTTTGGTTTGACCACAACTGGCTCTTTTCCAGCCTGAGGGGTGTCAGGAGACCCCCAGCTAGCTCGCGAGGACTCGCAGGTGCGGGGATAGCACTGAGTGTTAGGGCGGAAAACTCACTTCTTGACTGAATCCCAGTAGAAAGTCCTATGCGTGCGGTAAGTCTGAATGGGTCCGTTAAAAGAAGGAAAGACGGCGCTACCCGTCGTTGCCTCTTCGTAGTCTCCGCTTACGCCTCAACTGCAGTGTGTTGGGGCGTAAGCGGAGACAATGTATATATACATAATTTATATATTTATATATATATTTAAGATTTATATATATATTTTGTATAACAGTAGGAGCTTCCTAAGCACAAATGAAATAACTAATTAACTAACGATTTATACTCCATATCTAATTCTGCAGTTCTTCTTTAATTAGTAAACATTTTTTGTAACTAATAATAACACAATTTCCGTTCTACATAATAAACCTTAAACTTCCAGGAGAGACAAGCCGTAATGCAAGGTCTAGCTCCAACAATACCATTAATAAAAGATGAGCCAAATATGTATAAAACACTGACCAATATCGGCTGGACAAAGCATGAACAGAGTAAATTAAAAAAGGTGAATGTGCTGCTAATCATCTGGACATTTCTCATTATCGCTGTTCTTGCAACTGATCATTCTGTACACAATGCTTTGTATTCACTAGCACCGCTATTCTCAACTGATTTTATCCAATCGTCAAGAGCATACATTTATAATGATGATTATTACTTTGAACTGGAGTATGATCGATTAGAAGAATTGTCTCACCAACCAGTTATTAAAGGTGATACCTTCTATGCGAATATATTAAAAAGTATGGTTAGCTTATTGATTCCACTGAAAGATACTGTGATCAGTATTGATGCTACAGTCTGCAGACCGAAACCAAATCCACCAAGTAGTGCAACCAATGGAATAATTATATTCTTATTGTTTCTGACATATTTAAGTGCTTTCTGTCAGGTAGGTGGACAGCAGACTTATCTTAATTTTCATAAATAAATGTCAAATTGTTCAGTATCCATTATGCTGACACTTTCAAGCGAAATACCTTAGGTTTGTGAATAAAAGATCTACTTATTTAGGTATGGTGGTGTTCATTCCGAATAGCTAAGTTCCTGCACACACAGTCAGGATAAAAACACATCCGCCTACCATTTCAAAGAGGTAACATTTGAAGGTATTGATTATCTGATATGCTCAGAATGACTTTGACTTATGCTGTTTATAGTCTTAAGCTATCAGTTTAAATCATTCCATAGCCTTCAGTCTAATAATCTGTGACTCTTTTTTGAATTCCAATAACCGGTCACCTGGTGCTTTGTTGTCATGTTACCACCTTCAAACCATTTATCTCGTGATTAATCAGAGTAGCGTCAAATGTCCTGACGGCCTGACAGTATCTTTGCCTGTCAAATGTCAAAGTGACTGCTCTAAACTAAATGGCTTTCTGTCAGAAATCAGCAAGTGGTTCAAGGAAAACGGTCTTACCTTAAACCTCTCCAAGGGCCAAACAGTCAATTTCACCTTTAGGCATGAATCCGACCTAAACGAACTGGTTGGCTCTCACGAGGTGTGCAACATAGATGGCCCTGAAATAGAAACCAAGTCGGAAATTAAATGCCTAGGCGTCATTCTATCTGCTGATCTTTCCTGGTCGTCTCATATCTTGGCGATTTCTAAGAAAATACTCCGTCCTACCTTCTACATCAAGAAATGAAGACATTCTGGTACAACCCAACCCTTACTCCTACAATTCGTTAACTCTTGCATTCTGCCTATTATTCTCTATTGTTCCCCCTTAGTTTTTCCCGGGCTACTGAAGGAAAGCTATAACATATTACACAGGATGTTAAAGGTTGTCAGCAGGGTAAGCAACGTGCCACTTAATCAGCTTGTTAATATTCTGGTTGACAGGCGCACGGACTCATGTGAACAATGGGCCAAATCCATTTTATCTAACTCACACCACCCTCTTCACTCACAATTATCCCCTTGTATCTCATCAGGCAAAACCAGAAGCCTATATAGAAAACTATATGCTCTCACTAGCAAGTAAAAAAACTCAAGCATACCCTACTTAGCTCGTGTTCTGTGCGATAAAGAAAGCATTAGGTGTGAAAATTATAACTTATTAAATAGTCAGTAGAACAACTGGACCTCGTCTTTCCAACTCATATCATTTATAGGTACAACATTTTCTTTCTTCATTTCGTTTTCTCTCTCTTTTTTTCCGTTATGTGCTGCTTTGTCTCTTTCTTCCGCTTACGCCAGTAAATATGACAGCACCTACTTTTCTAACACCTTCAAACACTGTTTCAACTTTAGCTTTGCTACCGACATGCCAATATGTTGTTGTCATAATGAATTGAGATTTCCTTAATCTATGTAGAATTCTATTTATTGATAATGTACTAACTGGATGCAATACTGTAGTAAAAATGCTGAGAATTCCATACTGTATCACAAGTACTGTTTTGGAATAAAGTAAATTATTATTATTATTTAGACAATAGGTAGGTAATCTTTTGTGGCGGAGTGTAACTGATTTGTAGTTGTCGTCAAACCTGACTAGAGTGCGCTTCCAGATACAACCCTACAACCAGATGATCGCTTTGAAATATTCCCCACACTGAGATAGACACGAAAGTCAAAATTTAACTGTGATAAGAACGACATTATTCAGAATACAAATCCTCGGAAATTTAAGCCAAAAATAGACCAATCAAAAACTGTCCAATCAGATTACCCAATCAGTGTATGCGTCAATCATGACTTCATTGATAACTAAGACAGGCAGTATATCTACATAAATCAAACATATTGTAGAATAATTTTAACCCAGATCTTTAATTTCCTAAAATTATATAATGCTCATCGTGTATGATAAAATAAATCTTAGTTTAGAAGACGGTTCACGAAGTTTATGCAAATTAGTATGTAAGCAATTATCCTTGCTATTGGCTATTATCATTGTTTCCATGGTTGCTATTTTGAAGAAACACATTCATGAACCGCTTTCACCCTTTCCAATGAGACAGACTGAGTACGTATTCAGTACTGTACTCATAAATACTGAATATTTCAAGACATAGGAATGAATGCAACTGTCGAAGATGGTAATAAGAAATCTTGTAACTGAGTACATAGACGTCTCAAGTGACATGTTTCTCGAATCGATTGCAGATTGCACGAGTTATACAACACGAAGAAAACCATCGAAAGTATGGTACTGCTGAATAATGATAACAGTCAGACACAGATTTAATCAGTGCCTATAAATAATTAACAGACCAACCGTCAAAGAACACTGATAATTTAAACCAGTTCTCCAATGATAGACAATAACTAAGGAAAAAGTCACATGAACATGAGACATTGATAAGAAGTAACATTAATAACCAACTGGTCAACCGTGCATCAAAACACATCCGCAGGAATTCTTATATATGGTCAAATAATGAATAAACTGCATAGTGTCATGCGGAATAGTAAATTAAACTGGTTATGTCACAGTAGAAGATAAGAGAGTTAGTAAAGGACTTTTATTAAGGAAAACTGCATCATATTTATACATTTTTTAACCACATTTAAAGTCGGCTAGGTCAGTGAACAATAAACTGCTGTGATTGGTGGACGATTGGCTCAAGGTTAAACAAGAAAGTTGTCCAATGAGGCTAATTCATTCATGTCCACAACATAACTATATCCAGATTTGAGGAATAAACACTTCTAACTCCATAAATAATGAATTAAATTGTTGATTTCAGTTTTGTCAGCTTCCTATGAATCTGCATATATATACTACTGATAAACCTTGTCAGTAGCACACATTACACTCATGCAGGGATGTAAAGAGTGAAAGGGTTAAAATAACCCCAAGAAACTAGATGCACCTGTTTGGGTCAAAAAAAGTGTCGTTATAGTTAATTGATCCACTAGACGGAAATGGGATAAAATGCAACACATCATTAGAAATAGCTGATGCATTAAATTCAATAAACTGAAATGTCATCAGCTATGAGTGTACCTGGGAAACAAAATTATTGGTATTAGATGGTTGGAGGCAATCGGCAGGGTTCGAATCTTAGAAGGCATATGAGTTCCTTCGAGGCTGCAGATACGCCTTGCTCAAGGCTTCCTGCCGATTACCTCCAACCATCTAATACCAATTCACAGTGCACCGTAATGGTGAGCCACCTAGCATGGTGGCCACATTGCAAACATGACTGATAGAATTCAGTCTGCACCGAAGATAGGACTAGACACATTACACTAGTTACTGACTAGTGTGCAATCAAAAGAAACAAAATTAGTTATGAAAGTGTCAACCTGAAATTTTGATATGGTTCAAACATAAGGCCTTCTTTCGTTGGCAAATATATGTCTAATCTCCAAAGTTTGAGCAAGTAATATGAATCAATCAGCCAGTTAAGAATCAGATCCATGCAATACAATCAACTAATTTACTAATATATGACTTCTATAAAATAAAAATGAAGATGGAAAATACTGTTTCAGTAAAATCTCTGTAATCATCCACTTCGTCTAGAAATGTCATGCGTGTTATGAAGTTCAGAACCCTGATGAGTGGGTTTAGATGTACAGTAGGAAATGGATCATTTTTTAAACAAAACGTAGGATAAATAGTGGAACAGTAGGTTCTGTAAGCCACCTGGTACAGCCAAGGGTGGGGGTAGATTTCGGTCTTCCTCCACAAATTCTCTCAAATGGTCTTGCTTCCATGGCCTCTACCAGGTAAATCCTATTCACTAACTTAATGCGGCGGGGATGTTCCGCACATAAGTGAAAGAGTAAATGCGAACGTCTGGTGCTTGCAACCGGACTGGTGAACACGCAGATCTACCAAGGAGAGCTGGAAAACCCTGACTCCAAAGCTAGACTGTACATGGGCTTCAACATCGGAAAGGACCGAATGGCACAAGAACCCGTTTCGGTCACCGGCAAAGATTGGAACGTAGCGCCTGACGCAGCTTCACTGACTAGAGGGCCAGACTTCAAGTCAAAGGCATGGCAAATGGTCCTTTAAGACAACCACATGCTCTAGTCTGGACACTCAAGCAGTATCCAGGCTGTCACACATCTCTTGGTGCTCATAATGTATCAAGTTTGTGTACGAACAAGTAAATAAGGGTTATGTGATGCAGGTTATCTCTTCTAATTCATCTAGGTAAAGTTTCCTCCCTCTAACTTATACAGTTACATTCGATTATCGTGATTACCAACTGACCATTCAATAAAAAACTCTCATTTGCCGTAAGAATACTTTAAAAGGACATAAACACTACTAGAAGTCAGTTGACGGTGCAATAACTGTCATTAAAAAATAACTAAATATGACGTAACAGTATCAAAGATTAAAATCCTTAGTTCTCAATAAAAAGAATAGCTGGATGCGAACAGTTTCGAGAAACATGATTTCTGTTTGTTGGAATTCGTTTTGGTCTGGATACAAAAATAACTTAGATTTCTTTCTGCATGTGTTATTGTCATTTTCCCCTTGGGTCCAGAGTGGGATATAAGGCATGTAGTTGACAAGAAAATTTAATGAGTGAATAAATTCACTAATAAAGCATCTATAAGGATGCATTCTATTAACTTCTTAGCTTTTATCCCTATTTTCCCTCATAGAATTGATATTTTCAAGCTGTTTCAAGCAGTTATAATTTTCTTTCAAATCAGGTATATGTCATGAGACTACGTCATGTCATCATGATATGGTATTATCCAGAAAAATCAAATCTACGCGCTTCATGGTTACGCGCTCATATTAAAAATAATCGTGAAGCATTTCATGGTTTAAAATACATATCAAGAGTCCCTATTGGCAGGCCAAGTCGACGACTGTTCACAATATCCTTAGTTGGACAATTTATGATGAATCATCCGAAACTGAAGCAACTGTTACAAGCATTTGGTATTAAACGTGTAACCTGCGCATATTGTGGTGCTGAAGGCAATCCATCAGATGAAAAAAAGTTCAAGGAGAACTTTTATCAGTGTCCTGAATGCAGTGCATATTTCTGTCGTTCTTGTCAACTAGATCTAGAGCATATCTGTTCAGTATGTCGTACACCGTTGTTTGCAAGAGATGCACAAATCGACTTTGAAGAATATTCAACTGATGAAGAGTATTTGGCTATGCATTCAATGTATCTTCGACGAGCTGAACAAAATCTTGGTCAACTTACCAGTGGATCAATAGTTATAAATCCTCTAGGCTCTAAATACTGATGACATGTGAACTATTTTTTTCATTTCATTTCTATAGAAATATTACACCAAAACATTAGACTGTATAAAGATTTAAAAATGTTTTACTTTACTTTTAATAAATCAAAGCAGTACAGAGAAACTAGAACTATTCTATACACTGCTCATTTGAATGGAAATAAATTATTAAAAGATGCACAGTATAACGTATCCTTTTTCTTGCATATTTTTATCATTCATGTCTTGTATGAAAATGCCCACAAGGCGCTAAATGATGTGAATAAAGGATATTTCCACTTTCAAAACAAGTAACATTTAGTTTATAGTGTAAGGAATATTTTAAAAGGTTAAGAAAGAATAATAATTGAAAAAAATGCTAATTGACAAAACCTTAAGAGCATGAATGCAGACTATCTTAGAATACTTAGAATATGGCAAGCAAAATATAAATTCACGTCATCCTGGAGAGACTGAGTGGCACACTAGATGTAGAACTCTGCCCCAACCCTCAGAACAAGCTGGATTCAGGAAAGGCAAATCGGGTGCTGATCAAAGTTCAACTCTACGCATCGTCATCAAACAAAGGATAGAATGGCAGTCAAACCTCATCTTATCTCACCTTCATCGACTTCGAAAAAACCTTCGAAAGATGGCGTTGACCGGGACGTAGTTTGGAAATTACGCCAACACTACGGCGTGCAGTGCCCAAGTGCTTATCAGCCTCACTCAACAACTGGCTTTATGACAATGCCATGTGTCAAGTGATCCACGACGGGAAACTCCGCGAGACGTTCGAAGTGAATACAGGAGTAAGACAAAGCTGGCTGCTTATTATCACCGATGATATTCCTAAATTGTGGTGAACTGGGTTATGCATCTAACTGTGTGTGGAGAGTGAAAAGACAGGAATACGTTGGACCGATGAAAAGACTCTAGAAGATCTAGACTTTACGTGTGGTTGATTTATGCTTAATGTCACACAGACTCGAAGATCTACAGGTGAAAACCAAAATGGTGGCAGAAGAAACAGGCGGCAAAGACAGGATTTTAAGAGAACATCGAGGAGACGGAGATGCTGAAGATACTTAATCAGCAACAATAACAAACACCGGTCACAATCAAAGGGAGAGATTTAAATGAGGTCACTCCCTTTGCTTATCTAGATAGCATCATTTCAACGATAGGTAGCACTGATGAGGATATCTAAGCCAGGATCAGAGAGTCAAGGCAAACCTTCATAACTTTGAAATAATTGCGAAAGTCCTCTGCACTGAGCATAAAACTCGGTTTCTCAACACTAATTTTAAGTCAGTGAGTCAGTACTTCAATATGAGTCGAAAACTTGACTTACTGGTCACGAAAAGCATTTCCAGCAGGCTACTGTAGACTTTCATCAACAGTTGTCTTCCAAGGCTTCCTGCTGATTGCCTCCAACCATCTAATATCATCAAATCAATGTGCACCGTGATGGCGAGCCACCTAGCATGGTGGCCACATTGCAAACCTGATTGATAGAATTCAGTGTGCACCAAAGAAAGGACTCGACACATGGCACTAGTTACTAGTGTCCAATAAAAGTATCCACTACAGTCATACAGCAGGTCAATCGCGAACTCAAGTAGCTCAGTGTTAACGTCTCTGACGGCAGTTCACACTGAGTGACGTGGTTTCGAATCTCGGAAGGACCACGAATTCCCTGGAGGTTGTAGGTATGCCTCGCTGACTGATGAGTACCAACTAGCACGAAACCTAGGTCCAAGGCTTACTGTGGCAGATTGCCTCCTACCATCTTACAATTGTCTTCGCTAGCTCTATACTGAATATCAGATGGTCGGTCAGGAAACTTTGACAATCAACAAACCAACCAAGAACCTATTGCTCTAAGAATACCCAGAAGAAAGTGGAGATGGACCGGATACATGCTTTGGAGACCTTTGGGTGACATTGTGAGCCAGGCACCCCTTCGAGTAGGTTATGAGTGGGAAATGACGAGTTGGCCGTGGGACCGAGAGTGACATGAAGGACGAAATGACAGCCTAGTGGCACTTGCAGAGCTGGCTAAATAGGAGTGCAAAGAACAGGGTAAAATGGATATGTGCTGTTGTAGCCCTATGTTCCACTCGGGACCGGAGGTAATAATAAATAATCATAGAATACTTCATTATTAATTGGTTGTTATTTACTTTCAAGATAACTAGTGTGACTAATGAACTTATAATCAAATAAGGAAAGGTCTTAGGAGAACAAGTAAAGATAATTATACAAAATTGACTGTGAAGCATACAGAGCAAAGTTGACAGTTACAAAGAAACTTTACCTTAAGGAAGTGATTAGTGATTTGAGTAAATTGATTGAATATTTAGAACGTGTTTCTGAGAAGATGAATAATTGGAAATTAACTCAAGAAATACATTAAAAAATTTTTTATTTGGAGCGAAGCAACACTTATTAATCAAGAGTACTGGGTATGAGAATGTGCTTTAGGACGATCGAAATCATTATGCAGAAATCAAATAATACCAGTCAAAAACAAACGTCTAACTTGGAGATAATAGTAATAATTTCTTGCCGTAGTAGGTGATTCTGTCTATTTTATAGCTATTACGATGGAAAGTTGAGTGCTGGAAAGAGCGTTTGCGTAGTGGCCGGCTTAATTATAAACTCTTTAATATATATGGTAGGTAGGTGAAGGTAAGTGACCTGTAGCCCCTAGACCTAGGGTTTTTGCTTGTCCGTACTTGTTGAAAACACCCATCGGAGTCTGTTAACAAAGTACGCAACATGGTAATTAACAGAAGTAATGAGACACTGAAAATTTGATGTCGGACCCGAGAAGTCTATCGGCAACAGCAATTGAACATAGTTTTTCATGAAGAAAATAAAAAGACAGTTCAGCCAAAAAGTTTCTTTGTTGACGAAATCAACTTCAGAGGCTGTACAATCGTGTTTATATTTACCAAAACATATATCAGTCTACTATTAAGTAATAATCGGGGGGGGGGGGGGAGTGATACGTTTGATATAATTACTCAGAAGTGGTCCCTAGAATAAAGTAGAAAATTAGAAAGTTACGCACTAGTCAACGGCACAACAGAAGAAAGAGTTTGAATTTTTATAAGGTTGAAACTGTTATTGAATGAGGAGAAAGGTTGTCGCAGGTCTCTTGACAAGTGTGAAGAGAGTGAAAAAATGTGCAAAGGTAACATGTAAGACTGATAATAGTGAATTAATTACTAAAAATAAAAATTAAAGTGAACGATTAGGAAAGAGACTAGGAGACTTGAGTTCGGGATTGTACAGACACATTGTCGGCGACTCCACCATACACACATAGTAAGACATAACACTCCTTGTACCACTCAGTCTTACCTCGTAGGTAATTTTAAAAGACGACTCTGATGGAGCTGCGTGGCCTGAGCTCACTAAGCGCTCAAGAACTCAGCCAATAATAGTCTTTCACTATCCTCTTGCTAACCACGCTAGATAATGTTCAGAGATGCGTTTGGAAAGTGTACACTTTGTGTAGCCAATATAACTAGCTCTATAGAAGTAAGTGAATTTATAAACAGACACTTAAGTGGAAGTTTCTTCTTCACACATCCGTTTGTCATTTGTGGGCTGTACAAATTGACCCGTAGCTCAGCAGCAAATTTATGAACAAATAAAAGGAACACCAATGGGATCGCCCATATCAGGATTAATAGCTGAAACCGTTATGCAAAGATTAGAATTAATAGCTCTACCTATAATTAAGCCGAAAATCTGGATACGTTACGTTGATAATACATTTGTAAAAATTAAGAGAAATGATTTAGAATATACTCATTAATTAATAAACAACATATTTGAAGACATCAAATTCACAGGAGAAGAAGAATTAGATAACAAAATCCCAATTTTAGATGTCTTAATCAGGAGAACCAACACAGGATATTTAGAGACACAAGTATATAGAAAATCAACGCACACAGATCAAATATTCAACTATGCTAGCAATAATCCAATTACTCACAAACGAAACTGTGTGCAGACATTGTTTAAAAGAGTTCAAACACATTGTAGCACTCAAGAGTTGAAAAGAGTGGAAGAAAAGTACCTAAAAAGGTATTCAAAAAGAATGGTTATCCACAAAATTTCATCAAAAAGTGTTTAAAGTCGAATCAAAACACCAACAAGAAACCATCATCAAAGACCACAAGAAAATTCATTATACCATACATAAGAAATATCTCTGAAATAACAGCTAGAATACTGAAACCGTTTGATATAAATATAGCACACAAGTCAGTCAAATCGCTTAATTCGATATTATGCAAACCGAAAGATCCAACAGAAAAAGGAGATAAAATTAATACCATTTACAAAATAAATTGTATGAACTGCAACAAGCATTACATCGGCCAAAGTGGGCGTCCTCTTCGAATTAGAATACAAGAACACAAATCAGCCGTGAAAAGACACGATATGTATTCTTTGGTATCAATGCATGTAGACAATTATGGTCATCAATTTGATTGGGATAATGTTAAAATCTTAGACAGAGGAAACACCAAAAGTGCCAGGGAATTCCTAGAAGCTTGGTACTCAAACGAAAATGCAATTAACAAACACGTTAATATAGACGAAATATACCAAGTAATAAAAAGTAAATCAGGTGACCAGAAAGTTTAAAATCCAAGTCAATAGAAAATGGTCAGTACATATGTAAAGATGGTTACTAGGAGACGCAATTATATCATTCATGAAGAAATTTAAATCATTTCACTTTATGCTAAATATTGCGCTGAAGATGTTGTCCAGAAGGACGACGAAAGCTCCGCAACTAAACTAACCAGCTCAGAGAACACTGGTAATTGCCTATGTTTGGATTCTTTTAGGCATTTACTTTACTACCATGTTTTTCCCGATGAATCTTGAAGGGTATCCATTTTTGGTGGGGACTTGTCTAAATTTCTCCAGTTCACTATCCGCTTTATCACTGGTGCACATCCTTTTTATTATTGTAGACTAGGAGTGGAACAAATTTCTCTTTGTTCTAAAAGGGAACCAATTATGAAAATTAGTGTATTGACCATTCCATTTTGGTTTCTTTTAGATTGATCTTTGAAGAAAAACGTCAGATTTCTTTTGTAAGAAAACGTCCAAATAATGGAATTCAGAGTTCAACTCTGATTCTTATGTGAACTTGCTACCATTTCCATATCATCAATTTTATTGCTTATGATTAAAGTATCATCCATGTATCTTTGGTACATATGAAAACTTTCAATAGTGGGTAGTAACATACGATTTTCTAGACTTGCTGTGAAACAGTCTGCAATTAAAGGACCCAATGACAACTTCTCCGCCACTTTGTCCTTTTGTCTATACCGCATGTTACTAAACTTGAAACGGACATTGAAAGTGTTTCTCAAAAGTGGTTCCTTTAAGTAGTGGGTGGGGAAACCCACATCCACATTGTTATTCTTAATGAATTCGTATATGAAGCAAATAGTTTGAGTGATAGGAACACTGGTGAAGAAAGACCTAACATACAGAGATATCATTCTCTTCTCGGATGTATTAATATCGCCTATGGAATAGACGAATTAAAATGAATCCGTAACGCTATGGTTATCGAGATAAATCCTGATTGGTACAAGGATGTCTACGAGACATTTAATATTAGCATGACATAGTGAATTTTTCATGTCTAAAATTGGAAGCATTGTGCACTTTAAGAAGACCATATAACCAGGAAATTATAGAACCCGAGGGTCTTAGCTACTCAGACAATTCGGAGTTATTGTTGTTATTTTATTTCGAAATACTCAAGCCAAAAGAACTAGATCCTGAGAGTCACTTCATAATCCTTCTCTTCACAAAGATTGGTGTTCTCAATGATGAGCTAAATCACATTAAAATAAAATTTCCATGAACTCTTTGCAGTGATAACAGGTAGGGGTGATATGTGGTGAAAAATTAAAGAAACGAATATAAGATCAGTTATTTAGCCCTATGAGTTGTATACTTTTGAACTGAAGGTGCTTGTAGAAGCATTTAAGGTGTTTCTTATATGATAACTCTGATTACTGTTTTAGGTTGTCCTTACCATCCGAATTTTGACTGATACAACTGGTGTCAAATACCTAGACCGCAGAGATCTTGGACCTATCGCTGGTTTCAGAAGCCTAAACCTAATAAGCAGAATATTATGCACTGTAATCTTCACAGAACAAGAGAAAATGGTTGAGTAACATAACTGTTTATTCTTCAAGCGGTGACGAAACAGATTTACAATGGTTATTCAGTGCGTTAATATAATGTACAACAATACTTCTGATCGTATTTCTCCAATCTTCTGCCAAGCAGTACACGATTAAGCAGTGACAGCCTTTCTGTCCCCTGCCAATATGGAAACCAGTTCGAATAAACAAACTATTCAGTGTTCACCAGCATTAACAACTATTGTTCCAGTGTTGATGGAATTTATTAATATGATCAAAATCCTGAGTCCCAGAAAAGATCAAACTCTTTCGTCTTTAATAAAAGAATCCTGAAATTAGTTGTAAAACTGCGAGGATAAGTGAGCAATCGGCTGATTTAGTTTAACATAATATTTATATTTTTTTATTCCTTTACGTTCCTAGTGGAACATAAGGCTTCAAGATAAAGCTTTAAAGTTCCGGTAGCAGTGGTGTTCAGTTTTACGGGATTGGGTTGATAGCCTTATACCCAACCTTCCCTCTTTACCAGTCTTATTACTGGCTTACCGAGGTGAAGAGTACGTCGACCGAGGATCGAACCCCGGACCACCTGTGTGGTTGGTGAGTGTTCTATCGCTGTGCCACCGATGCACAAAATAATATATACAATTACAGAAAATTTTGCGAAATTCACTGGGTATTACTAGCTTATTCGTATAATTTATATTACATCTTAGATATGGTGGAGAAGATTTGTAGCTCAGGTGGAGGGGGGCAGGACTCATTGCAGCACTCCCACCTTAAGGAAAATTGAAGAAAGGTATCTCATGGACGTCTTCCAAAAGAATGGGTATCCACGGAATTTCATCAAAAGACATCTACCTCCAAGCCAATCTATCAAATCAAAGTCCATCAAGGAAAGCACAAAGAAAATCACCATACTAGTATATAAAGGACATCTCAGAAATCACCGCAAGACTCTTCAAACCTTTAGGAATTGACGTCGCTTACAAACAAACAAAATCACTTCACTCAGCTGGCTGGCCCTATGTCAACCAAAAGACTCAACAACGAAAGAAGATAAAACCCACATCATCTACAAAATAAATTGTAACAACTACGAAAAACACTACATTGGTCAAAGTGGACATCGTCTTCGTCTTCGTATACATGAACATAAGCTAGCCGTCAAAAGACATGACATCCACTGCCCCGCTCATATCGCTGCATAGAGAAAACCATGGACATCAATTCGACTGGGACAACTTTCAAATATTAGACAGAGGAAACACCAAGGATGCTAGAAAATTTCTAGAAGCCTGTTATTCAAGTGAATCATCAATCAATAGTCACATCGAGATAGACAAAATTTACCAACCGATAAGAAGGAAACATCACACACAAAGGGTCAAAGTTCAAGTCAAAGAAACAATCAGTTCCAATACAAGTAGCCTAGAGGGTGTGAAAACATACGAAAACAACCAATCGTGTCGTTCAAGGTCACCACCAGGAGAGATGACTAATGAACTCGTGGAGAAATCCAAATGCTCACTTCAAATTGAAGTATGCACTAAAGATGTTGCCTAGTAGGGCAATGAAAGCTTCACAAATTAACTATCCAGCTCAGAGAACACAACCACATCAAAATATTGCATCTTAGTAATAATTCATTCAAGCAATTTTTTAAAGTATTGCACTCAACATAGTTATACAACATAGGACATTGAAGCAAATGAATGGGAAAAAATAATATTCAAGAATATTTCATGAAATCATATATTTTTACGACAAACTTTCATAGGACTAACCAGTTAACAGCTCTACTTGAAATTGTGGATTACATTAGGTGTTATACATTACATTATGCGGACATCTACAAAATTATTATAGGGATAAAAGTTTTTCAACTTCTGATGTACTTTTTCCATTTATTTAAATGATACAAATTTTACAGATAATTAAGATGATTAACTCAACGTTGAAAAAAGGATGTTTGATACAATATTAGTCAAAGAAACAAGAAGGTAATGCGATGAAATACCCTAAACCGGTGAATAAAAGCCTATATATACTCGAGTGTATAAAAGTACTGTCCAGTCGTTGGTTGGTAAAAGTAATTATGAAAAAAACCCGGCAACTTGAAATGATTTCTGCTTTCAATAAATCTCCACATCTTCAAAAAGTACTTCACGAACCTGTTGTCGAAAGCAAATCAAAAAGAAAAGAATAAGAAAATCATTTATAAAATGAGTATAATCAAAAATATAAACCAAAAATTGTATCTAAAAAACATTCAGTGCAAATGCCTAATTTGTACTTGAAGCGTATTTCCACACTTAGTGGAGCATTTCAAATGTATCAACAAGGTAAAGAGATAGAACAATGAAAGCAGTTAAAACTAATGATTACGGCGTTAAATGTGGAATAACTTCTACTGAGATGATTAAATTATGATCTTTTATTCACACATGAAACAGTTTCATATATTCAAAAATAAAACGAGTTGAAGAGCCAATTTCGTTAAAACAAGATTTCTACTTTTGAGTGCATTTTAAAAGAAGAAAAGTGCAGTACCAACTAAAAATAACACGTGAAAAAAAATTAATGTCATAACCAGAATATATACCTTTGAAATGTGATGGTCTGAAAGTAAATAAAACTGTTTTGTACAGACAGCGGCAACAAGACGAATGCAATCAAAATTACCTACCTTGTCCATTATGTAAGTCAACTGTTAGGCAAAATTATGCAACACTAAGAAAAAGGTCTATTAACTGAAAGGTTATTTTTCTTTCGAAATGATAACTAAAGAGTTCAACAGCTGACATCATGCCATCCAGTTCATGTCGGAATCAGAAATGAAATCGGAATTCCATTTTTTGGACGTTCTTCTAAAAAGCAGATCCGATGGTTCTCTTCAAAGATCGACCTACAAGAAACTTACATGGAATGGTGAGTACACAAATTTCCACAGTTGGGTCCTTTTGAAAAGAAATAGAAACCTGATCTACTCCTTATCCTCAAGAATAAGGAGGATATGTTCTAGTGATGCAATCGAAGGGGGACTGAGGCGACTCAGATAAGTCCTCGTTGAGAATGCATATCCTCCAAGATTTATCGAGAAAAACATGAAGTTAAGGGAAAACCCTGAACGAACCCAGATGGTGTCGAAGAAACTGCTATATATGAGCGTTGAATTTAAAGGTGATACCACAGCTGAGATCCTGAAGAATCGCTTATGCAGATCACTGAGGAAAGTCTTCTGTATGGTTGAGCTACGTATCAATTTCTACAGCCGACAAATGATCAATGAATGTGTGAAGGATAAATGGCAGCTTTGGGCCACCTCAATATGTGTTTATAAATTCACCTGCTCGTATGGAGCTAGTTAGATTGGCCGCACTAAGCGCACACTTTCCAAATGCATCTCTGAACATTATCCGGTATGGTTAGCAAGACAATTACTAGCTCAATTTTCGAGCACTTGGTGAACTCAAGCCACGTAGCTCCACCAGAGTCGTCTTTCAAGATCATCTACAAGGTGAAGCCAAATGGAACAAAGGGTGTCAGGTTTCGGCATTTGTGTATGGCGGAGGCTCTGGAAATTCGTCAATACAACCCCGAACTCTGTATACAGGAAAAGTTTGTCCAGTCTCTTATTCCACCTTGGTCTTAACCTCTTCACTAGTCGTTCTCTGTAAAAAAAATTTTGATTTTTCTTTTTTAATTTTACTTTTAGTTTGCTTTTGCTTTAATAAATAATTCACTATTATCACTCTCATATGTTCCTTTTTTATATTTTCACACCCTCTTCACACTTGTTAAATTGATACTCAACTACAAGCTTTATTGTCACACAATAGGAATTTTAACCTTATCAAACTTCTATCTTTAAGCCGTTGAGTACCACGTAACTTTAAAAAAACTTTTAGTTTTACCTTCGAAGCCACTTCTGAGTAATTATGTCAATTATGTCACCCTCTCTTACTCAATAATAGACCACTATATATTTTTTTGGTAAGTATAAATACGACTGTACAGCTTCTGAAGATGATTTCGTCGGTAAAGAAAATTTTCTTCGCTGAATTTGTCTTTTACTGTCTTCATGACTCAATGGGTATTTTCAGCGATTTGAAGCAGAGCAAGAATACTATGGATTTGTTGAGTAAGATCAATGGAATTACAGTTCACGAAAGATGCATAAATTATAGTAAGCATAAAAATGTAATAGCAAATAGAATATCAAACAAAATAAGGGAAATTTCTACAGAAAAATTGAGGATCATTAGGACCTTGATGGCCAAGATAAGAACAGTGTCTGAACCATCTTCTTTTGACTGTTCACTTTTTTATTTAATAAGGAACAATACAGATATTAGATGGTTGGAGGCAATCGGCAGGAAGCCTTGGACCTAGGTTTCGTGCTAGTTGGCACTCATCAGCAAGGCGTATCTGCGACCTTGAAGGAACTGATGTCCCTTCTGAGATTCGAACCCGCGTCACCCAGTGCTGCAGTCAGAGATGTTACCACTGAGCTACTCAGGCTCGCGACTGACCTCCTGTAGGACTGTGTTGGATATTTTTGATTGAACACTAGTCAGTAACTAGTGTAATGTGTCTAGTCCTATCTTCGGTGCAGACTGAATTCTATCAGTCGTGGAACAATACAGAAAAATTGATGGTCTGGCAATAAAGTCACCACTAGGACCCACTGTAGGTGACATTTTCCTTGAGAAACTAGAGAATGAGCCTTTGAAAGATGTGGCTGATGAACTAGAATTCTACTATCGGTACATGGATGACAGATTTTTGATGATGAAAAATGAGGTTGAAGTAAAGAACATTCTGGACAAATTTAACAATGTTCATCCTGCGATAAATTTAACCATCATGAAAGGAAGAGACCCTGGTATTTCATTCCTAGGCGTCCTTATGACTAGAAAAGAGGACGGTACAAAGAGAAGTATATATAGAAAACCAAAATCAGCTGGTCAGTATACTCAATTTTTTCAGCTTCATGCCACTGACATGTAAACTCAGTTTAATAAAGCGCCTGGTCCACAGAATAAGAGCAGTCTGCTCTGATGAATGTCTTAATGAAGAGTTTAATATTGTTAAACAGTTGCTGGGTGAGAATGCTATGATATGATTATGAACAATTAACCTTGTTCGAAACGTCATCCAGCAAATAATGCTGTTTCACTGTGTGATACATCTAATAAACAAACCAATATGGATAAGAATATGAATCAGAAACCTAGACAGGCCAAGGTACCAACAATTCCTAAAAAGGCCTTATTCCTACAAATTCACTTCTTCGGGGATAACATCAGTGGGTACAGAACACAAGATTGGTGTTAATTAGGCTTTTACAGTTATCTACTGCATACCAACTAATCTTAACTTCCCCCTAAGAGTTCGTCTACTAGAGATTACTTGGGTCGTTGGGATCCACATTAAGAAACCTTACTTAGGCATCCGAAAGAAGTTGATTCAGACACTGTTCTTACCTTGGCCATCAAGGTTATAATGATCCTCAGTTTTTCTGTAGAAATTTCCTTAATTTTATTTGATATTCTATTTGCTATTACATTTTTATGCTTATTATAGTTTATGCGCCTCTCATGAACTGCAAGTCCATTGATCTTAGTTAACAAATCTATAGTATTTAAAAACACCAATATTGTTATTGACTACTATTCTAGAATATTCTATGTATATAAACATATATATATAATAATTATTTCCCTTAATTCCTGGAGGAACACAGGGCTTTATTGCGTTCGGTTCTCTGCCAATGTTTTCACCTGGCTCCACGTCTCCCCACATGCTCTCATTTCCTCTCCGCATGACCTCCTACATGTCACACTCACACTGATGACCAACTCGCCACTTCCTATTTGGGTTCCACTCGAGGTCTTGTCTAGTGATGTCACTTAATGGTTTGTTTTCTCAAAGTATGACCAATCCACCTGCATTTCTTCCTGCATATTTGTTGCGCAATCGGTTCCTGCTGGGTTGGTTCTCTCATTGGCAGAGATCCATCCTGTTGCTGATCTTTTCTGGCCGGCCATCTGATCTTGAGTAGTATTGAGCGAAGACAGCTGTTGATGAAGACGTGTAGTTAATTCAAAGTGCCATTCGTGAAGGGGCGCCAAAAGTCTGATCCTTATAGTAACACTGACTTCACACTGGAGTTGAGAATCCGGATCTTATTTTCATTTTCATGTTGAGTGATGTCGATATCCACACACACTTGAGAGTAATGAAAGCTTGCCTTGCTTTCCCGATGATTCTCGCTTTGATGTTCTTTTCATTTCCGCCTGTAGTTGAAACGATGCTTCCCAGGTAGGAAGGTAGGTAGGTAGAGGAGGCTGCTTCTTTCAGATTATTCACATTTATGCTGGCTGATTGTTGTCTGTTGCTGTTGTCCAGGAATTTTCATCATCTCTGTTTTCTCTATGTTCAGCTGAAGGAAGTCCTATCTTTGATGCCTTGTCGGCCAACTTGTTGCTTTTCACTCGCATATCTTCCAGTTTGTGGGAAATCAGACATATGTCATATATATATAATTGTAGAGCCAGAAGAGGAAATTATCTAAAAGGATATCCTTTGCTCAATTATTTTGTTTTTTCTAGATGTCTGAATGAATATTTTCAGTAAGCATAAATAAATAAATTTTGACTTTACCTTCAGCCAAATAGGATTTTCACTTGTTTCATTCCTATGCGTTCTCATATGGGAGTATGGCTTCAAGCTCTAAACTTCGAAGTTTCAGCTGTGGTTGTTTTGTGTGTTGAGGCCACTATCCTCACGCCTAACTTTCCCTCTCCTTACCGGATTTATTACTGGCTAAGCGAGGTTTCAGAGTGAGTCAGCCGGGAATCAAACCCTAGACTACCATATTACGTCGAAATATGTCAAAGAGAAGATGTTAGTCGGATGCAGAGGTCTAACACAACACCTGACATAAGCTGATATGACTCATTGAGTACTTTATTCTTATTGATATTATGAGCAATCCAAACAGACCTGTTTTTGTATTACCTGAGATAGATTAACCACACACTATCACAAATGAAATTCCATGTAAATAGCAAGGAATTTTAAATATTTGGAACCACAAATTTGAAAAATTGTCATTTCAGACAGATAGGATACGAAGATTTTAGCTATGTGAAAACTAAAAACTCTTACAATCTCAGTCAGGTATGACAGAACAATCAAATAAGTATGCTGTGATTTCATTGTAACTTGGAAAAGCCAAACCAAATTGGGAAATCAATCCTTTGGTCAATTCATTTCAGAACAACAAGTGAATAGTAATCAATCTACCATAACTACTAAAATAAAAGCATATTTTTGTCAGTTCTATTCAATATACAGCGACGACCCATCACAATAAATAATTCAGGATGTTTAATTAAAGTAAAAAAGTCAAGAATTCAGACAAATGCAAACAATTAACATCAGTTAATTATTTCAAAGAAGGAAAAGGCCAAGCCATTTGGGCATAAAAGAGTAGTATAAATGGTCGGGTAAAAATTACGATATACCCAATTTAATAAATCCTAATGAAGCCACCGATTGAAATAATCTCCAATGATTTTCCTGATTGTTGGCGGTAGACTGGATAATGCGAAATACAGAGGGCAACGAGGGAACAGGCATAAACTGGACCGACACTGAAAACTTGGAGGATATGAACTTCACCGACGATATATGTTTGATTTCCCAAAAAATGGAAGATATGCAAGTGAAAAACAACAAGTTGGCAGAAGAAGCATCAAAGATAGGACTTCCTTCAGGTGAACATAGAGAAAACAGAGGTAGGTGATGAAGATTACTGACCAACAGCAACAACAGACAACAATCAGCCATGCATAAATGGCAGGAATCTGAAAGAAGCAGTCTCCTTCACCTACCTACCTACCTGGGAAGCATCGTTTCAACTATAGGCGGCGAAACTGATGAGGATATCAAAGCGACGATCGGGAAAGCAAGGCGAGCTTTCATTTCTCTCAAGTCTATGTGGAGGTCAGCAGCACTCAGAATGAAAGATAAGATCCAGATTTTCAACTCCAATGTGAAGTCAGTGCTAATATACGGATCAGAGACTTAGAGCCGCGCTGCGTCACGAAGGGCACTTCGAACAAACTACAGACCTTCATCAACAACTGTCTTCACTGAGTACTATTCAAGATCAGATGGTTGGCCAGAAAAGATCAGCAACAGAGATGGATCTCTGGCAATCAGCGAACCAACCCAGCAGGAACCAATTGTGCAACAAAAATGCAGGAAGAAATGGAGGTAGACTGGTGATACTCTGAGAAAACAAATCATCAAGTGAGTGACATCACACGCCAGGCTCTCTCGCGAGTTGAACCCGAATGGGAAGCGGCGAGGTGGTATTCAGTGCGAGGGTGACATGGAAGAGGAGGTGATGCGAAGAGGAGATGAAAACGTGTGGGCAGATTTGGAGCTAGGTGAAAACTTAAGCACAGAACCGAACGCAATGGAGACGTGTGACTGAAGCTCTATGTTCCTCCAGGAAATAAAGAAAAAAATAATAATATTATAATAATAAAATAAAAATACTTAAACATGCAACAGAATGATTCATAAGTTCATTCACAAGATCATAACATTTATTTCGTGAGGTGCATTTAATAACAGACAATGAAACATTTGTGATACAATATACATAAAATGGTAGTACTGGAGCAAAGTTTAAAGCAAAAATATAAGCTGATGTGAATGTAAAACAGCTATAGAATCTCCAAGAGATTTTATACATTGAAGTGAAATCCATGACAACGAAAAGTGCTTGAGAATGCCTTGAAAACAATCTTTCTAACTCAAGATCTTCTAATAGTATACAGTTTAACACTTTCTTTTTGGAAATGATTGTATCTACTACTGAGACCCGATCCAATGGCCAGTCCATGAATTATAACTTCTGCCAATTCATGACATAGAGCGACCACTTCGCAATGTCTTCGGCGAGTATTTGTCCTCACACCCGACCTGCTGCACCTGACTGGTCACATCTTCCCACTACAACCCAGGTAACTACCTACCTGGATAGGGTCAGTCGCTAGTGAGCATCTCATTAATATTCAAGTGTTGGTTTGTAGGGATTTGATTAATTGATTACAGGATTTCATCATGAGCTGAAATTTTATTGTTTTAGGATAAAAGTGTATCGATTGTTAGCTGAGATTACTACTATTATTACTACTTATTCATACTTGACATCCCTATTCATCAAATACTTTGACTAATACGACTAGGCTAGACTGTTACCTTTAATAGATGGAAGCTTTCTTGTACTTTTAATTGTTTCTTTTGGCTTAGCAGCGGTCGACTTCGTTTTATTCCTTATTAAAGGTAGTTTCGGTAGTAACTTTTTAGCTTTTTTTTGTTGTATTCAAATAGAACACAGAGTGCAATGATGTGAGTGCATACCATGCAATGTGAAATATAGTGAAATATATAGCAAAATGCGGTGTGTTGATGATTAGTCAACGTTAATACAAGTATGAAATAATATTGGTGAAAATGAAACACAAAAAATTAACAGGAAAGAAAAGAGAGAAATACAGATTAAAATTATTTACTATAATCATGATAAAAGATAATGTTAAAGATAAAAAATAAATTTAAAGACAGTCTCCTGATAAGAAGGATCAATTAACTTCAATATAACCATGGACTGATGTCAGTCAGTGAGCCATTGGAAATCAGGGATTACTGGACGCCTGTTTTGTCCTAGTTTGGGTTGATCATTCACCCACTTAGCCCGGAATTCAATGACATATGAATTCTAACTTTTGTAAATTCGTGATTGACTATAGGACGAAGTTGCATGCGTAACGAATGTCCTAACCACCTCAATCGAGGTAACTTCATAGCCTCGTCTAATGATTTCCTCTCCTTGCCTAGCACTCGACCGATGCCTAAGCTCAATATTGCTCACCCTATAATACCACTTCACACGGGAGATAGAACGCAGGCACCTATGATCAAAGACAGCTAGCCAGACGTTTCATATCTTTCGCTCTAAATCGCCAGGTCTCACAACCATAAAGGAGGACGGAGCGGACTTCTGAGCAGTACATACGTCCTTTGGTCGATAGCCGGATATCACGTCTACACCAGAGGCGCCGTAAACTGGCATATGCGAAACTAGCCTTCTGTATCCATGCTGAAATTTTGTCAGCGATCAACCCGTTGGCAATAGCTGATGTAACTCCCCAAATAATAAATGAAGCGGTCAGCGTGGTCTACCACTTCACTCCCAATTTCTAAACTAGGAGCCAGTGTAGTCCAGTCCTGTAACATCATCTTGCATTTGGCGGGAGCGAATCGCATGCCAAACATTCGTAGATTGCAGCTCATGGTGTTCAGAAGACTCTGCATTTTGTCAGCATCTTCACCTAGGAGAGAGGACTATATCATCTGCATATTCTAATTCAACGAGATTATTCCCTGATGGTAACAAGTCAATCCCTAAGTCTCTGAAGTGAGTTTGGGTTAAGTCCATTAGTACATTTATGATGAAATTGAATAGAAATGGGGATATTGAGCATCCCTGACGGACACCGCCTTTAGGTCAAGAAATATAACGATTGCAGGACACCGGTAAGAATGCCTATGTCCCAAAATCTGTCGAAGGGTGAAAATATGATCAATACACCCTCTTCCTGGTCTGAAGCCTGCCTGGTTCTTTCGTGTTTGTTCCTCCCGAGCACCACTAAGTCTATGCAATATTTTTGAGCCTAGGACTTTGGATACCATATTAGTCAGGCTTATCCCTCTGTGATTATCACAGGAAGACTTGTCTCTCTTGTATTTGGGGATAATCAGTGACTTACACCAACCAGATGGGACTTCCTCTGATTCTCAGACTCTGCCTAGTACCTTAGTTAACGCAGACAGTAAACTGTCTTCACCATACTTAAATACCATTGGAGTCATTCCATCAGGTTGTCAAAGGAATGGAGCTTTAGCGTTTATTGTTAGACATGTTATGAAGAATCACTAAATGATAACTCTTAACATACATACTTAAGCACTTTAGTCAACAAGATTACGTTTCTCTAAGCTGCTAAAGTAAATATGACATTAAACTGTGGTGGGGAGAACAATAAATGTCGGCAAACATTCCAGACATTCTGACTATTATAATCCTAATATCATGCGTATAGGTTTATACGTAATTATTCATAATTTTTATTCAGAATATTTTCTTACCTTGATTTGATGACGTTGACTTAGCATCGGAAACATTTGCCTGTGTAGCCTCAAGATTTTCTGCATTTTGTATTACTTCAGATATAGTTTCCGCTATTGTATTATGGTCAGGTTGTAAGTCTGTACCAGCATTTTCAGGCTGTACATCACTATCAACTGTTGCAGAGAGATGGGTCTCTTCTACTGCAGGACTTTTTGGCATATTTTCATCATGTTGTATTTCTGGTGGATTAGACAGATTTTCTTTCTCTTAATCATTGAACAAGAGATACATGAAAACAGGGAAAACATGGAGAAAATTAAGTCTCTTTTTACGTTAAACGATGTAAATTTAAGTTTCAACCGAACCCCATACACACAACTGGTGCTTAAATAGTTAAACCATTCAAAGAAACACTATGTTAAATTCAACTTACCAGATTCTTTAGCTTCAAGAACGGATTCACCTTCAAAAACACAGGTCTATAATGAGCTCATTGATAAGTGGCGATAATTTTATATTTAGCTAGCCATAAAACTTGTTTTACGTCAGTAAGGAATGGATTCACGTTGTAGGGAGGATCCAATCTGGTTTTGTTTCAGTGGCAATCCAATGGAAGGCTAATTTTAACTATGACTTCTTACAAACTATGGTACTTGATCATTTATGTGCTATAAAGTGAATCATTGAACTCATTGTCACTTTCATTGTATGCATCAATCTCATACACGTATTATAACCATATAGAAATTTAGTCCGTTTATACTGTTTAAAGGTACTAATTTCTTGCTTCCAGGAATCTGTCCTCTAGAGCAATATGTAACGTGGCTTGCCACCTATAGCATTTTCATACTGACGCAAATAGGATAACACAGATTCGTCAGGAATCCTGAAAACCTTCACTGTTCATGAACACTGTATTTGAGGTCCCAGAGGACAGGTTCCCAGTGAAGTGCTTGCTGTAAATACTTCATAATGAAAGCTTGCTTTGCTTTCCCGATCTTCGCTGCTTGAGTATCCTCATCAGTTCCGTCCGCCTGTAGTTGAAACGATGCTTTCCAGGTAGTTAGATAAAGGAGTTTGCTTCTTTTAGATTTCTCTCATTTATGCTGGCTGACTTTTGTGTGCTGTTGTTGTTTCTGTTACTGTTGGCCAGGAATCTTCATCACCTCAGTCTTCTCTATGTTCATCAGAAGGAGGTCCTATCTTTGATGCTTTTTCTGCCAACTTGTTGCTCTTCACTTGCATATCTTCCAGTTTGTGGGAAATCAGATAAATATCATCGGCGAAATCCAGATCCTCCAAGTTTCTTGTGTGGGTCCATTTTATGCCTGTTTCCTCAATGCCCACCGTCTGTCGCATTATCCAGTCTACTGCAATCAGGAAAATCATTGGCGATAGTAGGTAGCCTTGTCTCACTGTCATCTAAAGTAGTAAGTTTTATGTTTCGCGATGGAGAAGCCGTATGATATAGGTGTTCACCTTAGCTGATTTCAATACCACAGTGAGCGTCAAAACCGAAATTGCGTAACTCTACTAGGTCCCCATTGAGTTCTTAATATTTTCTTAAGTAAGAAGTAAAAAAAACAACCGGACAGTAGAATGTTGTCTGTTAACAGCCAAGCGAAATAACCAGAACATTATCTTACCCTTTACTTCTTCCACATCTATAATAATGAAAAAAATTTTACATTATAAGGATAACAACAAGTGCTGAACCAGCACAGACATAAAGGACTGAATATGCATGGGCAAGTGTGTTCCAACATTAGTGTGACGAAAAGTAAAAAGTGATAAATATATGAATATGACTAAGTGTTTTTGATACAGAAAATACGCATTTATTTTAATAAGTCGAATATAATTTGTAAATGTCTTAAGCTATTATAGCTGCTAGTGCTTCGGTGGCACAGTGGTAGAATGCTCGCTGACCACGCCTCACGTGGTCCGGGGTTCGATTCCTGGCCACCGACGCACTCCTTTACCTAGCTAAATCAGTAATATGACTGGTAAAGAGAGAAGGTTGGGCATGAGAAGGCTAGCAACTCCATCCCTTTAAAGTAAATACCCCTGCTACCGAAACTTCAAGCCTGTAGCTTGAAGCCCTATGTTCCACTGGGAACGTAAACAAATAAAAAAAAATATAACTGCATGTAGCATTTGGGTATCGGATCTATGCAATAGCAATATTTAAATTGAAAATTCCCCGCCGAATATATTTACCTTTGATGTATTAATTTAAACAAGTATCATATTTTTGCCCAAAATTACTATTGAATCTAAAACAGCTTTTTTATTTGAAATAAGAGGGAAAATTAGAAATATGTAATTCTTTTAATGCATATACAAAAGCCATAGTAGAGTCATAATAAGTCAATATTAATAACTGTAATTAGTTGTTCATTTGTGGATAATTAAAGCTGAGACGTTTATGCGAATTGCTTAAGTTGAAAAAGAAAAAGTGGGCATTAGAGAAAAGTAAGTGGAAGGCATTTAAAGCTAGTGAACACTAAGTATGTGAGATGGTAGTCTGATTCTCAGTGCGTCGGTGGCACAGCTGTAGACTGCTCGCTGACCACGCATGTGGTCCAGGGTTCGATCCCCAGCCGATGGGGCACTCCTCTACCTCGCTAAGCCGGTGATAAAAGTGGTAAACAGGGAAGGTTGGGCATGAGGCTAGCAACCCTATCCCTTAAAAGTAAACATCACTGTTTCTGAAACTTCAAGCCTCTAGAGTGAATCCCTATGTTCCACTGGGAAAGTAAAGGAAGAAAAAAAGTCTGATTCTCACTTACACAAAAAAGTATCAACTAAGCATGCTTAAGACATCAAACAAACTGACTCGCCGACATAGAATCAGATTAACACGTAAGTCAATGACATCATCACTGAATCTAATGTTCAGACGGGTAGATCTATTGACAAAAGGGGTTACATAAATCAAATGTACTAAGGGAATCATAAAAACTGTCTACCAAACTACGTTAGTCAGTCCACTTGCTAGGTTTCCCGAAAGATTCCCGAATATCTTTTGGTACTGAGAGGACATAATACTTCATTCTTATTCTCAAAGCATATAGAAAACGACCGTCGACTGGGAGAGTCATAAGAAAAAGACATAAACAGTGAAGAAAATTTTCTTTCCGACGATTCATTTTCATGAGCTGTACAATCGTAATTATAATTAACAAAGAAATCTTTAGACCAATCAGATACTGGTAAATTTTGTCCTCGAAAAATGCATTACGCAATGTAAGGTGGAGCCTAGAAGGTATGACTAATTGGAAGTTAGAAAAAGGGCAGAATTTGGCATGACGTAATATATGTAAGATAATGACTAGTCAGTAAGCTCATGTTGAATGGCCAAGAACTAGTGGAAAGACGATAAATCTGTATGAAAACGCAGTTTTATTAATAAACAGTAATAGAGTGGTAATAATTACGATTGTACAGCTCATGAAAATGAATCGTCGAAAAGAAAATTTTCTTCGCAGTTTATGTATTTTTCTTATGATTCGAAGAGTATTGTTATTTGAACAAGCGCGAATTCAAAGACAGCAAGAGAGTTTAAAGCAGCATAGCACTGAAACGGAACTTCAGTCGATAGATACATAGGTCTACAGTTAGCCTGTAGCTTACTTAGAAAGAAGAACAAACGCCTCTCATGCAGCCAACTAGGTGGGACAGTAATTAAGTGTTTTGGATGGAGGATTTCATCGTCAGTTGGCATCAGTTAGAGAATCACTGGAAAACCTGGGAGAACTAGACGGCCGTTTCGTCCTAGTTTTGGACTCTTCATCAGCACGCACCCACCGGCTCAATGGTCTACGAGCTCGCCTTGTAAGCAGAAGGTCCTGGGTTCGAACCCGTGGCGGTGGGTGCTTACTGATGAAGAGTCCCGAACTAGGCTGAGGAAACAGCTGTCCAGTACTCCATGCAGGTTTTCTAATGGTTCTCTAACCGATATCAGCTCATTATGAAATCCTCTAACCAATTAAACAAAATCCCTACAAAACCAATACTTGAATATTGCTTATCTCTTGGTTTTCTCTGCAAAGAGTTCTGATCAGCTAATATTTCACTGTCAAGCTGGGTAGCATTGTCAGCACAACTCTTGCGAACAGAACCTATACATCTTATAACTAAAACAATTAGAGAACTGAGTGTTTATATTAAATTGCTGCTTATTTTTAAACCCAATAATTGACTAAATACTCAAAAAATTAAAAACAAACTCACCTTTTTGTTCACTGGTTTCTACTCTCGCTGATTCCGCCTCTAAAAAAATGTATATCACAGTTCATTGTAGAAAGATAAAACGAAGGATATGGCATTAGTATACTAGGCTTAGAGAATTTCAATAGTAATACTGATTTAATAATATATATACACACACGCACAAACTCAATTTACACAGCAGAAATCTATTCACACGGATATGTACACACAGATGCCCACATATAAATTTCATACTAATTAATTAAAGTGCGTAGACGTGCAGACACAAGAACTTCAAGTATACAAGTACAAGCTTACCCATAACTACCCGCTGATCATATTGAAGAACAGGTTCTTTTTTATATGAAAAAATATTTAAAGTTATTTAAAAAGCAGGCCATCTTAAAAATCAAAGTGAAACATTTAACGTTCGTTTCAATGAAATATTTTCATAATATTAATATGCCTTAAAGATGTTTCGAAATTATTGTGAAATTTCTGAAAAACACAACATGCTAGTCTGCTAGTATGGCAGTTTCGAGTGGCCTTATCACATATCCCTGCTACTTTTAGCGTTTTAGGTTGTTGCTATGGTGATTTAATGACAAGTTATATTTTCTGCATACTTTTTTAAATGAAATTTTGTATTAAAACTTTCTTTCTGACGTACATATTATTCGTGGCATTATATTCTTGAAATACGTTACATTTACTGCACTTGCATCGGAAAATCTCGCTTGATTCTGATGTGTGAGTCAGTCGGTTTAGAAGTTAAAAGTATATTTCTATATTTACATCAAATCACGCTGGTATATTTTGGCGTATTTATTGAAACAAACTAATACCCATTAGATAAAGGTGGCGCTACTTTAAAAAAGGGATATATCATATAATCGCCTGAAATCTCACATAATTTAATGATGGCTCGAGATTTTGAAGTTACTAAGCAATTTGTCAAGTTTTATGTATTGGTTATCACAACTGATATCACAATGAAATTATAAGAAAGGTACCAAAATAAAATCACATCTCATTAAATGAATGTTCTGCAAAATGTGTTCTGAGTACATCATGGTATTCAAGAAAGTATGGAAGGTTTTCTTCCACTGAATAGTAAGTGACTCAATAAATTGGAATATATGCCAGAGAAGATATATCACAGGTGAATACATTCTCAAGTGTTGGTTAACAGGGATTTGACTGATTTCAATTTTGGTCACGAATCGACTTCAGTTAGAGGGCCCCTGTAAACCAGAGAGTACTGGACAGCTTACTAGTGACTCACTACAGGATGAAGTTGCCTTTAGTTCTAATGGAAAGTCGTGATCAGCGGGGCCCACCAAGTTGGGCGTGAAGGCTTACTCACACATGTGACATTGGCTGGCAGTCGTGTTATATATCTTGAATTAGCAGAATTTAGGCTTCATAGGGTTTGCATTGTAACCTAGACGTCCTGATTTCGATCCCTGGCAGAATCATGGGTTCTTACTGCAAGAGAGTGCCAAAACAAGGACGAAACAGCTGTCCAGTACTCCCTGGTTTGTAATAATTCTCTAAATGAGGTCAGTTCTTGGCCAAACAGGTGAATAAAGTTAAAAAGGAGGTTTTGCAATATTTGCGTTCAAATTACTTGATAATATGAAAGGTTGACCAACATTACGACTGATGATAAATTCAAGAAAAGCAGAGTACACTGAATATGAAGGCTTTTGAAGCAGACAAACAAAAATGTCCTACTTTATTGTGAATGTAGCATTATGTTATATCCGATTTTAATTAGGAAGTTTATGATATTAAATTCTGTATGGTGTTAACATAAGTCACTGTTATATTTTTTAAAACTTTTCCTGACTGTTTCTACAAGGATGAAGGTAAAAGAAGTAATTTCATATTATTTTAGGCTCAGTATACACTCTAATATACAAATTGCACCTTCTTAATACGATGTAGTGTTTAGAGTTTACGTGATTTAAAAGAGCACAGGAAGACAAAATCAGTGACGAACATATTAGCACTTGGGTCTCGTAAGTCAGCTTGTAGACAGCCGGATTAATAGTTCCTTGGCCACTTGTTCAAATCCCGTCACGAAGCAGATTTCCATTTCAGTTACCATGCATTACGTCTGTAACAGTCTGCCAGCTGAAAGCTATCCCAGCAAAGTCTTACAATCAATTACATATTTTTTTTGCTTGACGTTAAGCCTGCCTGTCTATCAGCCTGGTGTGTGATTAAGAAATGGATCTCTCAGCATATGTCCAGTGATCCATATTCAGTAAAGTGCCGAAAACTGCTGCAAAACATTGTTTACTTTAACACACATTTGAATACATCTCACTAGTGCTTTAAACAGGATCGGCTGTTGAGCTCCAGTTACATCATATTTCATTTTAAAAGGTATATAACAGGGATTTAATAAATAGTATTCTAACTAAATGGTAACACATACCTTGTTCATCAACATTTGCATCAATTGTTTCAGCTGAAAAATAAAAACGATAATTGATTGTTTGTAAATTCTAATACATGGTGCGTCGGTGGCACAGTGGTAGAATGCTGGTCGACTACGCATGTGGTCAAGAGTTCGATCCCCCGTCGACGCACTCCTATACCTCGCTAAACCAGCAAAAGGACTAGTAAAGAGGGAAGGTTGGGTATGAGGCTAACAACCCCCCCACCTCAACTGATGAATGAATCATATAAAAGCTTGATAGTGATAAATTCATCATCACAAAACCAATTTTAATGTCATACATGCGAATGACTACAATTTGTAATAAGTTTAGAATGCTAAACATCAAATCTAATTGTCATATGTGATCTAGTCTGTATTTAATTCCATATTCCATACTCTGTTCATAAAAATTATCGTAACCAGAAGAAAAAACAAACAAATTCTGAGTTCCTTTTTCACTGTTACTGACATTGGAGACTGTTAATGAACACTTATTGGACACATTTAAGAGCTCATTTTACAAATATCTCTCAGATTAAGGCCAGCTTAATTCAGTTAACTTTTAGATTATGGGTTTTCGTGTTACGAACTAAGGTCATTTGAAGCGATCACTGAGAATCAGGAAGCAGTGAACAGCTCTTTTATCCTATTTTTGAACTCTTCAACAGTGCCAACCCACGGAACTAATTCACATCCCCATAAATCCTATAATCCTAATAACAATCATCAGATCATTGATGACTACCGGATGAATGTCTTGAAGCTGTAGTGAGAATTCATGGCCAGTGAGGGCCATCATGTCAAGCTGAAGTGGACGCTTACAGAAGGTATTGGTTGAGCGTGGCGTTACATCATGAATTGATAAAGCTGGAATTCACGCGTCATTCAATACTGACCCAAGTGACTGAATGCTCACTGAGCTTGGTCTTGTAACCTAAAGGTTCTGGGTTCAATCCCTAGTTCAATCACGGTGAAGAGTCCCAAGCTAGGACGAAACAGCCTCTTAGTGTTCTCTGGTTTCCAGTAATCTTTCTAAGTGGTGTTATTTCGTCATGAAATCGCTTAACTCTGTTTACCATTCATTGGAAGCTGTTTTCTCCACAATACATTACACTCTGCCATCCACATAACTGCTAGAAACCTGCGCTTGTCAGTTGCATATCGATGATTATAGTGCATAACTGTGTATGTCTTCACATGTATTCAGTATATATAGAATCCCAAGTTAATTGTTGTGTCATAGAGGTGCTCACTAGAATCACTGGTAATTAATTTCGTTCTTGGTAGAATTTCTGGTGTATTTAAAATACATTTTTACAACGACTATATAAACACGTGGAACATATTTCTAATGCTAATACAAGAACTATTTCAAATAGAATATATACATCGAGTGCTTATTTGATAAATGCTGTTAATGGGCATTTTAAAAGATCAAAAATACTTTATCGCTGAACTACAATTACAGTTATTGATTACTCAGATAATTGAGAATCTATGTTTCCCTCCTCACCTTCAGAGAGACCTTGTATAATGCATAACAATTAAATTAAGTCTCTTTTGACCAGAAAAAAAGTTGTTTTATAAAGCTATACGGATAAAACTTGGGCACTGTGGTAGAGTATAACTCCATTATGGATACAATTTTTATTTTGATGAAATCGCACAGTGGTTTTATACAGTAATATTTACTGACGACTACTACGTTTCGAGCACAATTTATTGCCGCTCATAATCATATCAAGTTACAGCTCACACAACTTTCTTGCTTCATTTATATACATGAGTAAAAATTGACTAGACATTCGAATAAAATCAATATAAGATAAAGTACATCAGGAAATAATACTAGTGTTATTAATCGCATACAATTAGATGGAAAATAAGGTGTTTTTTAGAGTAAAATAAGTTTTTTTTTTTATTACCTTCACGTTCCGCAGTGGAACATAGGGCTTCAAGCTAGTGGCTTGAAGTTTCTGTAGCAGTGCTCATTTTACAGGATGGGGTTGCTAGCCTCATGCCCAACCTTTCCTCTTCACCAGCATTATTTCTGGCTTAGCGAGGTAAAGGAGTGCGTCGGCTGGGGATCGAGCCCCAGACCATGTGCGTGGTCGGCGAGCGTCCTAACCACTATGCCACCGACGGACAACTCGGAATCCTTAGTGGAATAGACTAAATGGTGCAGATACTCATTCTTTGGTGACCGCGTTCATCATTTTTTATCAACAGTTGTTTCTTATTCTCCCACTTAATATTATTTTCGAAGCACGATAGTTTGAAATGATACATTTCAGTACACATTTTTACTTTGATTCATCTATCAGCCAAAGAACATCAATCAAGCTGATGACTTTCAAACAGAATGAAACGTGAGTTGTGAAATTTACTGTTAACTACTACAAAATGTACATCAAACAGTTAAAAGAAATCAGAGTTCACGTAGAAACAGTAATGACAAAATGATTCATGAAAAGATTCAGTGTTTTGAGAATGATAAAGACAGAATAAATCAGTTTGAGATATTGTGAACAATTTTCATCAATGTCATCTAGACATTCCCATCAGTTACTTTAAACATCAAGAAGAACACATTTACATAAACTACACAAGCATACAAGAATCAAAGCGCTTGACACAGATTCCAGTGGATCATGAACCACGAATTGTTCCACTTGAGAATTGGTGACTCTGTTAGACAGAAGATGCATAGCGACCACCTGAAATGCTAGCAGCTGAAGAGCGATGTACTCATTGCAGGTGTTATTTTACCATAATGTACCCTTTAATAGTTTTTTTCCCTGAAAGATTCGTAGTTGGTCCTAGACGATTACTATGTTGAAATGTACACATCCATTATAATACACATTCGTCATAACACTTCACAAAGCGATACGTTATTAGAAATAATAATATAAAATCTAGTCGAAAATTAAAATCACTTAGGAAAACCAAGTGAATTCATAGACTATTGAATATCGGATTACTAGCTAAAAGCTACAGAAGTCTATACCACTTGAAACAATGAATGGACGAATGAATGAGTTATCTGACAGTGCAACTTTAAAATCCGGTTTTCGTCACAACACCTCAAGACGGTTCTGCTTTATGATGTTGTAAGTTAACTACTTGAAATAGATTTTTTTCATGCCGGTTATCCTATGCAGTTGTCCAAGCTGAATTAAATGAAGTCAGGAATCGAACCAGTGACCAAATGACTGCTTAAGCCACTGAGGTAAATCTCCATTCCCATAATTTATGAAGACGAATGATATTCCCTTATGAATATAAATTGAACAAACATTTACAAGTCAAATATCTATCATACTATAGCAAAAATTAAGATGTCTTTGAAAACACACACATAAGTAACCTGTAAGAATATTATAAGGTGAATTGAACACATTTCAACATTATTTATTATCCTCTCATTTGAATGGCAGTAATATCTTCCATATCTCTGGTATTTGTGTTGAGTCACTTCTGTTGCATGTGTTGCGTGTAAACTCGATGAACCAGGATCCAGTAATCAATCTCTATCTCTCTCCACCTACCTATATGACTTATTAGAATTTTGACACTGTCTCACCCACCTTATTGTGTGATCGTGTGGTAATGCATGCAGTGTGATTGCTGAGGTTTTTCTAAATTATTTATCTTCATGAAATCAATCATTCTAACCTTAGTTAAATTGTTATGTTCTGATAATCTCACTACTCCTGACCTACTAGTTTGACTGACCTATGCAGTTGACTTAACTCACAGTCATTGCAAGGTATTTTGTAAATTATATTATTTTGTTTAATTGGGTCAACCAACAGGGTCCTTTAGCCTACAGAGCTAATCCTACCTGAGTGAGTTTATAGGTTTGAATGCCACTCTAATTCCTGCATTATTTAGAATCCTACGCAGGGTCTCCAATGTCCCCTCCTTATATGACAAATTTGTAGACGCCTTATAATTTATAATTATATTAGTGTTATCAATAAAATACAATTAGATGGGAAATAAGATAGTTTTTATAGTAAAATAAGTAACTTGTTAGAATCTTATAATGTGAATTGAGTTTTTTTCTAAATTACTCATCTTCGTGGGATCAATCACTCTAACCTTAACTAAATTCTTATGTTTTGATAATCTCACTAATCCTCATCTACTAGTCTGACCCATGCAGTTCACCTAACTCACAGTCATTGCAAGGTATTTTGTAAATTATATTATTAAATTGAATATTCTCTTAATTTATTCAGAACAAAATATTTAGAGCGAACAATTGTGGTTTCAATAAATTCTTCGTCAGGCTCTACAATTATAAATCCATTAAGTTAAGCATACAATAACCAGTAAAGGCAAATTAGAATCATATCAGAATGTGTATTGCGGAACAAGTATAAGATGGGATGGAACAATAGTCAGTTAGCTTTGCAATTAAAAGTGTTCTCTGAGCTGGTTGGTTAGCTTTTTAATATGCACGGTCAATGAGAACATGCGATAAAATGAGATGAAATAATTTATTTTAATGATGTGTGTATACATATATATAAATATAGTCAACAGAAAATACAGGTTTCAAGTGTGAGTGTTATCAGGGTGTGTGAGACAATATGAAAATAAGCCTACGAATGGGGCGGACTAGACGTAAGTTCAAGGTTGAAAATAACGACAATAAGAATGATTGTAAAATAATAACGATGATGTGGAGTAAAATTACAAGTACTGTTGGTGAATGATTATCAAATAATAATAACGCATATAATGAAGTGGAATGAACAGGATTTTGTAAATACGATAAAAAGTTAGAAAAGCACTACTTAAACCTTAGGTAATCAAATTAAAAGAAAGGTCATGAAATCAAAAAAGTCGACGATGAACGTTTGTCAATGAAACAAAGGAATAGAAGGAGAAGAAAAGAAAATTGTGATAAGAATTTGTGGTGCTAATGTTTATGGAGGATTTGCTGGCCTTATTAAAGGCCAAGGTAAACATAGAGGTTGAACATACTTCTTCTGCATACAAAGAGTTGGTTTTCTGGTATTAATTACAACCGCTTCAGCTACTGATAGATGACGTAGTCGAGCTCCTCCAGATAGATTACTAGGAACGCGGTAGATAACTGAGAACGCCTGGTCAAGTTTTATCGGGTGTCCAGATATTTATATATATACACACACATCATTAAAATAAATTATTTCATCTCATTTTATCGCATGTTCTCATTGACCGTGCATATTAAAGAGCTAACTGACTATTGTTCCATCCCATCTTATACTTGTTCCGCAATACACATTCTGATATGATTCTAATTTGCCTTTACTGGCCGGCTATTGTATGCCTAAATTAATGGATTTATAATTGTAGAGCCTGAAGAAGAATTTATTGAAACCACAATTGTTCGCTCTAAATATTTTGTTTTGAATAAATTATATTATTTTGTTTAATTGGGTCCATTGGATCCTTTGGCCTACGGAGCTTGTCTCTGAGTGAGTTTGTAGGTTTGAATGCCACCCTAATTCCTGCTTTATTGAGAATCCTACGCAAGGTCTCAGATATCCCCTCCTTATATGGCAAAACTGTAGACGCCTTATATTCTTTCTTATTTATGTTATCATTATTAGTTTTACCATTATTTTTATAAAGCTACTAAGTTTTGTAAATTACCATAATGAGAATGCTGAGATGATTAAAACGAGGGTGAACTTCAGCATTTGCATAAGCAGGTAACACCGTCTTCACGAAACACCATTAATAACAGTTATAAGTAAGCCTTTTTCGTTTAATAGAAAAAGATTTTGGCTAAATTAAATGAATATGGTACTATTCAAAATAATAAGTCTATAAATATCGATTTGAGAGCCTAATAATACATGAATTAAGTATCACAATGATTAATAAAAACAACATTGTTTAACTAACCATTTTCACCTTCAAAATCATCTTTATCTAGCGAAGATAATGCACAAAACAAACAAAAAAATACCCTTAATCACTCATCCAAAAAACACAAATAATTTAATAAAAGTTTCGTATTCAGAAATAAGCCTAAAACACATCTTGGGTAACCGTCAGTTAGCCACACCTCCCCATTTAAATGTGTGGTAGTGTGGTGAGAGCTGTCTACTAGCCGAATTGGTAGACAGTAATTTACGTCAATATTTACGTTCCCAAGATTTGTCGTGAGAAACAACCAATCGGAAGACTGTGTTTGTTTGTTTACATATCCATAGTAATGTACATGAAAACATATATAAATATGCGTTGATTTCCTTAATAAATGATCTGTTGCCTGGCCCTTGTCTTCTGTTGTTACAGTAGTACTTCCATCCAGATTCAAATTAAGCCCGAACTAATTTAAACGTCACAGTTTTATCCACAAATCTACTGAGATACGAATCCCACGAAAGAACGTGATTACTAACTGGAATGCAGATGTCGCATGTGCATCTTATAAGAATTTGTAGCAAACGTGCAATTTGCAGAAGAACGAAGTGAACATCTTCAGTTCAAATGCCAGTTATTATCATGAAGTCAAGTCTAAGTTAGACACTAAGGCCTTGGCTCATTGAGCTCCTGTGTCAGAATGTGGTCAATCAGTTCAATTTAGAAGTACCAACTAAAACTTATATCATAAACGGATAATAGCTAGAGAACCAGTGAAACCCTTGAAGTGTGTTATACAGTTGTCCTATCTTTGTCTGTAGTCGTATATCAGTGTTCATATTTTGTTTTTATTTTCCTAAATTTTGATTATAGCTTGACTCCAAACAGTATTTTTTGATACAAGTATAGAATTTTCAGCATGTGATATCGGTGGCCCAAATTTAGCAGGTCGACCATTGATATCGGGTGTGCGTCAGCCAGGGATCGAACCCTGGACTATGTGCATGGTCGGCGAGCGTCCTAACCTCTGTGCCACCGACCGAAATCTAGATCATCTAGTGCTAAACGGACACACAGTAAGTTTTCAAAAGCCACCATAGATGGACGTTCTATTGAATTATAGATCTAGCTAATCTTGAGTTCGTGCGTCGGTGGCATAGCGGTTAGGACGCTCGCCGACCATGCACATGGTCCGGGGTTCGAACCCCGGCCGACATACTCCTTTACCTCGTTAAGCCAGTAATAAAAGCTGGTGAAGAGGAAAGGTTGAGCATGAGGCTAGCAACCCCATCCTGTAAAATAAACACTGCTACAGAAGCTTCAAGCCACTAGCTTGAAGCCCTATGTTCCACTGGGGAACGTGAAGGATAAAAATAAATAATAATAAAATCTTGAGTTCATAACTGCTTTTAAAACACTATTTCTAGCACAAATAAATGGTGAGAATTATCCTCAGAATAATCAGTATCTCACAAATGGAACTGATCAGTTTATTTCATAAAAGATGAGCATTTTATGATTATTAAACTTACGTTTCGTGGTAATAACAGTGTCGAGTAATGAGCCTAAACAAACAATGAAGTCGAAAATGGTGAGAATATTTATTTTTTTAAAGTTTTTTTTTCAATAAATGCAGCATATTTTCAAGATTTAGTTTCTAGTGATTTTGATTTGTCTCAGATTTGGCTACGGATTGATATCAGTTAGAGGATCATTAAAAATCAACAGGGAGTACTGAACAGCTGTTTTGTTCACATTTGGAACTCATCAGCAATATTCACTCAGGACCTTCCGGTCACAAGGTGATCTCGTAGACCAGAAAATCAAATCCTTACAAACTAACCCATGGTAGAAGTTAGAATTCATGGGCTGGTCACTGAATCGGGTCCCAGAGTTAGAATGGTCTACGAGCTTGCTCGCCTTGCAACCGGAGGCTCCTGGTTTCAACCCCCTAGGGCGGGTACGTACTGACGACGAGCCCCGAACTAAGACGAAACAGCTGTCCAGTACTCCCTAGTTTTTCAGTAGTTCTATAAATAATATACGTCTGTGAGTGGTCAAGCTTGAAAACCAGCCTAGTCGCCAATATTTAAAGATAAAAATAAATTTTGGATGGAAGATACAGTGTTTTGGAACCCAGTTTTCTAAGGTATCTAATATAGCTCAGTTAGTTGGTGAATGAGTTTTTAATCCAGAAGTCTATGGTTCATAGTGTACTTTAGTCTAGTTTTCGCCTTAACTTCCAGTCATCATTTGTATGCTATGATTACAAACTATAAGGAATATGTTGAAATGGAATTTTAACTTCAGGCTTCCATACAGAAGTGTACACACCAACTACAGATAGATTTCTTATTAAAATAGCTTACATATCACAGTTATCCAATCGCTTGTAGCTGTATCAACTAGAAATATTCTGCAGTATATAAATGGGGTTTTCTGAGAAAAAAAAAATTCTTTTTGGATACGAATTCAGTTACACAACAGTACAATTATTATATTATTGTTTCTTTTAGTTCCAAAAGGAACGTAGGGATTCAGCCACACGTCTCCATTACGTTCGGTTCTCCACCAACGTTTTCACCTGGCTCCACGTCTCCTCACATGCTTTCATCCCCTCTCCGCATAACCTCCTCCACGTCACCCTCGCAATGACGACCAACTAGCCGTTTCCCATTCGATTTCCACTCAAGAGAGAGAGACCCTGGCGTGTGATGTCACTTGATGGTTTGCTTTCTCAGGTATGGCTAATCCACCTCCATTTCTTCCTGCAGATTTGTAGCACAGTTTGTTCCTGCTGGGTTGGTTTGCTCATTGCTAGAGATTCCTCCATGTTGTTGATCTTTTCTGGCCGGCCATCTGATCTTGAGTAGTAGTGAGCGAAGGCAGCTGTTGATGAAGGTGTGTGGTTTGTTCGTAGTGTCCTTCGTGACGCGGTGCGGCTCTAAGTCTTTGATCCGTATAGCAGCACCGACTTCACATTGGAGTTGAAAATCTGGATCTTATATTTCATGTTGAGTGCTGTTGATCTCCACACAGACTTGAGAGTAATGAAAGCTTGTCTTGCTTTCTTGATTCTCGCTTTGATATCCTCATCAGTTCCGTCGCCTGTAGTTGAAATGATGTTTCCCAGGTAGGAAGGTAGGTAGGCAGAGGAGGCTGCTTCTTTCGGATTATTCCCAATTATGCTGATTGTTATTGTTGCTGTTGGTGGTGTTGTTCAGGAATCTTCATCAACTCTGTTTTCTATGTGTTCACCTGAAGTCCTATCTTTGATGCATTTGCTGCCAACTTGTTGCTTTTCACTTGCATATCTTCCACTTTTTGGGAAATGAGATATGTATCATCGGCGAAGTCCATATTCTCCAAGTTTTTTGTGTGGGTCCATTTTATGCCTGTCTCCTCGTTTCCCTCTGTCTGTCGCATTATCCAGTCTACCACCCACGATCAGGAAAATCATTGGAGATAGTAGGCAACCAGCCAGCTTGTCTTACACCCGTCTTCTCTTCGAAGGATTCCGTGAGTTTCCTGTTGTGGATTACTTAGCATGGAGCATTGTCATACAACTACTGTTGGATGAGATGTATAATTGTTGACGACACCCCGTAGTAGTGAAGTAGATGCGGAATCACCTCTGGATCGACGCCGTCGAAGGCCTTCTCAAAGTGAGTAATTTCGTCAAAATCTGATTAAATCAGCTAAATAAATTAGATACATAGTTGCTTTCAGAGAGCACAGTTCCAGACGTATTAACAAGCTATTGAATACGTGAAAAGCAAAGTGTTGTAGAGGATTTTCAATTACTACATAACTAATTATAATAATCAATAAATCACACTTGGTCATGATTATTGCTGCATAGGTTCTCTACAATATTTTTTTTATAAGTCAGTAACACATTTTCAAGGCAATACTTTAAAACTAACCTTTGTTGCTTTCAATCTCTTCAGTTCTTTGATCTGAAAAAGGTGTGCATCCCAAAAAATTGCATGAATAATAATCATTAGTCGAAAGAAGTATAATTATGGAAAGCTTAGGTAACATTTTTCTAAAGTAACCTTAATTAAAATGTTTATATAGTAATGCTAATTTGGTAGTCTTCAAGATAGATGATAGCAAATAATGTAATATGTACTACTGGTCAGGTGGATAAAGTGAATATCATATTGGGATATAATCGAAATAGTTACTTGCTTTACTTCTTTTTTTACTTAATTTCTCATCTAATTCAGAAGGATTATAATTTTATATTAGGATATATCATCTTGTATGTCATCGTCAGATTTTGAGCTCTTCATCTGGATGTACTTACATTTCCAGTAAGTGTGGCTGTTCCCACTGAGACTGGAAATCTGTACTCATCATTCTAAACGTTTCATTGAGAACAACATCAGCACACTGCTGATGCGCGTACATACAGATGATAAAACCCAAAAGAAGATTAAACGCACAACGTAGCCATCATTAATCAAATGACATCATGATAGCCTTAAACCAATATCGAAGTTTCCATACTAGGAGCTGGCATATGAATAGAGACGGACACATCAGGCCCATAAAATCAACCATTGGGCAATTTGGAATAATAATTACAATAATTACTACTTGTAGATGTTAGATGGTTGAAGGCAATCGGCAGGAAGCCCTGGATTGAGGTTTTATTCTTTTTGGTACCCATTAGCAAGGTGTATCTACAACGCTGATGTCCAATGTCAAAAGCAACAAACTGGCAGAAGAAGCAGGCAGGCAGCGAAGACAGGACTCCAGGTAAACATAGAGAAGATGGAGGTGATGAAGATAACCAACCAACAGTAACCACCAATCACCATCAGCAGGGGAGGTTTGTCAGTGGTTACTTCCTTCACTTATCTGGGAAGCACCGTTTCAACTATAGGCGGACGGATGAAGATGTCACAGCCAGCCAGCCAGAATCGGAAAGGCGAGATACACCTTCGTCAACCTGAAACCAGTTTGGAAATCATCTACACTGCACTCAGCCAGCATAAAGAATAAGATTCAGATTTTCTAAACCAATGTCAAGTCGGTCACTTCTTCTATACGGGTCAGAAACTTGCACTGCGTGTCAGGAAAAGGATTTCCAACAGCTTGGTGCGGACTTTCATCAACAGCCGCGTTCGCTGGCTCCATGCTGGAGATCAAATGGCAGTCCAGAGAGAATTAGTGACAATAAACTGTGGAAACAAACCAGCCAAGAACCGATCGCTCAACAAATATGTAGAAGAAAATGGAGATGGATCGGGTATACATTGAGGACAAGGTCGAATGACATCGCCCGCGAGGCCGTCGAGTGAAATCACAGTGGGAAGCGCCGAGTGGGTTGTCAGTGCGAGGGTGACATGGAGGAGATCGCGTGAGGGGGAGATGAGAGATTGTCGGCAACCATGGTCCAATCTGAAGAGGACAGGAGAAGATAGGGCAGAGTGGAGATGTGTTGTTGAAGCCAGCCCTATGTTCCAATTGAAACTCAAGGGAATAATAATAATAATCTACTATGGTGAAGGAATTGATGCCCCCTCTGAGATTCAAGTTCTCACCACATGTTCTCTACTTTTATTCATTAGGATATAAACTTTGTCACTTTTGTTTCTATATATACTGATATCTATATTTGAAAAGACTCATTTTGTGTTGGCTTTATCGTTGAATTAATTGAAAATACTTACATTTGACAACATTTTAAACTGGCAAGTCATAAACATGCTTAAAACTTAATCCGGGTACAGATGATTTAGAACTAATTAAATGAACTGGCTTCATCGCACAACCCGACCGATAGCTGCTACCTTGACGTGGTGGTCGGGCTTGCATATCGCAATGACCCAACGAGCTACACTGGCTGGAACTTAAGTTCCTGTAGGTCCTACCATGCCAGAAAGGTTGTTTGGATAGCGGTTAGACAAAAAGCAGCTACCCAATCCAATGCCATGACTCAAACAAAAACACAAAATATCATGCCTGATCGGTCGGGGCCCGGACTAACAACGACAGCGCTTCCTGCTGCCGTGTCAGAGGGCAGAAGTGATAAATACCGTACTGAGACACACCAAATAAAAAAGAACAAACAAAAACAGGCCGTGTGTGACTGGCCTCAAGCAGTTGTCCCCTGGTCTCTGCGGTCACGCAACACTAACCTTTTCTCTACTTCAGGTACCCGAAGACTGAACCAACTTCCACAGTGTGGGCAGCCGGGAAGTAACAACCGCCCACACACTTCCAAAAGCACACTCATCGCACAAAGTCTGTTGCTTCTGCTTTACAGAAATACATTGGGTTTTTCTTGAATGCCAGATGTACATATCTAAATTTATCAACCTCATTACGTATGATTTGTAAACATTCGCAAGCATTTCAAATATACATCTACATGTTAGTAGAATTATTAACTACAATTCTACTGAGTGAATTATATAAGCAAATGCATAAAATCAGTTTAATGTTTAGCTGGCCATAATTTCCATACTTAAAAATTGTTTAATTTTAATATCTTGAAAACCTAATCTCACAGATCACTGCATACAAATCGCATACAAACCACAAGGAAGGGAAACATAAAACGTATGAATTTTAAACTGAAGATAAAACAGCTGTTGAAGCCTCGATTTCAATTGATGCTTTGTGATGAAAATTTAGAAACTACTCGAGTACTACGGCGTACCCCAAATATTCATCAACCTTATTCAACAGCTGTACGACAACGGCACATGTCAAGTGATCCACGACGGAAAACTCAGCGAGGCGTTTGGAGTAAACACAGGAGTCAGACAAGGGTGCTTATTGTCACCAATGATATTCCTAATTGTGGTGGACTGGATTATGCATCAGACAGTGGGAAAAGAGAAGACAGGGATATCCTGGACCGACGTGAAGAATCTAGAAGACCTGGATTTCGCGCGTGGATGATTTATGTTTGATGTCACACAAAATCGAAGACTTACAAGCGAAAACCGACAAACTGGTCGAAGAAGCAGCAAAGACAGGACTCCAGGTGAACATAGACAAGACGGAGGTTATGAAAATAACCAACCAACCAACAACAACAACAGCAGCAACATCCAGCTCCAGTCACCATCAACGGGAGGGATTTGAAAGAGGTTACTTCATTCACCTATCTAGGGAGCATTGTCTCAACTACAGGAGGAACGGATGAGGATGTCAAATCAAGAATCGGGAAGGCGAGAAACATATTCATCCACCACCTGAAACCAATCTGGAAATCTTCCGCTGTCACTCAGCATCAACAACAAAATTCGGATTTTCAATACAAACGTCAAGTCAGTTCTTCTATACGGATCAGAAACTTGGTAGGTCACAAAAAATATTTCCAACAGGTTGCAGACATTTATCAACAACTGTCTTCGTTCTATACTGAAGATCAGATGGCCGGAAAGAATCACCAACAAGAAACTATGGGAACAAACAAATCAGGAACCAATCGCCCAACAAATATGCAGGATAAAGAGGAGATGGATTGGACACTCGCTGAGCTGAGGAGGCCGCTGGGTGACATCGCGCGTCAGGCCAGTGCTCGAGTGGAACCCGAAAGGGAAGTGGCGAGTGGGACGTCCAAGGGTGACATGGAGGAGATCGTGTGATGAGGAACTGAAACAGTATGGACTAACATGGATGCAAGTGAAAAGAACAGCACAAAACAGAAGCAAGTGGAGGCGTGCAGGTGAAGCCCTATGTTCCACTAGGAACCCAGGGGAACAATAATAATAAATAATAATGAATTACACCAAGAGGTATTGAGTGATCATCGTTAAACTTACCTTTATCGGTATCGATTGTTTCACTTACTGTACCTGAATTAAAGTAAAAATGGTAAAAAAGTGTGTTAAATCAATTAATTTATTCTACGCTGACTTGAAAGTTTATGAATACATTTCAATATTATGTAATAAAATATAATGAATTCATTTACATTTTCAAGGTATGATAAACTCTATAACGATTAAAGGAGGTACTTTCTCCAAAGAGGATAAAGACTGCGTTGTTCTCATACAATTCACTGATAGCTACTGATCAATCTGCATTGATATACTTGGTAAAGTCGAAATCTGGGACTCATTGTTAAAAAGCCGGAAGTCAGTTGAATTACAAAATGAAATAAAATAATTAACAACTGTGAATTACAGTTGAATTTTTCGTCCTCTTCATTATACGAAAAAAATGGAAAACAGTAATTTCTACTCATATTTACTCTAAGGATGCCTCAATAACCAAGAAACTTACATTCTGACAGTATCTTTTTTAAACTTTCAGCAAAGTCAGCTTAGCAAATATCGTCTAATTTGACCATGTTTGGTGCTATTACGAAAATTTTGTGATAGCAGTGCAGTTTTAAAATTCATGCTACTTACAAGACTGAAGTAAGGAAGCAATTAAAGAAATTAAAACACTGTCGTCTCGTGAACTTCTAACGAAACGTGGTTTACAATAAACAATTATTAGATGGTCGGAGGCATTCGGTAGGAAGCTTTCAACCTAGTTTTCGTGCTTGTTGGCACTCACCAGTAAGCAAGTCGTATCTTCAACCTGGAAGGAACTCATGTCCCTTTTGAGATTCAAAGCTTTGTCACTCAGGGCTGCTGTCAGACACATTACAGTTGAGCTGCTCAGGATCGCGGCTGACTTCCTGTAGGACTGCATCAGACACTTTGACTAGATATTAGGTATTAACTAGTGGCATGTGTCTAGTCCTTTGTTTGGCGCAGACTAAACTCTATCTGTTGAAGTAGAATGGTAGCTATATTGAAAACCTGACCGAAAGAATTCAGAATGCACCAGACGAAGGACTAGACGCATCATATTAGTTGCAATAAATATTTAGAAGTTAGATTTGTGGAGATTTGCTTGAAATCAAGATAGACAGAGGGAAATAACAAGAACAATGAAGTACTGTACATCTATTTCATCCATTTTTAGGATTCTTCTGTTCATGAAGTCCCAGTGAAAATAATCGACAAATATGATCTACCCGATCGACTGTAAAGACAGATATTCGCAGATGACAGTGGATGACAGTGATGCTGCTGTATCACGAATTAACAGAATTTACAACCCATGAGACATTTTACTTATGCCTAATCAATGGATAGTAAATGTGCTCACTAAGTTCTGAGTTTTACACCTAGTGAGGTCGTAGGTATGCAATCCTCAAGGGTTCTAAGATACAATATCCAGTGTTCCACACTAACCAATGACTTTTCAACTGATTCGTCTGGGGATCATAAAATGCTTTGTGAAACATAGGCAAACGATGAAGGGCTTGAATGAAAAAATAAACAGTTCCTGGTGCGAAAATTCAAAACATCCATATTTCATATAAATAGTAGATTAAAACTAGCGTTTTACATGTAAAACTTCTGAATTATTTTAGAAATGCTATGAATTTTTTTCTGACATTTATCGCCTGAATGCCTACCTTCAAGTATTGGTTTGTAGGGGTTTTCGCTTGATTGGTTACCTCGGGTTCCAATGAGAAGCTGTGACCAGTAGGGTACAGCAGGTCGAAGGTGAGGACGGTTACTTCTCGAAGCAGACATTGCGAAGTGGTCACTCTATGTTGTGAGTTGGCAGAAGTTAGAATTCATGGACTGGCCATTGCATCGGGTCCCAGTGGCTTAATAGTCTACGAGTTTGCTGGCTATGTAACCAGAAGGTCATGGGTTCGAACCCTGGCGGTGGGTGCGTACTGATGAAGAGTCCCAAACTAGGCTGACAAAACAGCTGTTCAGTACTCCCTGCAGGTTTTCCAATGGTTCTCTAACCTATGTCAACTCATGATGAATGCCTATCATCAGGCTAACGTATATAAATTTTGTTCTTCTTGATTTTATGAAGATTACCCGGAGAATACACATACGTACAATTCATACATAATCCCTGTTTTACCACAAGCTAGTCGTTTTCTGCTTACAAGCTGAAAGACTGTACAAAATCAACATTCAATGTTCATTTTTATTTCATAGTGAGTAAATTATATATTATCTGTAATAATCACCCTGTCTGTAACTTACGGCTTTTATCACTAATTTCAATATTTTCAAATAATAATTCTTGAATACGCTGAGCTTGTTCTATGTTAGATGCACCATGTACCGCATTACGAAGAATATCTCTACCATATGTGGAGCGTAAACTGGAATGTGACATGAAAAAGTAAGTAGTTTTAAGAAACAAAAATACTATATATTATTATTTATCTTAGAATAAGTAACAAAACACTCTGGGAACAAACCAACCAAGAGCCGATTGCTCAACAAATATTTAGGAGAAAATGGAGATGGGTTAGGCATACGTTGAAGAGGCTGTCGAATGACATCTCGCGACAGGCTCTCGAATAAAATCCAAATGGGAAGCGACGAGTGGGTCGTCAATGCGAGAGTTATTATTATTATTGTTCCCTTGGGTTCCTAGTGGAACATAGGGTTTCAACTGCACGCCTCCACTTGCTTCTGTCTTCTGCTGTACTTTTCACTTGCATCCATGTTGTTCCATACTGTTTCAGTTCTTCTTCACACGATCTCCTCCATGTCACCCTTGGACGTCCCACTCGCCACTTCCCTTTCGGGTTCCACTCGAGCACTGGCCTGACGCGCGATGTCACCCAGCGGCCTCCTCAGCTCAGCGAGTGTCCAATCCATCTCCTCTTTATCCTGCATATTTGTTGGGCGATTGGTTCCTGATTTGTTTGTTCCCATAGTTTCTTGTTGGTGATTCTTTCCAGCCATCTGATCTTGAGTATAGAACGAAGACAGTTGTTGATAAAGGTCTGCAACAGGCTGTTGGAAATATTCTTTGTGACACACTGGCCAAGTTTCTGATCCGTATAGCAAAACTGACTGACTTGAAGTCGTTTGTATTGAAAATCTGAATTTTGTTGTTGATGCTGAGTTGACTGACGAAGATTTCCAGATTGGTTTCAGGTTGATGGATGTGTTTCTCGCCTTCCCGATTCTCGATTTGACATCCTCGTCCGTTCCTCCTGTAGTTGAGACAATGCTCCCTAGATAAGTGAATGAAGTAACCTCTTTCAAATCCCTCCCGTTGATGGTGACTGGAGCTGGATGTTGCTGCTGTTGTTGTTGTTGGTTGGTTGGTTATTTTCATAACCTCCGTCTTGTCTATGTTCACCTGGAGTCCTGTCTTTGCTGCTTCTTCGACCACTTTGTCGGTCAATGCGAGAGTCACATGGAGGAAATCATGCGAGAAGGAGATGAGGGATACTGAGCAATCGTGGACCCAGCTGAAGAGGATGGCGGAAAATAGAAGGAAGTGGAGATGTGTTGTTGAAGCCAGCCCTATGTTCCACTCGGAACCCAAGAGAAAAATAATAATATAATAATAATATGTCTTAGAAAACTAAACTATTAAACAAATGAACAGCAACACTAGGCAATAATCTCAAGAATGAAATTGATCAGCCATTATCAAATAGGAAGAATAGAGGGAGTTAATGCAGCGACAAATGCAACACAGTAAAGTTTGTTCGAAGAAAACAAAACAGGCGAGATTCTAAAGAAAAATTCAATGTACAATGAATGCGATATGCAAACTGGTAAAGAGAATTAATCAGTTGAAGAAAAATCAGTTAAAATATTCGTATTTGAATATGATGGAAATCAGTTAGAACACACACACACACACACGACTTACCCACCATCACTAGATGCATACATAGATGAAGTAGAAATGATGGTTAGTTATTGTTTGCAGAATTAAAATTAGGCGTTAGAATTTAAAGTCTTAGATAAAAAAAACTAAAACTCTAATTATTTCATTAAGGTTTTATAGTTTCCCTGTTATTTCTATGAAGTCATTTTCGGCGTGTAAGTATGAAAGTTAGTCAATTGAATTACCGAAACTTGAGAATAAACACCATTAAATTCTTTTACAAATTTCTGTTGAACTAGAATATTTCTTGTCCCTACCTGGCTAGAACTGGGAACGATTAGTAGAAACGAAAGAAACTTACATGATTAACAGTTGGTATTAGATGGTTGGAGGCAATCGGCCACAGGAAGCCTTGCTCGACCTAGGTTTCGTGCTAGTTGGCATTCACCAGTCAGCAAGGCGTATCTGCAACCTTGAAGGAACTCATGTCCCTTCTGAGATTCGAACACGCTTTACCCAGTGCTGCAGTCAGAGACGTCACCACTGAGCTATTCGGGCTCGCAATTGACCTCCTGTAGGACTGTATTGGGTATTTTTGATTGGACCCGAGCTAGTAACCAGTGTCCAATCAAAAAATGATTAACAGTTGGTTACAGGATTTCATTGTGAGCATACATCGGTTGGAGAACCATTGGAAAACCTGGCAGTACTGGAGAGCTATTTCGTCCGCCTAGTTTAGGACTCTTCATCAGTACGCACCCACTGCCAGGAGGTCGAACCCAGGGCCTTCTGGTTACAAGGCTAGCGAGCTGATAGACCATTAAGTCACTGGGACCCGGCCTAATGGCCAGCCCATGAATTCTAACTTTTATAAAATATTATTTTTTAAAGAAATTTGCTGCATATTCGCCAGATGAGCTCTTTCAAATAATTCAGAAAGATAGTCACCGAAATTAGAGTAAACCTACTTCCAGCCTTTACAATGAACGATTATGATTATAGTAATATTATTATAAATAGTTCTTTTACTAGTTAGTTGAAACTGTAATGAGTATAGCATTATTGAATAAATGTGATACTTGATAATTATGAATTAGACTCCTTATAAAGTAACAAGTGAGTATCACTGGAGAGTCTCAGACTAAAATGAAGCAACTAATGTGTGCTTGAACAGCTGTAATTTGAATTGCTTTAACTCGCAATGGAAAATGGTTTATCAATTTATGCTTAGATTCATAGGCATCCAAAATTTGTTTAAAATAATCTTAAATGAATTATTTTATCATTTTACACAGACAACAACAAATTCAAATGATCTTATTTTAAGATGAATAATTTATGGAAATTCAGAAGTAATTCTTTAACTGAACAGCTTGGTTGTGGGAGATGAGCTATGTCAGAGTGAGAGAAAGAGAGAATGTAGTCTACAACTGAATCTAAATGAAATTTTGGTGAGAGCTGTCTACTAGCCAAATTGGTAGACAGTAATTTACGTCAATGTTTACGTTCTCAAGATTTGTTGTGGGAAAATATGAACAAAGACTGATTCAAGAACCGACCACAGCAAACTTTGCGTAGGCGGATACAGTTAACATATAGATGATCTGACATTCAAAAAACAGCCACAAAGAGATGAAAGATTAACTTTAAGTGAGAAACAACCAATCAGAAGACTGTGTTTGTTTGCTTAACTAAACTACAATAATGTACATGAAAATATATAAATATGCTTTGATTTCCCTGATATACGATCTGTTGCCTGACCCTTGTCTCCTGTTGTTACAAAATGAGATATTGTAAGCTAAAGATAAAATTGTAACGTTTCAGAGATGATTTTATCCAAATTTAAGTACTTTCCAACTTTAATGGTGGTGAAACTTAAAGGGCTTTACCGCCTTTGTAGAGAAAGATATTATCTTTTTGAGTAAAACGTGGATCATGCTAGTGGAGGTTATTTCCCATTATCCATAGATATTTCTCTCTCTTTACATAGTGAATTTTAGTATATTAGAGAGAACAGATGAAAATACACTATATCTCTCTTTAAAGAGATATTAACCCACCTTCCTGGTGCTTCCTCTGCTGCTAAATTTGGATCTGTTGGTCCCATCATTTGACGCCAGCCAGCGATTGCATCTCTTCTGGTCAAGACCATAAACAAAGTTTGACCGCTGTAAAGTATGCACATAGAATAGTCAGTTACATGGAAAGTAGAAATGTATATGAAATAGCAATAGCCAAAGATGCTTTAAATTTGGGGAGAAAAGTGTTTAGACCAAGACCTGTCACGAACCATCTAGGTCAGTTATAGGAATAGTATGAAAAACTGTGGGATCTACAGCATTTTGAACAAGAAAAGGAATCAGAATGCACAACACCAATGACAATCCGGTACTTCCTTATGGTATACAGACTTGCAGAGTCATCACAAGCTTTTCCAAGAGGTTATAGACTTTCATCAACATCTGCCTTTGCGGGATACTGAAGATCAAATAGCCGGTCAGTAAGAAAAAGCAGCAAGGAACTCTTGCATCGAACCGACAAATATGCAAAAGTGGAGATTGACTGGACATTATTATATTATTGTTTCCTTTAGTTCCTAGAGGAACATAGGGATTCAGCCACACGTCTCCATTGCGTTCGGTTCCCCACCAACGTTTTCACCCGGCTCCACGTCTGCCCACATGCTCTCATCTCCTCTCCGCATCACCTCCTCCTCCATATCACCCTCTTATTGACGAACAACTAGCCGTTTCCAATTCGAGTTCCACTCAAGAGAGAGAGACCCTGGCGCGTGATGTCACTTGGTGGTTTGTTTTCTCAGAGTATGGCTAATACACCTACATTTCCTCCTGCAGATTTGTTGCACGATTGGTTCCTGCTGGGATGGTTGGCTCATTGCCAGAGATCCTCCCTGTTGCTGATCTTTTCTGGCCGGCCATCTGATCTTGAGTAGTAGTGAGCGAAGACAGCTTTTGGTGAAGGTGTGTAGTTTGTTCGAAGTGCCCTTCGTGACGCGGTGCGGCTCTAAGTCTCTAATCCATATAGCAGCACTGATTTCACATTGGAGTTGAGAATCCGAGTCTTATTTTTCATGCTGAGTGCTGTTGATCTCCACACAGAATTGAGAGTAATGAAAGGTTTCCTTGCTTTCCCGATTGTTCGCTCTGATATCGTCATCAGTTTTGTCCGCCTGTAGTTGAGACGATGCTTCCTAGGTAGCTAGATAAAGGAGGTTGCTTCTTTTAGATTTCTCCCATTTATGCTGGCTTACTGTTGTCTGTTGTTGTTTCTGTTGCTGTTGGCCAGGAATCTTCATCACCTCTGTCTTCTGTATTACTGAACATTCTCTTTGGAAATATTCAAGTGACATAGAGTGGAACCCGAATGGGAGCAACGAGTTGGGCGTTTGAGAGTGACATGGAGAACACCATATGATTAGGAGTGAAAGCTTGCAGGCAGTTGTGGAGCTGTTTTAAAGGGATAGCAGAAAGTTAAGGGGGATAGAGACATGCTGCTGATACCCTACGTTCCAGTTGGGATTGAATAGATGAATAATCATATGGTTATTATTAATTTGTCATTCAGTTGGTAATATTGCATCACTGTGTTATGTTCAATAAACTTATGTATAGTTATACTCTATTATAGTGCCTGAATTCCACTTTTACGTAAATCATTAACCGTTATTTTCAGCTCATATTAACAGTCTGCCTAAGATCCAAGAAACAAGTGGAACTGATGAAAGAAGACCCCAGATTAGATGGTTCAGTAACATCATCAGCATTATGCCACGTCTCTTTTCTAACCTTGTCCCTTTTTGGTCATATAGTGTTCTTAACCCCTTTATTGTATAATTTTTATTCCTTCCATTTCATATACAGATATGAAATGCAGCAAAATAGGACACCATATAGTAATGCTGTAGTTAGAATCATTTTTTAGAAAAACTATAAGAGACAGATATATGCCATATTTGCTTTCTTTTCAAAAGATTTATCTCACGGTTTTCTTAAGCCTTACTTTATCTAACCAAAAGGTACATCACTAGACAATTTTGATTCATTTGAGAGAAACAGAACAACTTATAACTGAATGAAATGCATAGGTTCAAGTTAACACTTATTTTAATAACGCATAATATACAGTTCCGGTGACCATACCACATTGAAAACATCGCTTCTAGTCCAATCACCGAAGGCGTTGATGGTGCAGTAGTAGAATAGTCGCCAACCACGTACGTCGTCCGGCGTTCAATCCCTGGCCCACTTACTCCTAAACCTCGCTTAGTTGGCAATAAGCCTAGAAAAGGGGGAAGTTTGGGCGTGAGAGTAGCAACCTCACCCTGTAAAAATAAAACCACTGTGGTGAGAGATGGTTGCTAGCCAAATTGGTTGACAGTAATTGAGGTCAAAGGTCAAGATGGACACGCGGATACAGTTAACATTTAGGTGAACTGACACAGCCACAAGAGATGCAAGGTTAACTTTGTGTGAGAACAACCAATCAACAGACTGTATTTTCTACTAACATTAACCTACAATAATGTACATAAAAATCTATAAATACGTGTTGATTTTCCGTAATAAACGTTCTGTTGCCTGGCCCTTGTCTTCTGTTGTTACACCACTGCTACTGAAACTTCAAGCTCGATGAGCTGGAATCTTTCAATTTATAATACAGAAAATGTGTATAACAAAAACAAGGTACATTTAAGCTTAACTTAGTCTCGTATTCATTTCCCGTTGACGAAATATGCACCGATAATCTCAGATGAGAAGGCATTCTACGAGCAGCTGAGTATATCTGAAATCACGAACTCGTGTTTTTAGCCAATGAATCAAATGGTGAAGTGTGATACTAGGAATGGGAAGTATATAGCGTGTTGCTTATTGTATCGTGGTGATGTTGTTCCTAAGGATGTGAATTCAGCCATTGCGAGTATCAAGACTCGGAAGTGTATTGAATTTGTGGATTGGTGCCCTACAGGTTTCAAGGTGGGCATCAATTATCAGCCGCCTACGGTTGTTCCTGGTGGTGATTTGGCTAAGGTGAAACGTGTTGTCTGTATGTTGAGCAATACAATAGTGATATCTGAAGCATGATCACGTTTGAACCATAACTTCGATTTGATGTATTCAAAACAGGCTTTCGTGCACTGGTATGTCGGTGAAGGTATGGAGGAGGGTGAATTTTCAGAGGTGCAAGAAGATTTCGATGCTCTAGAGGGAGAGATCACGAAGAAGTAGCCAGTGAGACGAATGTAGGTAGACGGGCAATCACATGACGGTTTTTGATGTAACATAAATAAGTTTGGTTGTTTGAATAATGTAATTGATCAAACTATTCTTTCGTACATATAAGCAGACTTATTAAACAACGAGAATGTTTTATCTTGTTTCGCTTTGAGTATTGTGTTCTGGTCAGTTGTTATGAATAGACTGTAGTTGATTGTGGTAGGCAGGATTTAGTAAGACTGTTGTACCGGGTTACAGCGTTGACATATCAATTCGTTTAAAGAGATCTGTTTTATAAAGCCTATCGTCCTCCAAAAGGACTTTCTGGTATGAATTGACTCAAAATTCCAAACGAATGGGTTGATGATTTTTAAAAATGGATAGTAAACTTATGAATGATTATTACATCAAGTTAAGTTAATAGTATATCACAGAATATATTTTATATTAACAGAGGCATAGTATACAAACCTGATCATATGGTTTACTAAATCTTCGTAAAATGGTTTATCCGAACAATCTGCATATAGTTTTTCAGCTAATTCCTTTGAAAGACTTGTATCTCTACGTGCTGCTACATGAAAACCAGCTGATTTAATCTTTTCAATAATCTCATCTCGATTAGCGTAAGCATCTGGTTTAATAGCTGCAATTGTTTTTTCAACTGGAAAGAAGAAATCTAAATCTTTTTTCACTTCATCTGCATCAGCTGAACCATGTAAAAGATTAATATCTTCACTTCTTTTCTCAGAGGCAACCTCTGATGGTTTCATTATAAATTGAGCTCGAAGTGATTCAGGAGCTGTGGCTTTAGCTTCATCAACTTTTGTTGGGCCTAACATTTCTCTCCATTTCTTAACAGCGTCCTTTATTACAGAATTAGTTGAAAATTAATAGTAATAAAAGTTAATTTATCAAAATTACTGGATACAACAGTATGAGCAATTCATGATGTGACTAAATCAGAATATTTGTTCACTACTCTAGGGAATGTATCGCATAGTCTTTATGCAGTTAATGGAGAGTGCGTCGGTGGCACAGAGGTTAGGACTCTCGCCGACCATGCACATGGTCCGGGGTTCGATCCTCTGCCGACGCACACCTGATATCAATGGTCGGCCTGCAAAATTTGGGCTACCGATATCGCACGCTGAAAATTCCATACTTGTACCAAAAATATGGTGTGGTTTCAAGCTATAATCAAAAAAAAGAAAAGAAATTACTTAGAAATACTGAAATATCATGTTACTTGATTGGCGGAGAGTAGGATTGGAATCCACGACGCAGGTTTCTCTCTTCTTGCAGCTTTATGAGCTGGGCGTCGACACGTAGACGGAAACTGGGCATTTCAGTACCATAAAATCAATCAACAGGGAAAGGAAGGGGAGGGGTACGAAATAATATTTTCAACAAATAGCTATCACAATACTGTAAGATGTTTTAGACCTCTATTTTTTTCCTTCACGTTCCCCATTAGAACATAGGGTTTCAAGCTAGTGGCATGAAGTTTCTGTAGCAGTGTTTATTTTACAGGATGGGGTTGCTAGCCTCATGCCCAACCTTTCCTCTTCACCAGCATTATTACTAGATTGGCGAAGTAAAGGAGTGCGTCGGCCGGAGATCGAACCCCGAACCACGTGCATGGTTGGCGAGCGTTAGACTCCTATAAATTCATGAATAATATTTAGAACCAAGAAGCTTCAGACACTTTTCCATCATATTTCTGGAAATGATTATAATTAAAATTTCATAGTCCCACTCATTATTGGTGAATTTTAATAATAAATTCGAAGATAAACTGTCTAGTATTTTAATAAAGCATGTATACTAAGCAGTCGGGTCGGGTTTAATAATACATAAGCTTACCAAATTCGTACTATGAAATAATTATGCTTGAAAATTTCGTTAAACAGAAGTGTGCGTAGTGTATCGATTATAAATCTGATTACTACAAACACTAGTAAGTACTCATGAAGCCTCTTGAATTGAGGGGACTAAAATTGAAACTAAGTCTTATGCAAAATATCTCGGTCTAGTTCTATCTTCCGACCTTACTTGGTCATCTCATATCCTAACGGTTTATAAGAAAGTGTTCTGTCTAACCTACTATATTAAGAAACTTAGACAATCTGGAATCACCCAACCTCTACTTTCACAATTTGTCAACTCTTGTATCTCACCTATTCTACTTTACTGCTCCCCGTTAGTCTTTCCTAGGCTACTGAAAAAGGACTACACCATCCTGAGAAGGATGTTGAAGGTAATTAGTAGGACTAGTGGTGTAAAACTCAGTCAGCTCGTCACTACATTAGTTAAAAGGCATCTGAATACATGCGAAAAATGGTCTAAAACCATACTCTCCGACCCCCAACATCCCCTCTCTTCCCAACTCTCGCCTTGTATCTCATCAAGTAGAACCAGAAATCAGTATAAAATAATCTATGCTCGTACAACCAAGTACAGGAACTCAACGATACCATACTTGGCCCGTGTTCTAAGTGAAAGAAACAAAGTTAAGCGCGAAACCTATGACTTGCTTTGTTGTTAATAATCATGATTTTAGGCTCTTTTATTTCTCTCTTATTTTGTATTCTATAGTGAACTCCTTCTTAAACATACTTAGCTACCTAAATTATTACCATGGGCTTACGTTTTGCACTTTATTCTGTTCCTTCTATTGTGTATCTACTGGTTCCGACTATATTAGCACTATGAGTATTACAAAATTGTCCTGTCATTAACCATCGTGTAATTATTAGTTTTTGTGGTTGTTGTTGTTTTTTTTTGTTCGGCAATATTAACTGACAATCTTGGTTTTGAAAGCCATTATCCCATCTTAAAATTTTGTATTACGCGGGATTACTCACACTACCACAACAAACACCACATTCGAACTGGTAAAAACAACAACAACCCTGAAATGTTATTTTATGATTGTTTAGTGTCGTTTCAACCTAAATTAACTAATCATCTTGGCGATAAACATTCTTAAATATCAGTTCATAACTTCTTGTATGACTACAGCTTTACTGTCACCATGCATTATCATATCATAGCTTCCACTACCCAATACTGAGATATTATTTTATTTTGTTTATTTTCCTTTCTACTTGGTATTTTTTTCGCTTTTTTATTATTTTGTGTTTTTTGTTGTAGTTGTCTTTATATTTATTTTTTGAAATACTCCTTTTAAATGTTTGATAAAACTAGATGCAAATATTGTAGATACGTGCTGAAAATTCCACACTGTACCACTAGTGCTGTTTCTGGAATAAAGCAAATTATTATTACTGTTATTACTATGAAACCTAGGGATGAGAACAGTAAATATCTGTTAACTGCTTATATGCTGTACTGGCTAAATTTCAGTAGACCGTAGGAAACTGGGTATTCACTATGCCGAAAACCAACATGGACTGAACAATTTACTAACTTCCAGAGCTATCTCCAACTGGTCAGGAAACAAAACTTTGTGGGTTCTGTATGCTCAAGGATTCGAAAAAAAACTATTCGAAAGATACGATAGAGGCTGAATTGAAACCTTCAAAGAGAACGAATGTCTGTTTAGGTTTATTGACAGAAGCATGTGAGAAAAACCTGTCTCGAGAAAACTCCCTTCATAAAACCTGTAGTTCAAAGATGACACTGAAGCGGAAATTCTGAAAAATTGCCTTTCCAAGTGTCTGAAAAAGACATTCCAAGCAGTCATCTTACCAATCTAATCCTCCAGCAAATAGTTAGTCGGCTCATGCTTTAAGGACAAGATAGCGCTTTTGGTTACCCCACGTTGCATTTATCAGTTCTCTTGTCCTTGTACGGCAACGTACACTGGGTGTACATAGCGTCCATCTTCTGGCTGATCAGAAAATAGAAGAATAATATCAACAGTTTTAAATTCCAGTACCCTTTCAGTTCTGGACATCGGGACCCCTTTATGGTTGTTTCTTAGTGATACAAAGAGTTATCCAATATCGCACAAGAGGACTTCGAATACACCACTTATAAACAGCCGAATCGCTGGCTGTCTGGGACCTGAAGCTGGACATATACTCTCGAAAGCATCACATACCCTCACTCACTTTACTATAGCCAGAGTAACATTCTTGACATAATTTTGTTTTATTTTATTATTTGACATTGTAGTTTATTATTATAATTTCATAATTATTGCCATCACTATAATAGTTTATTAACAACATGGCACTACAATATTACCTTGCAATGACTGTGAGTTAGGTCAACTATATAGGTCATACTAGTGGATCAGAAGTAGTGAGATTATCAGAACATAACAATTTAGCTAAGGTTAGAATGATTGATTCCACGAAGATAAGTAATTTAGAAAAAAGCCCAGCGATTGCACTGCATCCATTAACACACAACTACACAATAGGGTGGGAGAGTGTTAAAATTCTAAGAAGTAATAAAAGTAGGTGGAGAAAGATAGAGATTGATTACTGAATACTGGTTCATCAAGTCTACACCGAACACATGCAATAGAAGTGACTCAACACAAATACCAGAGATATGGAAGATATTACTGCCATTCAAATGAGAGGATAATAAATAATGTTGAAATGTGTTCAATTCACCTTATAACATTCTTACAAGTTATTTATGTTACTATAAAAACACCTTATTTCCCATATAATTGTATTTCCTTGATAACACTAATATTATTTCCTAATGTACTTTATCTTATATTGATTTTATTCGAATTTTCCCATTCAAATTTTGCTCATGTATATAAATGAAGCAAAATGGTTGTTTGAGCTGTACCTTGATATGATTATGAGTGGCAATAAATTGTGCTCGAAACGTGGTCATCAGTAAATATTACTGTATAACACTGTGTGATTTTATCAAACTAAAAATTCTATCCATAATGGTGTTATACTTTACCACAGTGCCAAAGTTTTATACTTATATCAATGGCACCACTCATGCAGACTTTATATAAACACTACCACATTTTCACTACTTTTTCTAGCCTCTAGTTTGAAGTCCGAAGTTCTACTGGGAAAGTAACTAGTAAAATTTTAAAAAAATGATTTCTTTACAACCTATTTTGCAGGCTAAAGGTGTTTTGCCCTAAGGCGAACAACAGGTGTCTGTGGAAAAGATGACGTTTATTATTTAATGAAAAATCATTTATTGAAAAATCAACCTACATAACCACCTAAGCTGTCAGTACTTCATCGGAGATACTGAGGTATGCACTATTATACTCTTCACCTTGTTACACACTAATGATGCTGCACTATCAGAATTATTATCAAATCTAAAGGGTCATTTCTTCATATGAATTAAGGATACTGATGAAGACAATTCAGGTTATTACCCTTTCTGATATTTGTGTTCAACTTAGTTGTTTTAAAAAAAATACATTCAGATATTGATATCATTGTGAACAATAAATTATGCTCAAACCGTCATACGGTAAATAATACTGTTCCACTTTGTGATATAGATATAATAAGAAAACTGATACAGAGTTATTGGTTTTGTAGGGATATTTTTGTTTGGTTGGTTGGAGGATTGATCTGATGCTCACTAGCCGCTGGTCCTATTCAGGAAGTTGCCTGGGGTTCTAGTGAGAAGTCGTGACCAGTAGAGTGGAGCAGGTTGAGGGTGAGGCAGTAACTCATCGAAGAAGACATATCTAGTGGTGGTCGCGCTATGTCATGAATTGGCAGAAGTTAGAATTCATGGGCTGGCTTAGTGGTCTACGAGCTCTTTGGCCTTGTAACCAGAAGGTTCTGGGTTCAAACTTCGGTTGTGGGTGCGTACTACTGAAGAGTCCCGAACTATGACGAAACAGCTGTCCAGTACTCCGTGCAGGTTTTCCAGTGGTTCTCTAACTGATGTTAGTTCCAGATGAAATCCTCCAACTAATGACACAGAATTACTTAATACCACCGTAATCAAGTTCCTCTTTTTGATTTCGTTGCGTTCCAAGAGGAACATAATGCTTCAGGTTTGAGCTGTAAGGCTTCATTAGCAGTGCTTTCTTTGTTTTTACAGGCTGAGGTTGCTAGTTTCACACTCAACCTTCCCTCTTTACCAGACTTGATACCGGCCATGTGAGGTTCAAGAGTGTGTCGGCTGGGGATCCAATCACGAACCACGTGAAGCGTGGTTGGCGAGTATTCTACCTTCACATCACCAACCACATTGTAGACGTGTATTAATATGCTTATGAACCTGTAATGGGCATTTCGTGACTCGGTCAGATTCCAAAGCTGTTTAATGTACAACACTGTTGCTCATCGGTTTCAATACATTTATATGGGTAGCTTATTATGAGAATGAATTAAACATCCAGTAGTTATTTTGACACTAAGGCTAATATATCGATATGACAGATAAAATATGTATAACTTCCTCTATACTGAATAGGATAGTGGGATATTTTCACTATTGAGTGAAGTTATTGACTGACCTACAAGCGAAACAAAATTTTCAAAAGCTAAAATACTGAACTACAAAAAAACAAACAGAACAACTTACTTCTCTGGCTAAAAGTAAAGCTAAACATGGACCACTGGACATTACAACTGTTAACTCGCCAAAATACGGTTCTCCTCTGTGCTCTTTATAATAGTCTTCTACTTGTTCTTTAGTTAATTGTACCACTTTTTGCATTGCTATTGTAAATCCAGCACTCTTAATTTCCTCTAATATTTTATCCTTATATAATTCGTAAGCTTGTGGACGTAACAGGGCGACTGTGCGTTCTATTCGACCTTTTTTGCCAATACCATCATGTTTTTCATCAGTTAATTCACGAAGTGGATGAGTACGTTTCACTGTTATAATGGGTGGTTCAAAATTTGGATAGAAGAATGCCAGTTCCCTGTTGTTGTTGTTTTTTACACGATAAATAAGAAAAAGAAAAATAAGAAAAAGTTATTCAGGTTAATATCAAACAAGTTAGCTAAACTAAAATCGAAATAGTCGCTTTTTATTTAGTAAAGAAGGTGTACTGAAAGAGAAGTGGATTACACTAGAAACAGTAATAACTAAATGTTAGCTGTTATAAACTAACTATAAACTTGGCGTTTCGGATCTAATGGCACTCAGTTGAAATGAATAATGGCGACGAGAAAAACTTAGTACATTGAAATCTGAATCTCTGGGGATTAAGATGGTAAACCGTAGCATAATTCTTCTTAGAGTCTTAGGTGAAATGGGTAACTGTTTGTTTTTTCCACCAAAGTACACGCATGAATAAGAGATTTTCTATAGACAGCAATGGGCTTCTCACATTGTATTGTACACATAGTCAGAGTTTAAGGACAGAAGTATGAACAGTGATAAACAAAGTAGATTATTTATTTAGTGGAATTTCGACACTAGTAAGGTTTCAGTTATAATCTAAATATATAATCTATATGCCATATACTGGGGAGAATTTCAAACGATCTTACTTTTGCATCCATTGTAAATCATTCAAATATTCACTGTTTGGTAGAAGTGCCCAAGAAAGTGAGCAGTCAGGTTAAACAGAGTGGAAGCCTTGGGAAATAAGCCACAGTTACTCATAATAAACACTATATATTTGAAATACAAGCTTCTGAAAAAAATCGGAGTTATATGCTCAATCGTTTATTAGGGATAGTCCTCAGTATGTTCATAATAGTATGCAAAATTATCTGAATGTACCTATCTACTGTTTTACAGTAGAGGCAACACAAGCCAGGACAACATATGTCCACGTGCAGCAGTTTTATTCTTAGATAAGCTGCTAAACTGGGGATTTAGGTTAACAGGTGAGAAATTCTAAGAATTGTTAATCTCATGGTCAATCCTACATGATGTTGACAGAAAATTTATTGTCCTGAAGTAAAGGATACAAAGATATAATGGTCTTTCACTAATGTGATTCCTCCCTCCCCCCGCACGCTTTTCTCAAATTAACAAGTATTTATATAATAGATGAGCTCATGAACTTACTTTGCAGCCTCTTCTCTAGAGTCAGCAGCATGAATAGCGTTTTTAACTTTTCCACTAGCATACTTTGCTCTTATTCTGAAATATAAGATAAATTTAATGAGTGTGAAAAACTAAATGATAGTAAATGCAAAATTTTAAACAATTCAAACATCCATAAAGGTGTATAACCCACAAAGAAAAATGACAAATTGCTTTAAAAGCGCCTCAGAACTTTTATGACTGAGTTATGTAAGTCAGTTGTGGAATAATATTTGTTCAACATATTTTCTGATTTAGAACATTCATATCACAACGAAAAGAATTTACAGTGAATTTATACACTTATTCAATGACTGCAATACCTTTTCATGAAGCTAAAACACGAATAATATTCAAAGTTTAGGCTTTTCCTTCTGGTGGAGTAAAAAAATATTCGTTATTCATGAAGATAAACCTTGAAACTAGACGTTTTCTATCGTCAATACTATTATCACCACAGTAGCTCAAAAGCTAGTAGAAACTAATATTGACAAAGTGAAGGGTTTTCTTTAAATAATTCGCTCCATACTTGCATGGGTTTTAGTACTAGTCATATGTATATACCATTAAAAACCCATTAAAACCCTTACACAAACAATGAAAACACTGAAATAAGGCAAGTTATAGTTAAAAAGTAACAGAAGTTTTGTTGTTTTACAATATCCACAATGATATCAACTGATTTAGCTGAGGGAAATAATAATTGGATGTTAGCTTCTACAGCCACTTAAAGTGTATGTTTGGTTTTTTTTGAGTCATCCGTAAAATAATAATTTTGTGCCTAATCTTTGTACTTGCACTCATTTTTGTATAATATATGTAACTTCAGAGGAATAACTGTGAACTTCAAAATTTACAAAGAAATTTTTAATGAAACATAACTGCTTGTAGTTCTAAGTTTTTATAGAAAAAAAAGCTAACTTCTTACTTAGAGATATACTCAAAGCTGAGATAAACAGCGGCCAAATTCTAGTGACATTCCAATTTTCTGACGAGAAAATTTACAAAAAGTCAAACAACTGCTGTTTGACCTAACAATATAATTTCAGCCACTTCAGGATATTTTTGTGTCATATAAAAAATTAAGTAAAATACAAATGATGAAAATCTGTGAAATCAGCAAATAGGAGCAAACTAACGATGTGTAAAATACTATTAATCGATGTGAGATTGTTGAAGGCAGTTGGTGAGGAGCCATGGATATTTCACGTTCAAAATCCAACAAGTCTACTATTAAATACGCTGACTTAAATTTCAAAGGACAATGCCTTCGGAATCTCATATATCCTATTGTTCAGCGTACACAGGAAGACGTATTTCTGCTTTTACAATCTGAACCTAACAAAAGTTAATTAGTGTTTCAGCTATACATAAGAGGTGAAAGTGTGAATTTTTACAGAATTTAGCGCTTCTTAATGCTTTATTCCGTCGTGTAAATAAAGCTATACAGGTTTAAAATGAAGATTGTGAAAAGAAATATTTCTCTGCCAAACAAAACTTTGTCTTTCCTTACGAATATTTATCTTGGGCTTATTATTTTTGACAGTGACTTCAACTTCGCTTCATGAAACAAAGCCATACACGATTTATGAGGTTATCGTTGTTAACCAGAGAGCTATGACTTTACTTATTCTCCATTCTCGTTGGTTAGGTTTGACAAGTTGTTCGACTATGACAGTTTTGATGAATTCGCTAGGTTTTAAACACTAGGTAGCAATCAATTAAAAATATCGCCAAATAGTGTTAGAGACTGTTTCATCGTTAGAGATTAGTTATCACTCAAAATTTACATTTGCTTTGATTGTTGCACCGTGCTTTTGCACTTACTGTAATAAATTTACCAATAAACGCACTCTTTGAAGGTGCGAACACAGACCAATAGCTTTACTTCATTAACTGTCAGCAACATTGTTGCACAAAAGTATACTTCAGTGCGCCAGAAGTCAATGCTAGCTGGGTACTACCATAAAAAGTTTCATTATTTTGTAAAACATAACACAAATACCATAACTTCGGGAAAATCAACATAAAAAGTACATAAAACATTTGAGAAAGACTAAAACTGGAAATTCTGCCTTACGTTTCAGGATAATCATTTACACCGTCTTCAATAACAGATGGTCCAATCAAACCTCTTAACTCCTCAATAACACCTTGCTTGCCTTCTAATGCACACACTAATACTCTGCTAGGACCAGACGTCATAAATTGCACCAGATCATTGTAATAAGGTTGGTCTTTGACGTTTTCATAAAAGACTTCGGCCTCTTCAGTAGTGAATAAGCGTTCCTGTTGTTCAAGTATCTTAATGCCCTTCTCTTTAAGCTATGTAGAAGATAAAAAGTGGTACGGCACCTACATGTTCAATAATTTCCTCTGCCTGTCCAGATGATACTACATCAGGTTTGAGTACTGCAATTGTAACTTCCTGTTCAACCTCTGGTTATCAGTACTTTATTATGAACACCATTAATTCATTTTACCTTCCTCCTCCTCTCTTTTCCTCCTTAGTTCAGCTTCTTCAAGCTCTTTAGCGAGGATCATAGGATCTCTGATCTGTAATATTATTGGCACAAAATATTCAGTTGAATGTTGATGCAAACCTCAACCCTTTTAGCCTCGCCATTCATTACATCATGTTCCTGCTTAAGTTTATCAACAATATGTTTTTCCAAGACTGGAGGATTAACTCCTTTGACTGCAGCCACAAGGCAACTACCCTAATAGTGAATTAAACGTGTAGATTATGTCACCTTACCCCATAAAACAAAAAGTAAGGCTCACACTTCCCCCTGTATAAATGCAATGAGTCAATGCTATCAGCTTTCGCAACAGCAAAGTGTAACAGGTCGTCGTTGATCTCTGTTTTTAATCTCTTGAAAAGTCCAACAACTGCTGAACAAGGACCACACCATTCTTGATAGACATCAATTACTGAAAAGATATACTATAGCGGCCACTACGTTTTCATTACTTTTCAGACCATCTTTTTCAATAAACAAGTTCCAGGTATCCTGATCATTAATTTCATCTTGTAATGCGATTTCTACCCTCCTTTTAGCCATTTCAAAAGTTAACCAGAGCCGAGTGTCCTAGGTTGTCATAACATTAGAGTTTTAAACAAGAGCAATATTCAATATCGGTTTTAATGAGCTAGTGATAGCCACTTTGATTTCTTTTTGCTCACTTCTTGTTTTTGAGGCAATAATTCCTCGTCTTCAGCAATTTTATGGATGTTCCGTCCCGCCACTCGATTGTAGTAGCTCTTGTTGGCTGCAAAAGGAGTGGTGCTGGGAATAATTATGTGTAGTTTCTAGTATGCTGTGTGTTAAGACTGTGTCGCCAGGAGTTTTTTGGAAAGGTTGGCCTGAAATGACTTCCTGTTACTCCTGATCCTTGTGTTGCACTGGTTCCTGAGTTCCAGGTATGTGTCGTGGTCGGTCTGACTCTTGGAAATTCGCCACGTAAACCAAGCCTTCTACTTTGCTTGCAGAATACGTTGTGTACCCCTCTTCAGTCATCAAGATATTTTCTACTGTTGTAATTTGACTAGAGGGGCGGTATCTGAAATCGCTCTGTGAATAATCTCTTTTATAACTTCCCAGTGTTTACTCACGAATAAACCAGAGCATTCTACGGGCCATTCTGCTTTTGACAAAGGCCTTTGCATTCCCGCCTAGTCAGTCTTTCTATAACACAGGCAGGGCCGAACAGCGTCACACTATAAGTGCTCACGGAGAACAAGATCGAACCCTATGATTGCATGGCCACTACTACCTGGGGGATTCATGATTTGGACATTTTCGACAAGTAGCTGGCCGCTAGTTAGAATGCAATCTAGTTTCGATAACTTTCCACTACAGCTCACTTAGTGTTGTATTCAATGTCCCAAGACAGTCATGTATTTCTAATGGTTTGTAACAGATTTCGACCAAATTTTGCCTAAGCACACTCCTATCCAGGGTTCAAGGATGTGACAATGAAATCTTCAACTATAGTGACTTGGTCATGGCCCAAGTCTCGTATCCCTGTGATAGTGCTGAGCAGTAACTGGTTGTGCACTGCTCCACAGTGAGGTGATCGGTAGATGCCACCCACTATATGCTTGGTATGGCCTACGAAGAAATGACACCATAGAGAATCTGGGAGTTCAGTAAGTGGTGGTTCTGTTGCATGCATGCATTTAAGTTGTTTGTCAGAGTATATGGCAACTCCCTCTTCCTTGTTATCCCTGTATCACCTGACCAGAACCATATCACTTATACTGATTTCTTCGTCGGCGATAGTGGGGGTTGGCCAGGTCCTGGTCAGGATTATTATTTTGAGGTGTAGGTGTGACTGGAGGTTTCTGAGTTCACCTACGTTTCCTCTCAGTCCTCTTTGATATTGCTATACAGCCAGCTGACAGTGAGTCTAACAACCTCAGCGTGTTATGGGGTAGTTGGCTTTATGTCGGCAGCTGGTAGAGGACAGAATGTTGGGGCACGTTGGCCGATTCTGATGGAACCGGCCTGCTGCCGTCTTTTCCTCAGATTTGGGTAGAAAACTTGGGTGACACTAACTGTCATTCCCAGTATCGCACAACTGTAGTGTCACTGAGGTATGGGAAGCACTGTGATCTAAGTTTACTGCCTCCTTGTGGTTCTAGGTCTCCTTTCGCAGCATCGGATATGTCCTCCCACTTTACCCTTGTTCTCGTGCCACCGTTGAAGTACTAGAGCCAACTGTTCCCGGGAGTTGAATTTAACACTTAGTAGCCTTGGAGAGCCAATCAATGTGGGATGAGGGTGGTGGGTAACCAGGAAAACCAAGATTTCTCCTGAAGAATCGGGGCCAATCTGAGATGACAGCCACCTGTATTGCTGCACGTCATGCATGTGTTTTTTACAAGCAGTGCCATCTTGCAGCTTTCGAACACTTTGTATGACCGCAGAGGTAGAAGGCATTAGTTCCAGTGACTCCCTTGTCGTTTTCCTGTTAGCCCATGGACTAGCATGCCTTATTCTTATGTTGGAACTCCTGTCGACAGCCAATATTTGAGCCAGTAACAGTATTATTTCAACCTCTTTGGTAGAGCCTAGTGTTACTCTTAATGGAGATGGCTTGCCTTGAGTTGCCTGGACACCCTGTACTCACTGCGCAGTGTAGACCACTAGTCCTGGTCAAACGTAACACTTTTCTCAAGCGTACTACTGTTGCACACTGGTACATTAAACAGGATTAGGGATATCGATAGACTCACCTCGGACTTAGGTGTGGTCTTTGACTGCTTGTCCTCCTTTGTAAGGTCGGTTGCTTTAGACTTCACCAGGGCCTGATTAGTCTTTGTTATGTTCCCGTGCTTGCTAGCTGATACAATTGGACCTTTGGATATTCCGTCTGCCTCTACTGTTCCGGGTATGACCTTGGGGGTCTTCAATTTATGAAGATTGATATTTCCAGTCAGCCTGGCTGGAGTGTCCTTTGTATGGTTTTTGCTAAGTTTTGGGGATGTGGTGTTGCCAGGTGGAGCACTGCATGAGACCGCATTGAGACGGGAAAGTGGCTTGCTGTTTCTGTCATCCGAGTACCCTATCTGTGGGAATGCACTAGGGCGACAAAGCCGGCAAATGTACCAGAACTATGAGCACGAGTTATTTTGCATAAACTCATACAGTGGTTTCAGCACTCCTTTTTCACGACGGCAGTGCACCCGTAGTCTGTAGGAATTGTATTCAAACGCTTGGCCACTTTTGAAAACAACTACTGGCCTGGCAGTCGTCTGCTTTTCTAGAAAGCGCTTAGTGGTCGTGTGACATCTCGAGCGTTTTGTAGTTTTGCTGTGTGTGACACATTGTCTTCCTATGGATCTAGGTGTAGTACCGTGTTGACTTGGTTTTGCCTGTGCAGTTTCAGCATTGGACTGTGGCGATCTAGGCATAGTATAAGAGCAAGGGATATGAACACAGGTCATAAGAACCGGTGTGAGATGAAGTTAATACCCCTTGGTTTTTTCCCTCCTATTCTGACTGAGGTCCTAGTCACTACAGAATATGGAATCTTAGTGCTATCTTTAAGGCTAGTTTCAACCACCATATTGCCAATTGTTGTGAATTGTGCTCATGTATGAAAAAAAGATACCAAATTTATCCGCACGATAGAACAAGAACGAATAGATTGATAAGGCACAATATAAGAAAAATTAACGTTTTTCGTTTTTACCTAGTATTTTTGGCTTACTCGGCCTCACAGCAGTCATGTGGTGGACCAACAGGTCCTGCTTATCTGATCGAGTGAGGAAGATGTTGTTACAGAGGTGGCACCTGAAGCTTTTGCAATAGTTCGAGACTGTTGAACTTGTCACACAGAGATTTAATGTGTAAATAATGGCTGAATTTAATTCACTGGCTAGGAAGACCAGGCTTCCCAATATGATAATTCACAAAATAGGTATTTTCCGGTTAGGGAGGAAAAAGCGTGTTGTATTCAAGGGCAGCACAATCTGGGTTCTATTTGTTTAATTACATATCTAACATCTTCCTCGAAAGTAAAACCCGTATTGTGGTAACGCTTCGATTTTCACTCATCCAGTATCCTTGCGAGATTTTATAAACCCACTCGCTTCATGTTTTGGAACACTACTCTCTGTCGGATTCTGAGACGGAAACACTACACCGTATACTACTACCGCTTCAATGAACATAATAAGTGGGGGTATTCTGGTTCACTATTCAGCAAGTGTATGGTTTGTACCTGGTCAGAGGCACTGTTAGGACCTGGAAATTTTGCTCAATCGGACGTTGAGCTTTTTAGATTGACAGAGCCGTAGAGTGAGCGAAACTCGAAGACTGGAATGAGGAGCAAGACGATAAGTAGGGGGAGGAAGTGGAATTTTAGTCAAAACAGCCAAACATAGGACAAGTAAAATATTAGAGTATATGTTGAGCAACTCTATTCGGGTGAACCCGAGGAGTGCCTTTGTATCCATCTTGTAGTAAACCCGAATCTGAGGGTCTTCTCGTGCATTATTTTCATTGCCATCGTCAAGTTTCCCAAAGTTCTGCGAAAGTTAGGAGCGAATGGTTCCATTTGTGTATTTTGTGTGTTTGTGTTTTCTACAGATACGTGAAGGGTGAATGTGTATGTCCTCCAAGCCGAGTGCTGGCAAAGTAGGGGTCCATGCTGGCTTTTGATGCATCTGCTAAATATCTGGCACTCGAATTACTATCACCAGTCACAACTGGTCTGAGGTAGCTACCTGTCTGAGTATGAGTGCTGTTAGCATAGTTTTTTATATTATTTACCTTACAGCGTGCATTTTTCTTAGGAGTTTTAAAATGTTGGGGATTTCTAATTAGAAATGGTGTATTTCGGCATGTTTTGTTACCGAATTCCACTTACGTTATGGCTATGAGAGGATTTTGTCGACTTACGAAAGGCATCGATTTCTGTGACATTCTGCTTGGGAGTTAGGCATTTTCGCCGCCCTAAGTAAGATACTTTGAACCTTTATCAAGCCCTCATTAGTTATTGATTCTGTGTCAAGTTCGTCAGGGTTTGTGGTTCTGGTCAGGGTGTTCAGAGGTGCAAGTTCGCAGACCTGCAACTGGCCAATCTACATGCAAAACCTTGTAGGCAAATTTAGTCGGTTGTTTGTTGATTTAGATTTCTGAGGTACTTAATGTATGGATATAGTCTGTTTTAACATAATAAATTGATTTTTTCCAACCAGCACGAAACAGTCCGTCTATTTTCTTAATTTTCGTGAGTTCTTGAGGTCATAATTGATCGTTGGTCACTATTAGTCTCGTACACGGTGTTCCGGAGCTGGAAACGGGCACTGCCTGTGAAAAACACATGCATGACGTACAGCAGTGGAGATGGCTGTCGTCTCAGATGGCCCTCGGCGCTTCTGGAGCCATCTCCATTTCCCGACTACCTCGCTCCGCTCATCTCACACTGATTAGCTCCCCAAAGCTGCTAAGTGTCACATTCAACTCCCCAGAGCAGTTGGCCATAGCACTTCAACGGTGGTATGAGATCAAGGGGAAATTGGGGGGACACATCCGATGCTGCGAAAGCAGGCCTCGAACC